TTGAGGTAGTCATACATAAAACATTTTAGTGTATAGTTTTGGGTTAGAGTAAATCTTCTGGATTTTTATTTGTAATCTGGTTTGTTTCTCTACTTTTGCTCGGTACTGTATGTACATAAAAATATCTCTCCTTAACAAATGCGCATCCTATTAAAACTTATCGCGTATTTTAAAGATATATTGGGCTATGTTTTGGAGAAAAAAAAATAAAAATGGTGGAAGCTACTTCCGGTTATAGACCTCAATAGAAAATAAAAACGACCGACATTACTTATTGTACTTTGATTTGAGGTGTTTACTTTCGGTTTAGCATCTTATTTTTTTTTAAATTTCATATTTGATTTTTTTATCTAAAAGTCCAGAAAAAAATCTTTTGAAAACGCCTGTTTAATGTCCCAATGTGAAATACTTTTGATTTCGAAAAATTCTTTAAAAAATGCCCAAAACGTGTTTTCTCTTTCATACCTACTATATGTATAAAGATGCCCAATATGGGTGAATTTTGAATTATAACTTGTTTTCGGTGTCCGCTTCACTTGGAATGCACCTAGTGTATACCATAAAATAATCTTTTTTCGCGGTGTTGGTCCAACCAGTCTCCGATGGAAATGCAGCCTTTCTAGTCTTATTGTACCCTGTTGCTCGTAATTTACAACATCGGAATCTACCAGTATCAAATTGTTTAGTGATCGGTACAGTCTTCCTGTTATTCCTGCTTGGTGAGAGCAGTTTTGCAGATGTTTCAAGCCATCCTGCCTAGATAAGTTCGGTCCCATACCTACATTCAGATAGCAAGTTCCAATATTCCTCGTGGTGTTGTTCTTTATTATGCGTTATTCCACCACCAAGGCAGGCGTATTTATTTCATTGCCTGAATGTCCTAGCACCCACTCCAGTGTGTTCCTCCATAGATAGTCTTGTGACGATTAAGTTCTGCCCAAAGGAATTCGGTTGGAGATTGAGATCGGAGAACTGAACTGGGAATTCCGTGGGCTGTAATACCCGTTGTTTTTTGAACAAATAGTTTTCACACATTTTGAATGAGTGTTTATGATTGTTGTCTTGATCTTTTAACGAATCTTGATCCTATAGGTTTTCTCCTCGCGGAAATCTTTTGGAGAATAAGAATTTTGTTATGTCCTATTCTATTAAGAAAGCGATCTGAGGACCATTATACGATGGCCATTTTGTTAAGTAAAAAATGCTTTCCACCATGAAGACGATGAAAATCTGATGGAGCTAAGTCAGGGTAGCTGAGCCAGTAATTCCCAACCAAAAAAAAACACGCAACTTCCTTATGAAAATCGGACTTCCGTTAAATTGGTTGACTTTCTGATATGTTGCATATTTCACCTCCTGAACAAATGTCTCAATGGGCACAACTTCCTAAACCCCAAGGGTTGTGAGATAAAAAAATCGAATTCTCTTGGATTATAAAGTACATGCACATTCACCATTTCTTGAGATCAAGTTACGTCGACCAGATATGATCGAGAACTCGAAAAAAATACAAAAACGAGGCTTAGAGATAACCACATCAATTTTTATGGCACAAAATAACCTATAACCTGATATTGTAAGATTTCCGCGATCATGATGAATGACAATAGGCACATACACGAGACGACAGTTTCATCAGCAACTTATATCAGATTTCGGGCTGATTTATTTTGCGATTTAATTTTGAGCAAGGATTCTAAGATTTGTGAGAGAAGCATATTAGCATTGATTACCGTATTCTCTAAGATGTCAAACCATATGCTGTATTTGGATATTCACACACAATTTCCATCGTAACAGTCATATGCACGCAGCAACATATGGTTTTGGCATTTTGTAAAATCTAAGAATGTTGCAATATAAATCAGCTAAATTGATATAAGTGGTTGATGGCACTGTCGTCTAGTGACTGTGCATGTCATTTATCATGATTGCACAAATATTTCAATTTCAGGTAATAGGTTATTTTGAACGTTTTGTATCATAAAAATTGATGCAAAGCTACTTCTAAACCTCTTTTTATATCTTTTTCGAGCTCCCGATCCATTTGAGTATGGACGACTTCGTTAAAGAGCAGGCCCCGTCGGCGTCTTTGAATAGGGCACCTAAGCTTCAATAATAACCTCAACAAGCTGCCGATGAATTTCAGCAGGACGATCTTTTTTTGCTTTTAAGATCCGAATTACAAAGCGCATTTCATAATCGGCAAGCTTTTTTGACATGATGATAAAGTAGTATAATCACAAAACCATCACCGACAAGGATAAATATGGAACGTAATGACGACGTAGTGAGAGACTGGTCAAGTCTGAGGTTGAATGGACTCCACGTGTCAAAATATGCAGGCACGATGCGCAATTCGGTTCTTACTTTAAAAATGGCCGTCGTAGAACCGTGTTGCTACTTCACAGTTAAGATAATCCAGCTGAGCGTCTCTTACTTATAATAACAATTTTAAATTAACCAAGACAACGATCAAAAACATCAAACTGTGTAAATGTGGGTGTCGAGATTGTGGAACAGTGTGCCCGACGGTATTTTTCCGTTTCTGCCTTCGTACCTGCTCCAGTATATAGAAGGTGTTCCATTAAAATTCGGTTATTCTCGTACAAACAGTGAAGTGTTCTAAATCCTCAGTTGTTCCATATTCTTTAAATAGTCAATTTTGAACTTCACTAATTACATTAATGGGAGAGATAAATTGTGTGTTTCTAATTCGACTCTCAAAATTGGGATTTTCGAAACTGTAAGGGTACGCAGAGGGTTAAATGGGATCAAAGTTGCATTTAGATAGCTAAGGAAATAGCACTTGGAAGGTTTCACAATTCAGAGTATTTTTGAAGGATTACAAAAAACGAATTTTCCCATAATGGTATTAATTTTTTCTTGACTTGAATATTTGATGTGGGATTTCAAAATCAGTTGCACATCAATGTTGACACATTTTCTCTTCTACAGTGTGGCAGAATTAGTATTTTAATATTAAGTTTTGTCTCTTGTGCTTAATTAACTTTATTTTTTTCTCATTCTTATTTCATTTTAGATTTATGCACCGGTGGAGTCTTTTTGATTTCCAAAATGCATATCATATATTCATATTGCCAACCCTTAGCTATATTAAAAAAAAAACTAATATATTTATATGTCATTGACATTGAAAATGACATTTTATATGCTTATTCGATTACAACACCAATTAATTAACGATTGCTCCAGTTGAGAAGTTAAAGGACATTTAAGGGGGCAGTCCGATAAGTACTTGACCTATAAAGGAAAAACTAAAATTTTTGGGAAAGTGCCGATTTATTTTTCAACATCTTTAACCCGTCTGAAAAATATGTTTTCTGGAGGTCTGCAAAGTAGGCCTATGTGGCGGCGATAACCTCCTTATTCGCAAGTACTTATCGTACCGCCTTCGTAGATAATATGTCCATTTATCGACTATATCAAATATTTTATTACGACGAAGTCTCTCTCAGCTGTAGATTCATATTGTTTAAATACATTCTAAGATGTTTCTATCAGTTTCTTTAAATTCACCAGTTCGTTGTGTTCGTAACTGCCCTTAAATAATATCGAAACGTTAGTATTACCTTTTTCTTGATTCGATGAATTAAGATCAACTAGGACGATTATTTTCTTAGACATTTGAAGTTTTATTATATCAGTCCATGTCATTGCAAAGTGGTAAATAGGGAGAGTTTATCTATGCCCAGTTCACAAAAATCTGAAGGGATAAGGTAAACGTTCCAATTATCGTCACCTTTAGCACCTTACATACCCTGGGCATCATTCTAATATATTTAATAAATAAAATACCTATATCATCTTATATTCTAATTGTCAATTTGGCTAATAAAAGAGTTATCATATCACATAGTAATATTTATTTTGACCTAAAGAAAACACATCATATTTACAAAACTAATTAAATAAGAAGTGTGCTATGCCCGCATTATCGGCATTCTAAAAAATAGACGTGTTCCAGTTTTCGGCACATATAAGATCCTATTGTTGTCACAATGTTGGATAAGTAACCCAAAATATATTAACTAAGTAAATATCTAAGTAGTCACTAATAAAATATGTTAACATTAATTTCAAAATTTTAAACTTATATTGAAATAATAAAAATGTACTTTCTAAAAACTAAACGTGAAATTAATCGTTATTAATCTGTTGATCACTGACAAAAAGGACATTGAAATTCTTCTGTATCAGCTTTTGTTAAACCAAGACAAAACTCATGGTAGTATTTTAGACAGGAATAACAAAGGCGCATGTCCAGCTGATCGTCAGTCTCGCACAATAAGCAATACCAAGATTCCTCTGAAGGTTTTGATGTTGAAGGTTCAGTAGTTACAGGTCCATTGCCTGAATTTGTGGAAAATAATTTTTTAGTAACATTCTTTAATTTAGTTGTCGCCCTGCGATTAGAAATTCTCCTTTTAGAAACGTTTTGTGCAGCAGTAATTTTCAATTTCTTCTTTTTGTTTTCCAATTCTTTATTTTGGTCACGTTTGTTCTTTCTTTCTATTTTCAGTTGTTCTTCTTGTTTTTTCTTTTCTTCTTTTTTTTGATAGTATTGTTGCCACTGAGATGAAGTTGCTACAGCAGGTACTTTATTCTTCATTAGTTTGTGCTTAGCAATATTTTCCTTAGGTGTAGGCCAAAATAATGTTTGTTTGAATGGAGTCGGAATAGATTCATCTAGAACATTTTGTTGTAAAGGCGACAACTCTTTTTCTGAATTCGAATTTGGTTCGCCTGTAGAATCCGATTCAATTTTAGGTGTCGGTGTCGTTTTAATTTGAGTAGTTCCCATTTGTTGAAAGTTTAGTTCCAAAAGTGAAGAATGCTGCTCTAAAGAGTTTTCTACAGTTACATCATGTTGTGCTTTGCTGGGTGTATTTGAAATTATTATGGGAATATCTTCAGCAATGCCTATCGAAAGGGATAAATTTGTACAGTCAATAATTCCTGTAACATCAATTTCATTGTTATTGTTCCTTCTCAGCAAATGCGCCTTTGACATTTGAGCCTGCGTGAAATTCAATATCTACTTCTAATTGATCATTTATCAATTTATTATTTTCATTGATTTCTGTGGCATCTATTTCGTTGTGAATTTTTACGTCTGTAAATGTATCTTCCATAATAAAGTCTTCTTGAATTTCATTTTCACTTTGTACTAGATCAGAAACCTCTATTGCATTGTTGTTGCTATTCACTGTTTTGATCTTCATTTTCTTCCAGAGTGAAAACAGGCTAGTGTGCTCTACTGGGCCTTCCCAAAGTGGACCGGAAAGCAGAAATAATCTAAGAGTCCCTTTTGAGATGTATTGCTCTACACATCTTAGGACTGCTTGTGCTTCTTTTTATATTATCAACATTAAAGGGAACAAGTCTGCAGGTCCTGAAGCCATTCTTAATTATATCGGGAATATTTGTCATTTTTTGAAAAGTGCATTCCAAGATGGGCGCAAAGAAGTCTTTGGTAATCTTCTGCCCTTGGTTCTCCATTCTCCATCGGTGCACGCTCTTTTTCCATTCAAGCTTTAATGGTCGAAATACGGCCACATCTAGAGGTTGTAAAATATGTGTAGCATTTGGGCAAAGAGCTATAAGGATAATATCATTTTTACTACAAAATTTACTGAGGGCCATAGTTAGGTGGGATGTATGTCCATCCAAAAACAATATAACCGGAAACTGAACTTTTTGAGCAACTAACCAAGGGTGAAATATATTAGCGATGTACTCGAAAAAGGTTTCACCAGTCATCCACCCATTTTCAGACTTTCCGATACCCCAGTTTCCTGTAACTTTTTCGACAACGGAGTTGGGAATTCTTTTGTAATTATAAGCGATCATTGGCGGTAAAATTTGACCGGAGGCACTACACGTAACCAAAGTCGTCAGACATTCCTTCTCATTATTGCTCGCAAATGAGTAAACTGTTCTATCCCCCTTTTTAACTAAAACTTTGTCTTCTTTGGGTGTGAGGAAAAAAGCCGTTTCATCACAATTGAATACACGACCGGAATCAAAAGTTATGTTAAGATTGTTTGTGTTTTCTAAGAAGGTCCCTACTTCTATAAACCACTGACGAATGCGGTTTTCTGTTAGGCTGTTTCTAGCACAAGTGAGGTTTTGGGAAATCCTTGAAGCCAGTTCTGGGTGCCTTTTTAAAAATAATTCGTACCATTTCCGTCCAGGCCTGCCATCTGCGAAATTATTAGGCCTATCCAATTCTTTAAGCAAGAGCTGAACACTATCTAACAACTGTGTTTTTGTTGCTGGAAATCCATATGCTGCAATCCGAAATAACCATTCCACCAGTAAAATTTCTTCTTCCCTGGTTAGTATGGTCCCTGGTCCACATTTCTTGTCTAAAAGTGTTCTTCCTTTTACTTTGTCCTGTAGGGTCGATCTGGGTACGTTGTATAACTTGCTAGCTGCTTTAAATGGCATTCCTGACTGAACAGCGTTAACAGCTTTATTTATATCTTCGGTAGAATATTGAAGTCGTTTAAGCTTGTCCATTGTGATGTAATTTTAATCTGAAAAAAAGAATCTCCAATTATCGACACCTTATGTTCATATTATCGGCACTTTTATTAAACCTCAAATTTAAGCTAATTCTAGTAGATATATAGAGTGCCGAAACCAAACATTTTTCATGATAAATTAAGAGCTGAAGCTAAAATTGACCTAAATCCAGTCCAATACGTATAACCAATTATCGGCATATCTGCCGAAGATTAGATCATCAATTATTGTTTACGTACCCATTATCGGCACCCATAAAATACACAAAAAAACCTACAGTAAAACAGTTTTTTACTAGCAAATAACAAAAATAATAATTCCTAAACATATAAAACTTAATCAAACATTTACACGAAACGTTTATCAACAATTACAACACGATAATGGCTTACCTGTTTCTTAACTCTTGCTTACCTGTTTCTTAACACTTGCAACAAGAAACACTTCAGACAAGAGTTTGGCGCGAACTGACCACTATATTTTTGACTATGGTTATTACCGAAATTGGCCGACAGTCATTCGGTTCTGCAGAGGCGTAGACAAAGGTTCGCAGAAATTGGTGAAATAGTTTTATCCAACAATCTTGCGATAGAAATCTTATTTTTCGGGATTATGTAGAATTTGTGCCGATAAAAGGGGTAGTGCCGAAAATAGGGACGTTTACCTTACCTAGCTGAGGATATTATGGAATAAATTAGTATCTGGATAATTACAAGGCTTATTCAGAAAATTCTGCAAGATATGACAAACTTTACAATTTTTGAAATCAAAATTAAAAACTGTTCACCTATGCAAAAAATCCAATATCCATAAGAAACGTCATATCGAAATTCTGTTTACGGCACCTTGTAGATGTTAACACGCAATTTATTTTGAAATCTCACCTCAAATGAATTCAGGAAGAATTGATTGAATTGTGAAAATTTTCAAGTACCGAAATGTGCAATTTTAACCCCATATAAGCGGCTCTGTATCCCTTACCGTTTCTGAAATGCTAAGGGTGAGACTCGAATTTAAAATACCCTGTATATCTTTGAAAAACATTATTTTAGGTTTCCATAGCAGGCGTCGTTGCAGAGCAAGATGAGAAACCCCGTTGGCAAGCTTTTGTTCCGAGAGGAGGAGGACCTATACACGCGGTGATTGACACTTTCAATAACGCTATCGGAATATCCATCCTGGAGTCGAATGAAAACGGCGTGTTTTTTAATGAAGAAGCTATCACAAAACAATTCCATGATTGGTTAGGAAACTTGGCAGCAACTGTCTTTGATGGGGATTCAAAACGACAGAAGATTCAGGCTCTCGTCGAATCCAAAGTCAGAGAAGATTTGGCGCAAATTATCAACAGCCCAATTGTTCAATTAGGAGATAAAGTTGGTGCAATCAAAGACAAGATCTTGAACAGAAAGACAAGATCAGTAATAGGCAACGCTTTCTCAGCGGGAAAAAATGTTGCACTCAGGCCAATTTCTCATCTTAAAAATGGAGTTGGTGCAATCAAAAATAAGATACCGGTTAGAAAGACAAGTTCAATAATAGGCAAAGCTCTCTCAGTAGGAGAGAATGTTGTGCTAAGGCCAATTACATCTTTGGTTAACAAACTACTGAAGGAAATGCTGACTTTGTGGTTCAAGGAGAGCTACGAGATGCTAGGCAAAGTTGTAACGTTACCTATCAGGGCGCTTTTAGAAAAAATTATAAACACCTTTTTGCCTTGCAAAAGTTGTCCTTCCCTAGTGTGAATACTATTTTGTATCTATTTTCTGTTGTTTCAATAAAGATTACTTCCCTGTGTTAAAAGTTGTCACTATTATTATTATTTTAGCAAAGCTAACCAAAAATGTGCCAAAACCGTATGCAATTTATTCCCTTTAAAAAGGTGTTTAATACGACTATACCTACTTTATTATGTACTTGTTTTATTCATAGTTGATCCAGGTCATCACAATGTAGCGCTACTGTAAGGATACTTTATTTTCTGCTGAACGCACAAGATCAATTTGAGGGCTACCGAAGCGGTTGCCATTTTTTTCATCATATCCAAAATATTCTCCGCTCTTAATCAAATGATCAAATACTCTTTTGTAGTTCAAGCTTAAGATAAAGCTAATATAGAAAATTATGATAGCAAATTTAAAAATTGATAAACAAACAGGGGAAAATGGAAGGAAAAAAACGAAACTGTAACTTACGAGTATGAAGCTACCTCTATTCAGTCACTGAATTACCAAGGTTCATTTCATGCTACAAAATGGTATGGTAATTTTAAAATCTCTGCCTATAACATTCTTAAAATTTTTAATTTTAGATCCAAAAGCTGATAACATGTAATAAAAGCCCGTACCGAGGTTAGATCGCGTGTGAAAATTGTTCATAGTGGTCGCTACAGTAGCGCTACGTTGTGATCAGCACGGATATTATGTAAAAAAACCTATAAAATGTCATCTTGTAGACTAGGTAGTTTTTAGGGTGCAGTCATTCTACGTTTGCTCACTAGGATCGTTGTGAGCATCTATGGAGGAATGACTCAACTACACGCATTGTTGGTTGCATATGTATTGTGAAGCCCAGTAGTATGTAGTTTATTTCTGTGAAGAAAGTTGGTTGAATAGCATCTGGATGATTGTGTGTATTGGTCTGCATGAGTACAAAATCAAGCTAGCTGTGCCCGACGGATTATTTATATCGTCGTCTATACCGCAAACAGGCGTAACTAATCTTATACAAATTTTCAGTAGAAGCAAAATGAATATCGAAAGTTATTTGATTCCATATATCTTTTCTACTTTAGACAATATGATCATGATTTCTGATATCTCTGATAGCGAACTACTTAGTGTGCAACCATATTGCGAGCCTAGCGCCTTTGCGCCCACAGTGGCGGAAGCCTAGGGCGGCGGGACCTAGCGAGACAGCGTGCGTAGTTTTCAAACGTTCCTGTTCCGTGCTTTCTGGCCACACTACGTGCCTAATCAGCAAGCGACCTAACGCGCGGTAGCAGCGGCAACAAACCAGTTCGGTGTTGTCGCTCCTATGTATGCATGAGTATTAGTGTATTGTAATGGCGGAAAATGAATTGGGTATAAGTGCAATTTAATCTAAACCACCTATTTGGCAAAGTAAACATCTGCAGTACAGATATGTCGTCAAACGGGCCTTCGAGTGTACTCAAAAAATTTGATAGGGTATAACCTCAGTTCTTCATACAACTGAAATAATCAACAGTTGTTTCTCTGTTTGTATTTATTTCGTGCACACCATCTCGAATGTTCAACACCTCACATCTCAGGATCTGACTGTCTAGTAAAAATACCAAATCGTCGTCTTTAGTGTGTGACTTCTGATAATCATCGAACCAGCACAAGAGCTCGCGTTGCACTGTGGACAGGGACAACACACGCCGCCGCTCGTCGCGCCCGCCTTAGGCCCCAGTCACCGCGCATTCAGTATGGGCGCACACTTAGCGGGATTGAAGATATGCCATGTTCCAAGTTATAAATTACGCTTTTTTACGTTTTTTGTGTTTTTAAAAACTGAGAAGAATTACGGGAAATCACCACCGCGCCCGCGTTGTATTACTGTTAGTATCTATATGACTTGTAATTCGACAGTGTACGGTGAATATAATTATTTCATATCTCTCTCATTTTTTAAACTCGGCAAATTTGCATATGTAATTTCCAGAATGGATAAGAAAAAGTGGATGCGCTAATAATTTCTAACTTTGAATCTCAAGTATATATGAGACAATAATCCAATGGAATTATCAGCAACACATATTATATTAGAACACAAATCCTCAATATGCACTTATGCATTGCCGTTTCCTTCTAGCAAGATGGGTCTGACAGCACGCATAGTTCACAATTAGCAAAAAAACTTAAACTCTTTTCAATATTGTTTTATGCTTTGTTAAGTTGGCGTATATTGAAAATCACCTAGCTAAATAAATAAATAATCCTCGCGAGTACTAAACTGTTGTTGGCGGCTACATTGGATTAAAGTTATTTCGATTACTATTTTCATTGCTCATTTTTCTGCCATCTTTGTTCTTCAGTTTAAAGCATTTTTAAGCCTAGAAACATTTTTGAATATAGTCTCTTTTACCAATAAGTGAAATTTGCATGATAAATATACGCATTTTTTAAAAATAACTACAATAGTTGTGTATTAAACACTATACCGAACTGAAAACATAGATTTATTTATAGTCCATTTCAATGACCTACAAGAAATGTCTTTAATGACTAGTTCAATATATGAAAGATGTTTTCACCTGACGTTGGTTTTATAGAATAATGCGCACATTTTCATTTTAAGGTCGTCCCATCTCGTTGAAAATGTTTAAAAAATAGTGAACGCATGGCTCAGTTATAGATATGTTATTGCTAAACCCGCAACATTTATATTAATGGTGTATTGATATACAGTTTATTGGCATATAGAAAATATGTTGACTTATTAGTAGTGCTATAAGAGATAATTAAATATCACGGAAAACAATGCATAAAAGAATATTGTTTGGTCCAAAGAAGTTTATACGATGGCAGGTTAGTATTTACTTCACTTTTATATTCTCTTAAGTTTTCCATTATAAGTTACAGACTACACTTTTATCAGTGGAACCAACCAACAAAAGCGCATTTTTTAATACACTGTTTTAAATATGACTAGATATAACTTGCTTGTTGCATTGAATATGAGCTGTTTCCCTGAAGTAAATGTTATTAATAAACTATAGAAGGTGATCCAAAAAGGTGTGATAAGCTGAAGCCCAGATGCAGATCACTGTAATATTGTATTATCCGATTTTTTTTTTTTGGTTTGTGAGTGTTATCGTTACATCCGCCAGTGATGAGGTAATATATGTCAACGATAATGATAATTATAAATGATCAGTTTACTTTTGATACGTTACCAAAGTGATCTTCTTGGTTATATTATGTCAAGACATTCTGTATCGCGCCTTAACGCGGAATACGTCGTGGGTAAAGTCCGCGTCTATTTGATATTGGTATCTCCAATAACTTAAATTATTTGCGTATTTTTCAGGAATTTTCGAGTTGGCCATAAGTGCGGAAATAAGTGCGATAAGTGCCTGCTTTTTTCTTTATTATTTAGCCAAAATATCTTATACAGTGCTTTTCAGAAAAATGTCCTCTACTTATTTTTTTCACATGTCACGCTGAATACTATATTTTAACGTAAAAGTAACAATTGAAAATTCGGTAGCTGGGCTCCATCTTGTAACTTTTTACAAATGGAATAGGGTTCTAAAGTACTTGAAAAAGGCGGACGAAATGTCGCACAGAAAACAGTAATTAAAACATATGTTTTTTGATTTAACGACCAAACAATGGGGTCCTATGTGATACCTTATTTTAGAAACTCATGGGTAGTTTATAACTCTCACTATTTTTCAAAATGGCTGACTGGCGTTGATTTAATCAGTTATAACTGAACAACTAATTATCAAAATGTTATAGCATATTATATCAATCTTCTTTTGGAATGTGAACGTGCAATAAAATATGAAACGTTCAGTTAAAGAATTTTGCCAGTCTTTCTTAATGGGATGCTCCAAATTTCATAATCTATACAGTGTGACTTTGAAGTTGAGTCATTAATTTTCAGATAATGATTGTAGAAGGAAGATAAACCAAAATGTGTGTAAAAATAAAAAAAAAATAAAAAAATATTTTTCCTTGTTTTATAAAGTATCCTCCCGACAAGTATTTCAGTGCGGACCTGTATTTGATCGTGAGGTCCCCTGTGAGGTCTTAAGTCACCTGATTCACGAGCCCGTTGTACTACATTAACAAAGGCACGAGGGGTTGGTTGCACTCGATTGGGAAACCGATCCGCATAAACATGTGCCATTTTTTATTTCGTTTGAGCCACGCAACAGACACTATTCACACGCGACTGACACTGACTGTATGTGTAACTGAACTGAATAAAAAATTGTAAAAACATCGTTCCAAATTCTTTCGCTTTTTTGCTTCCGATGCGATGAACCGATAAGGTGGATTATATCCGTTGTTGCCAAACACGAGCACATGATATTATGATTGAGACAGGGCGGTACTCAAACTTCCAAAGGGCTATAACTTTGTTACTTTAATTTTACCAGAAAAATGGTAAAGGAAAAAAACATTTCTTTTGATCAGATCTACTCACTGTTAAAATAAATGACTCAATTTCGAAGTCACCCTGTATATTTGGATAGACCCTCCCAAAGGAAGAATATCGATTTAACATAACGTAACATGTTGAGTTATACGCGATTCAATGTAAAAAACGCCCAACTTAGACAGCCTGTCAAATCGCCATTTTGAAAGCTAATGATGTATATTATAGGGTTGTAAAATACTGGTGAGGATCTTGAAAATGATGTATCTCACGACCCCTCATCCTATTTAAAAAATCCAAAATGGCGTCCAATCGCCATCTAGAAACTTTCCTCTACCACTTTTACTCCAAAATATATTATATATTATGACATATTTTTGTACAAGATGTTAATTTAGCAATTAGTTGTACGTGTTGCCTAAACGTCATGAGGCTTCAGTTGGCTCTGATGTGATGTAAAATCTGCTTCAGAGATGGCATTACTGGAGGTCTAAGTTGTATGTGTTGATGATAATTCCATTGGATTCTTGTCTCAAATACACTTAATTGAGATTCAAAGCTAGACATTAGTTGCGCATCCACTTTTTCTTATCCGTTCTGGCAATTACATATGCAAATTTGCTGAATTTCAAAAATGAGAGAGATAAAATAATTATATTCACTGTGCACTGTCGAATTACAAGCTATATACATGCTAACAGTAATTACACACAACGCGGGCGCGGTGATGGGTTCCCGTAATTATCCTCAAAGTTTTTCGTAATTTATAACTTTGAACATAACCTTCAGAAAGGGCACAGCTAATAGATTTCCTTCATTGGCAGCATATTCAGTAATGATTTTCTCACACAGCAAATATCACTGATTTTATACACATGCAGACCAATACACATAATCATCCAGATGCGATCTTGCTATTCAACCAACTTTCTTCTCAGAGATAAAAACTACAGACACAGACCACTCGGCCTCACAAAACATATGCAACCAACAATGCGTGTAGTTTAGTTGAGTGATTCCTGCATAGGTGGACGTTCACAACGATTCTAGTGAGCAAACGTGAAATGACTGTTTGCGCCCTAAGAACTACCTAGTGTGCAAGAGACATAGTTTTTTTACATAAATTCCGTGCCGTTCAAAAATTAAGTATGGGTGGGCGTTTTGCAAATCGCCGTATGTAGAATTCACATAAAGCAGTTATTATAATTTTAACGTGATAATGTTCTTTCGAAAACAACAGTTATTTATCCTTATAACTTTTGAGGAAAGGTATTATCACTGCATGAAACGGTTTGTGATTGGGTGTGTCAGTTGACAGTAGGATGAGTTTTGACTGTCACATTTCTTAAATTGTCAATAATGCTAATAGAGCTCTAGGTTTTAATGTTAGAAACTGTAAGCTTATTACGGATTTGGCTGCATTAAGGGCATTACGAGGGGGTACCCAAAAAAAGGAAATATTTCTTAAAAGCTATTTATTTTCAACTTTTTCACAAAGTAACCTGAAAACCTGTGAAAATTTAAAAATCCGAGCGGTCTTCCCAAATTATAACGGGTGATTTTTTAAGAGGTATAGGATTTGATTTTCAAAAAAAAAACACAAAAAATTTGAAAAAACGAATAAATCTTTATTTGAGTCGATAGAACGGTCGATATAATTTAATGTTTAAAGATTATTTCATGTAAATGTTGGCCGCAGCTCCGCTTTAGATGGCCCATGCGCAAGGTCCAATTTTGGCACACTCTCTCCAACATATCTCACGAATAAATGCTTCAATATTGGCTTCCAGTGCGTCAATCGTTGCTGGTTTATCCCTGTAGACATTAGCCTTAACATGGCCCCACAAGAAATAGTCCAACGGCGTTAAATCACACGATCTAGGCGGCCAATTGACGGGCCCCAAACGTGAGATAAACTGTTCACCGAACTCGCCTCTCAATAGGGCCATTGTTTCGTGTGCGGTGTGGTATGTGGCACCGTCTTGTTGAAACCACATGTCAGCCAAGTCCAGCTCTTCCATTTTGGTCAAAAAAAGTTTGTTATCATCGCACGGTAGTGCTCGCCATTCACAGTTACGTTCCGGCCATTGTCGTCTTTGAAGAAGTACGGCCCGATGATGCCACCGGCCCATAATCCACACCAAACAGTGATTTCTTCGGGATGCATTGGTAGCTCTTGCAATGCTTCTGGCTGGTCTTCACTCCAGATGCGGCAATTTTGCTTGTTAACGTACTCATTCAACCAGAAATGAGCTTCGTCGCTGAACACAATTTTTCGATAAAAATGTGGATCTTCCTCCAACTTTGGCAGCGCCCATTCACCAAATTGGAGACGTTGTGGGTGGGAGATCGTGTGGCTTCAATTCTTGCACCAGCTCTGTCGCAAAATTTGGAGTAACAGAGGCCCAATTGCTGCGAACGGCGGCGAATCGACATTTCACGGTCATCACTAACACTGGCGGATACAGCCGCAATATTTTCTTCAGTCCTCACTCTACGTCTGCGTGTTGGTGGTTTAATGTCCAATAATGTAAACTGGGTTCGAAATTTAGTCACAAGCTTCCGAATAGCTCCCTCAGTAGGCCGACAAAATTGCCCATAAATTGGAAGCAGTGCTCGATGCACTCTCTTAACCGAGCATGAATTTTGATAGTAAAATTCAATAATTTGCAAGCGTTGTTCGTTCGTAAGTCGATTCATGGTTAAATTATAGACCAAACTGAACAAGTTTGACAATGACACAAGACACGATTCACGCGTCATCTGTCAAAAACAGTGTTGCCAAAAATATACTAGCAAAAAAATCACCCATTAGATCAAGGATTAGCGACAGACAGACAAACCGACAGATAGACCAACAGACAGATAGACCGACGGAAATGAGTGAAATGGTGTTTCGTGATGTACATGTCACATCCACGAAACAATGTCTAATTTTACCGAAATTTTTCGCGATTACAATACTTCTTCGCGATTAGGCGTGTGAAGTAAAATCATTTAACATCATGATCAAACATATCTACTGCTCGAATTGTCCTACCGGTTAATCTGAATCCTCTATTTATTTACTGGCTGAAACTTGATACTACGTTTGATCGATAACATTCTGAGAACGTGCACATATATATGTACCGCTGTACGTCATTATCATAATTTTTGCACGTGATATCAAATTCCATTTATAAAAAAACTAAACGAGAAAGCTGTACAAAAATTCTCTCTGTTGCATGAGCACGCTTATCATCAAGTGATGCGCCTTGAGAATAAATTGTTCAATTAATTATATGTATTTTTATAAAGACGAGACGACTGTGCGCTGTGTGTTGTTCTCCAAACATTAAGTTGAGCGTTGAGTTCAAACACTTGTGACATCAACTGCTGTGATAAATAGTGAAAATGTATTTCGACGACGATTTGGAGTTTGATGCGGAAGTAAGTTTGACTTTATACAAATGTCAAGGATCTTGTTTATTTTAATACGCGTGTACGTACAGCATGCATCTAAAGTGTTCCCTTTTCCCATGGCAGAATTGTGACTTCAATTACATATAATAAAGCCTTCTTTCCGTGACGGGAAAAAACTTTGACATTTTATCTCTGTTGACAGGTAACAAAATGTCACTTTTTCCCGGGAAACAATGAGTTCTTTTTTCCCGGATGTATATCTGGCAATAATTTTTGTGGCGCTATTTTGTCTACTTCTACTAATTCCGGTGGAGTCGAAGCTCGGAATCAGACATTTTTTACTTTATCATATTAAAAATACCTTCTAAAAACCACTAAGATTTTAAATCAAATCACAAAATTAAATTGACAGCTATTTGATCACTTTAAAAGTTTTCTTAGCAAAGCAGGTCTAATTGTCGCTATAAGTACAACAAAGCCTACTAGTGTCAAAATTTAAATTTCACATCGATACTTTTCTGTCTTAAATATTGTAATAATATAATTTTTCAATATTAAATCGTCGTTTTTCCAGACACTGCTCGTCGGGAGACAATACAACCTCAAGCTAAAATCTAGTACTTTTTCCCCTTATACGGGGTTGTCCAAAACGGACGCAGGAAAGTAAACGCATATTAAAACAATAAAGATTGATATTCAAATCAAGTTGGGTACTTTATTTTGAAGGTTCATTTATACCATTTATGTATGAAAAATAATATCGCTCAAATGTTCAGCACGACTGGATTTACAGACGTCCTCGCGATGGTCGACATTTTCAATGACATTTTGCAACATGGTCGGTTCTATGGCATTTATCTCGGCAATGATGTTGTTTTTGAGTTCTTGGAGGGTGGCTGGTTTGTTGACGTAGACTTTGCTTTTCAAATATCCCCATAAAAAGAAGTCCAAGGGAGTCAAATCGCACGATCTTGGTGGCCATGGCACATTTCCTCTGCGCGAAATCACGCGATCACCGAAGAAGGACTGCAATCGATGGATATTGACGTTGGTTGTGTGGCATGTTGCACCGTCTTGTTGGAAATAAACATCGTCCATATCCATTCCTTCAAGTTGCGGCAAAAAATAGTCCTCTATCATCACGAGATATCGCTCAGAATTGACGGTAACGGCGTCCCCGGCCGCATTTTCGAAAAAGTAAGGTCCGATGATGCCTTTTGACCACAATGCTCACCACACAGTTACTTTTTGAGGATGCATCGGCTGCTCTTGATACTCACGGGGATTTTCGTTCGCCCAGATGCGGCAGTTTTGCTTGTTTACCGTCCCATTCAAAGTGAAATGAGCTTCGTCGCTGAACATGATTTTTGATGAAAAATTGGCATCAATTTGGCGGTGTTCAAGGAGCCAATCTGAGAACGTTCGGCGCGAAAAATGGTCGTCCCGATGCAGCTCTTACGTCAATTGGATCTTGTAGGCGTGTACATTCAAATCCTTGTGGAGAATGCGGAGCAAACTGGTTCTCGAGATGCCCAATTCTTGGGATCGACGCGTTGTTGATTGTTTCGGATCGTCTCTCACACTCTCCTTCACAACAGCAATATTTTCCGGTGTGCGAACGCTCCTTGGCCGGCCAGAGTCTGGCAGATTTGCCACAGAACCTGTTGCCTCGAATTTACGCACCAGACGACCGATGGTTGTTTCGTTTGGGCGGTTGTTGCGACCGAAATGTTCACGAAGCGCGCGAAACGTGTTTTTTATTTTTGCACCATTTTTGTAGTGCTCTTGAATAACTTTAATGCGGTCTTCAATCGAATACGACTCCATAGCGATCAATGGTAAACATTCAACTAACAAAATGCCATATCGGTGACAGAAAACAAAGATGGCGTCTATGTCAAATTGACGTTTACTTTCCTGCGTCCCGATTTTTATGTATCTCTCTGTAGCTTTGTGGCAGCGGAGGTATGAGCAAAAAAGTCCCAGATCGGATCCATGCATTGGTTTTCTACGTTTTGCAACTATCTGATGATTCATGGTTTTGAAAAATCTACAAACCTCGCTTTCTCCGTTTTTCAAGTTTATAATTAGTATAAGACGTAGTCGAAAGAATTTCGGCCAGATTCATTTTTTCAGTTACATACAGTAATGGACAAAAGTATATAGACAAATATGAATATTTACCTAAATACCTTTAGAAAGCGAATTCATACTTCATTGCTCCATAAACAAATGCGTTATTGATAGAAAAACTAAATTCCTTGTTTTTACATTATCTGCAATGAACACAATACAAGCCTGAATATCAGCACTTTTTTATGAGGGGCAAAAATTCGTTTCAACATTAGTTTAGTACAGTTTCGTGTCCATCAAGTATTGTGGAATAAGTTGAGTGATTTTAAGACCATGCCGCGTGGTCCAGAAATTTCTTTGCCAAAAATTTGAAGCTGAGCGTAAAGCAGTTTGGGCAATATTGAATAAATATAAACAAAAAGGTATCTTGAAAGCCTCTAAGAGAAGTGGTCGGCCTAGAAAACTAAATGCTAGATCAGTTAGATTAATAAAAGTAGTTTCGTCCAAAGCTCCGTTTAAAACCCCAAGGCAAATAAAAGCCGAAATCGAGTCCAAAGGAATTATTAGTGTTTCTACGAAAACTATAAGTAGAATATTAAACGATTTAAAGTTATTTGCACGTCACCCGAGTAAGAAGCCGCTAATCTCGAGGAAAAACCGTAAGGACCGATTACAATTTGCACGGTTGCATCTTGATTGTCGAATCCAAGTTCAATATGTTTGGATCAGATGGTGTTCATTACGTTAGGCATCCTAGTGGACAAAGATTGAACGCCAAGTACACTTTGCCCACTGTCAAACATGGAGGCGGGTCTGTTATGGTTTGGGGGTGCTTTTCGGGGTTTGGGATGGGACCTTTACATAGAATAGATGGAATTATGGATAAATTTGTATACACATACATACTAAAGGATGTCATGTTACCCTATATGGAAGACAATATGCCCTTAAGATCAATCTTCCAGCAAAATAATGACCCGAAGCACAGTTCAAATCTCGCAAAGAAATTCTTTCTGGATGAAAAAATACCAGTTCTCAAATGGCCTTCACAGTCTCCCGACATAAACCCCATTGAAAATCTATGGGTATACTTAGATAAGCAAATACGAGATAAACATTATTCAAACAAGGACTTTTTGCCGCTTTAGAGCAAAAGTGGCGACAGATTGATGAATCTTATATCAAGAAACTTCTACAATCTATGCCGAGACGATGCCAGGCGGTGATTGATAATAATGGTTATCCTACAACATATTAACACAAACATGGTTGGTTTTCTATAATTCAATGAACTTTGCTTCTTTTTTCTATAATTGTTTTACTTTGTCTATATATATTCATACTTCCAGTTTTTTCAATTAATTTTTTATTGAAGGGAGTCTAATGAATTTATTTATATATAATTGGGTATTATGCTATAACGAATTATGTATACAGGTTTGTGTATTAATAAAACAAGTTAAAAAGAAATACAGCACAATATTAATTTGTCTATATATTTTATTTTCAATTTATTCAATTCATTCTATATTTTTTGAAAGGTGGTTCGCATGTGTTGAAGCTCAGCATCACAAAGTTGAGTGTTTAATTCAAACACTGGTGTTATTTTAACATACTGGCATTCATCATGCAAATGTATTTTGACGACGATTTGGAGTTTGATGCGGAAGTCTGACTTTATATACGAAATGTCAAGGATCTGGTTTATTTTTAAAACATTTGTGCGGCCACTCGTACCAAGTAGTAAACGTGTTCACTTTCGTCGGTTTAATTTTTTTATATTGTCATAACTTTTCACACATAAATGTCACCTATTATGCCACTACGTAATCTCAAAAAATTAAACACAGCAGCGCTTTCGATGAAATTATAACAATATACTGATTTATACTGCATGTTTAATAATGTGGTCGCTATATAAATAAAAATATGATGGTTCTGCATTTTTTGTTTTACGAGTTTCTCAACATTGTTGAAGGTTTTTTAAAACTTTAATAATTGGACAAAATTATATTTGTTTTTATTCGTTCTTCACCGTTCAATGCGGTAATGTTTGAAGTAAAAAAAAAATAAAAATCAGCTAAGCACCATTTTATATAAAGCAAAAAACGCAAGGTGTCCCGAGTTTCGTATGTAACGAAGTTTAAATATGGAATTTCTATTAAATCACTAGAAGTACCAAGTTGATAGTGTTTTTCTTATCATTATAAATAAAATTATGATTGAAGTAGGCAAAATCGGCGATTAATTTTGGATCAAAGTCTTTATTATTTCACAGCGTAATATGTGTGTCCGTTTCTTCAGATACGAATATGCTTAAATGTTTTGTAACGATAATAGTCATCAAATAACTAAAATCTTGAAGCTTTGTTTATGTTATTGTTCATCTCAATTTCTTATTTATGTGTACATTTTCTGGTCTAGTGGCTTCTTCTGGATTACCCATTATACAGGGTGTGTCAATTTGGTCTGTAATCATTTAAAACTCGGTAGCGATAAGGAACGATGACCAAATCTGGCGAATTAGGTTAAAGCTGCGCTCTTATGTGTAAAGGAAACGACATTTATATAATCTTGAAATTCAGAAAGCGTCATCTACATTTTTTTTTATTAGAATAACATACACGCGGCATAGTAAAATTGAAAGATGCAGTGCAGAGTACTTATTTCCATTTTGTTCAATAATTGAGTATATTTATTTCGGTCGGAGGTTATTTATGTTAGTTTCCTTTTTTTCAGGTAGATAGTATACTAAGGGCTAATGAATATACTCAAGAGTTTAATGGAGGAGCTATTAAATCGTACGACTCAAATCAACTAGCTTCCAATAGTCCAATCGAAGACACTAGAGCAGAGGCGACATGTTTAATGACATCTGGTAAGTTCACCTTTCCGTCCCCATAATGGCATCAGATTTGTTACATGTTTTTAGCCATAGTGACATATCCTCCTCATACAAATAGTTTCTTATGGCGCCTCTAAACGAGCAATACTGTTGCAATATTTGGCTATAACTATGGTAACTGTAGCCCAGGCATGATGAATATACAGGGTGATCGGAACATATTGGCCCAAGCAGATTAGCCAAAAATCGACCCTGTTTCAGAAAAAATTGTAATAAGCAGAGATGCTACAAAATCAGGAACAAATGACTGACTAAAGTGTACGTGTCGTGGCAGCTTACGTTATTTACATAGTTCGGGAATCTTATAACAATTTATGAAAATAGGTCATAAATGTCAAACATTTGTGGCAATATACTCGGGCTATACTAAAAATATTGCTCTATATTGCTAGCTACTATATAGCCAACCCAAGTTATGTTTTGATTATAATTGACACACTACGGTAAATCTAGTCATAAGATATCTCCAGGAATGGTGCCTTAGTCCTTGGATCAAATCATGAATGCTATACCAATGTCATATGCACCATACAATCCCGTCTTATTACATTTGGAATAATAGTTTGAAAAACGGAATAGTGCGATAACTCTCGTTTATTGATCAAAAATGTTTCTCTGTTTCTACTACGATGAATGCTACGAATACCTCACATCGGTATCCCTCAAAAAGTCTTTGACCCTTTGCTGTCACTATATCTAGCCTTGGATAAACATTTTCACACCGCAATTGTTAACTTAGGATCAGTTTCATATAGACAAAAAATGAAACAGAGAATAATAAATCATAGTGAACGATAATAACACGTACAAGCCACAAATCTGTTCAGCAAAGCTGGTTGAATTACGGGTATAATAAAAAAATCATCTGAAAATTGTAGCGTGAACCGTGACACTTGTGACACCACTGATAAGACTGTGACATACTGTAGCTTAGAGAAAATACCGTAGTTTTGTTTGTACATTGTGTTTTCTAGAAAAATGGTTTTATTCTTCTTATGATCTAACCAAATATAATTTTTGATATGAATTTCTAACAGTAAATATAGATGTTATTGTTTAACTTTGTGTATTCTGGATAATTATCATGACTTGAACGAATTGTATGAAATTCTTTTAGTTTAGTCGACAAGAGTTTTAAAATTACAAAAACTCAAAACGTGCTTTGACTGTTGAGGCTTCTTTGTCTCTTTTCAAGCAATGTGTCTGGTATGCCGTCAGTTTCCGGGTTTATATACTTTTTCCTTGCAAAATTTTTCAGCTTTCGTAATACTTACCAAATTTCGTTCTGTTTTGAATTCCTTTAAGCATGAAAAAAATGGGTAGCAGACTCTTGCTAATCTAAAATTTCCACAAGGTAAACTGATTGCAAAGAATATATTCTTTTTAATAAATGCATTTCCAAATTTCACTGGACTATTTAACTAGCAAGAAAATTAAATACGCTTTATCTTGACATTGAGAACAATTACGTTTTTCCGATTTTCACGTTCGTATTGTGTGAAATGTTAATCACTAGTAAAAAAACGAACTTATAAAATATAGTTTTCCTTGATCGAGACAACAATTTGTGTTGTGTTATTTTGCTATCATTTCTAAAATGCATATATATATTTACCGTAGGTAAACTCATCGTGTCAGCGATCTACAGAGTGTAGCATTATCAAATGATACAAGTTGTATCTAACCAGAAACGATTACATTTTATGTCTGTCTTGACTCAAATATCGATTTAATGAAAAATTTTAATTTCCGTCTAGCGTCAGGTATTTTCATCTTAATTTTATATTTGATTTTAAATTAGTGCGAAGAGTAACCATATTATCAGTGATAAGAATTTTTTATTTTTCTGACTTTGACGTTCTCTGGTATCTCTTCATTCAGCTTTGTTGATCCTAGTTTCTTGAAGGATGAATTGATGTCTTCTAGGCAAGATTATAGTATGTACGGATCCCCTTGTTCTATACTAGAAAACTACAATAAACGTGCATTTTGAGGTTTTCAGATAATTTCCCACAATATCTTGCAAAAATTGAAAAAATATTTTAACGCTACTATCAGACTGCTAGATCACCCTGTACGATCATCGTCTCGTAAACGTGACCAGCGTGACACTTAGTCTGTGATGCTGTTTTTTGAATTTAGTGATAAGATATATAATAACAGTCACTGAATCAGCAAATGATCGGAAATATCCCACGTGAACCCAGACCACGCGGATTTCAGCAAAGCATTCAGAAGAATGTTTTGATTGTATATTTGTACTTTATTCTGTCACTAAAGGACTGAGTGATCAAGGGTTTATCTTAACGCTTTGTATTATTGCAATTTGTTGTGCGAAGAGTACCGATAGTAACAGTGATACGAATTTTTTATTCTTCTGACTTTGTCGTTCTCTGGTATATCTCTTCATTCAGCTTTGTTGATCATAGTTTCTTCATGGATGAATTGATTTCATCTAGGCTAGATTATGTACTGCATCATATTTTAAGCTGTACCAATTCCAGTTCGTATAGTTCCTTTTGTTCTATACTAGAAAACTACAATAAACGTGCATTTGGAGATTTTCAGATAATTTCCCACAATATCTTGCAAAAATCGAAAAAATATCTTAACACTGCTATCGAACTGCTAGATCACCCTGTACGATCATCCACTCATAAACGTGACCAGCGCGACACTTGGTCTGTGATGCTGTTTTTTGAATTTAGTGATAAGATATACAATAACAGTCAGTGAATCAGCAAATGATCGGAAATATTGTACGTGATCCCAGACCACGCGGATTTCGGCAAACTATTCTGAAGAATGTTTTGATTGTATATTTCTTCACGTTTTGGATTACTGCAATTTGTTTTGACAGTCCATCCGTAATAATGGAAGGTTTCGTATAGTTGTTGATAACTGCATATGTGAAGTATTTCAGAAACTATAGCAGATAATATCAGAAGACGACAACATTTTATTAGGGTTATCAAAAAGAAAAAATAATATATGACTTTTGGGACTTAGATATGACCTTCACATGAAAGATAATACGAGGGATGTCTTTTAAGTCTTGCATATGAAAATAAAACAACACGGCAGGTAGTTTTAAATGACTTTACTGTTTTTCTAAGTATTCTCCACGAAGATTAATACACATCTGCATGCGCTCGAATCAATTTTTGAAGCACTTATTCCACTCGTTTGCAGGCAGATCCAAAACGGCATTTTTGAATGCGTCAACTGCTTCTTCTTGTGACTGGAACCTTTGACCACGCAGTCTGTTTTTAATTTTCGGGAAAGTAAAAAAATCGTTAGGACTTAGATCGGGACTATATGGAGGATGGTCCAATAATTCCACGTTTTCTTCCGTTAAATACTGCCTTGTTTTTTGCGCTGTGTGCGAGCTTGCATTGTCTTGGTGGAGGATGATTCTTCTTTCGGGGTTGATTTTTCGAAGCTCGGTGATGACTTTTGGCAAACAAATGGTGGTATACCAATCCGCAGTAACAGTTCTTTGCTCATTAAGAGGGATTGTTGCAATATGACGCGCTTTTTACACAAATGTCGCGACCATCTTTTTCGAAACACTTCGAGAACGGATGAATTTTGTTGGCTTTCCTTCACCTTGGAACACCCAAACAGCCGACTGTCGTTTATTTTCTGGCTCATAACAGTAAATCCACGATTTATCACCACTAACAATGCTGTACACATTTTTTGAGTTTCCGGAATTGAAACGGTCAAGCTTTTTTGTTACACAAATTAACCCTGGCTGCTTTCTGTTCTTCAGTCAACAGGTGGGGTATCCAACGAGAAACTAATTTTCTTACTCCTAATTCTTCATGTAAAAGTTTTTGAATTGAGGTCTTTGAGATCTTCAAGGACGCCTCAATCTCGCGATATGACACATGTCTATCTTCAATGATGAGTTTGCGCACAGCATCGGCGTTTTCCTGGGTGGCCGCCGTTTTTGGTGCACCCACCCTGGGATCGTCGCTAAGACTCACCCGTCCACGTTTGAATTCTCCATACCAACGGGAAATTGTCGACTGATGTGGCGCTTCGCTGCCGAAAACAGACAGTAACTCAGCAAGGCATTCTTGTTGCGATAATTGTCTCTGAAAGTTGTAATAAATTATGGCGCGAAAATGTTCTCGGTTGAGTTCCATTTTTCTAATGACTTGGTGACACTTAAAAATTCACTGTAGTGAGAACACGGTACGTATTGTTGTGAAACTTTGAATTTAAGTTTACTAAAGAGTGAGGTTAAGATTCAGTACTGACGTTCGATCCACGCGGCGTACTATGTTTCTATATGCAAAACTTAAAAAACATCCCTCGTATTCGAATCTTGATTTTAACAAAACTAGTAACGGGCCTTGTTGAAATTGAGCGAAATAAGTTGTAATGTATTAAATATACTTTTTTATTTTCGCATATACTCGTATAACATGTGTATGGAATATGACATAGATCTGCCATTGCAGCTCAACGTAGCCCAAGCAATCACTCAAATCCACCATATCCATTCGGCAAAATTATTAAAAATTAGTTCTTTCATATCCATTGCACTGTGTGAATCCGCGGAGAATGAGGTAGTGTCATATAAGAACCTTTCAAATAAGAAAAGGAAATTCATTAATGCTTCTCACAGATTGTTTTATTCCACTTCAGCATCGACCCTTTATTAATGTTATGCAAAAGAATACTAAGAGAGTGGTTGTTGCTCGCAGTCTGACATGCAAAGCTAACGTTTTCGTAGAACCTATCGCACATAATAGATTTACCGTTTTAGAGCGACAAAGTAGCTAAGACGCTCGCTGCTGGTATCAGAATGCAGATATCATATGCAATAATAGCATGCATGGATTCTCATCAATTTACAGTATGGACTGGAAAGCGTAAACTTCTGTATTTTTAGAACAGATTGAGAGCACACTGCTTGAGCCGTTCTCACAATGTTGCCAATCAATCATGTGTGTAGATTGGCGGACTTTCCACTCTGGGAACGCAAATAACTATACTAAATAAAATAAACAGGCTCTGCTTTCGTCCATCCGATCAAAGACAGCTAACCATGGACAGCTCTTTCGTGCTTATGGGCATGGTCTAGGCATTTGTCTCTTGATCAACGAACAAAAGAATAGCAGCTATACACTATCCACATAGTAATAAGACAGCGCGAAGCGCCATCTACCGCTAGAATCGCCAACTGCGAAACAGTGAATCACAGACTAGTGGTTGGGACTGTATGGATCTCAGTCCGCGAATTGGAGGCCCAGTCACCACGTGACCGCTAGATGTGTAGTAGATGTGGTTTGCTTGCCATTGAAAAAAATAAAATAAACATGATCTGATTTCGTCCGCCCTACCAAAAACAGTCAAGTATTTATAATGTTTATGGAAGGTTTTCAGTATTTTTTGATGTTTCATTTTTATTTAAAAGAACATTCGTATTGGAGGACTCTACAAAATCATTGCTAATCTGTCACTGTTGCAGGCTATCTGGCCGGTGTATTCGATGGTCACGGCGGCGGCGCATGCGCACAGGTGATCGCCAAACGCCTCTACAACTACATAACCGCTTGTCTGCTTCCGCACGATACTCTTGTAGACTATCTCTTGGCTCTGTCCAAACAGGAACCTGTTAAGCTTATCGAGTCATTCAACGACAAGGTGCAATTCGTCGACGACGTCAAGGAGATCTACTCGAACAGCTTCATGAGATTCCTTAGAGAACTATCAGAGGTAGGTTTTCATACAAAATTTGTTATAATCATCGAATTTATTGGATAGAAAGCTGGATTTGTTCTAAGAAGTATCTGGGAAAGGATAGATTCACGTAGAAAAGCGAATCCCGACAAGCGGTTTTTCATTTCTTTTTTTTTGTATCTGAATACGAATGTGAACGTGAAAGATCGTGCAGTTCACCTTGAGTAATTTGGGATGCCAAATTCCAATATGGTAACAAGATCTTGAAGTATAGCTTGATTAGTTTTGGAAGCCAAATTTGAATATGGTTTGAGGTAGAAAATGGATAGCTTGATATTCAAAAGTTACCCACTCTACATATCTAGGAAATACAAGTTTACGTAGGGGTTTTTGAAAATTCTCTATCATGACAACATTTTAGTAATTTTAGGCACAATTCCAACTATTATCTCCTGTTGTTACAAGCGGATGAAATCTAGAACTTCAGTAGCACTCGATTTACGAAGGAAACTATTTTCTGTCTAAAACCATACCAACTATATGACCATGCAGAGCCATCTATGAGAGACTATCTTTTTCAAAGTATGTTTCTAATTATTGCAAAGACGGTAAACATGCATGTAGTTGTGTTAAATTCTCATAGATGGCGCCACGGTATGTCATTTCTCGGATACTTTTTTTTACCGCTGGAAAACAGCATTTGGTTGAGTATCTTCAGGTAGAATATGTTAAGCAAGGCTAAATCAAAGGCATACAGATTTTTGGATGTTTTTATAGGACATCTGAAAATATAGGATCTTGTAAGGCAAAAGGAGCCCTGAAATGATAAAAGGAAAAAACTGCGTCAAGAAGGGGTTGTAATTCTTCAGCCCAACTCCAAAATTATGGGCACAGCTTCATCATCAGCGGTAATTAGTAGAAAGAAAGATTTAGATAAATTACCAGAAGTTTGGTGACATGATGTCACTTGGTTTGGGTTTGCTGCAGAAAATAATACGAAAACAACAGTAACCAGCCCGATTGATAAGGACTTGAAGGGCGTTGACCTTGCACTACAATACAACGTTCTTATCAATCTTGAAACGTTTACAATGCGCGTTACTTTATCTAGGCCATCCAACCCTCCGTGAAAATTTATGGCCCCCCAGTTTGAAGTTTTCCTTTGACCTTAGGTTTCCATCTGAAAAGGTGTCAGCTACAGAAACAAACACGTTTCACCTCCATTTCTTGTAAATAATAAAATCCAGAAATTGTTGAAACTCGAATGTTCATTTACGCATTAATCGTCCTGCTGACAAACCTTCGTTTTGCTGGTGGATATGAATAAATAATGTAACATCTGAAACGTATCTTGTGGTTTTTATGTCGATAATCCCTCCATTCTTCTTAATTAATCTACATTAAAGAAGAATTTTAAATATATGTAGTTTCATTGGCCAGTCAAACATGGAGGATTATAAATAAAAATGAAAACCACAGTTTACTTCAAATCGAACACCTAATGCATGAATATGTTCCTTTGCAGATGGACTACAAGCCCAACGACATACAGAAAGCGATAGAGATGGCGTTTTTGAGTTTAGACGAGGACCTGTCGAGGGAAGCCTTACCGAAGAATGGAGAAACCATCAATTTGAAAACAATGTCAGTGGCCATGTCTGGGGCTGTCGCATGCGTCGCACATGTGGACGGTACAAATTTGCACATAGCTAATGTCGGTGACAGTGGTGCCGTTTTAGGTAAGACCTTTGGTTTGTTGATATTATGGATATTTAGAATGTTAAAAAAGGCCCATGAAAAAAAGGTTATTTACTAACATGATTCTCAGTCCAATCTATATATGAACAAATTTAATTTGATTTGAATGAAAACAAATATGCTAAGATTAATTCTGTTAGAAGAGTTGCAGTGGTAGAATGTTAAAAATTGCGTTTTTTATACCGAAGCAGCCGCGCAGGCAGAAGCCTAAATGTCACGACACCGCGGCTGCTGTATATTATTTAGTTCTCTTCATATTCAACTTAAAAATAATTTATTACCACCACATTTAGAAAACTTTACAAAATTAAATTATAACTATGAAACTAGAGGCTATGTAGAATTTGAGTTAAATAAATTTAATAATGATATTAAACAGCATTCGAATTTCTAAATGTTTAAGGTGTTATTACAAAATTCACTTTATGAATAGCGATGTAATTTTAATAGATAAGAATGTAAAATTACAGAAAACTGAAAATAAAAAATAATTATTTAAAATCATCATTGTAGCATTAATGCTAAATGGATCTTCAACAAAATGAGTTCTAACGCGACAAAATAAATTTTTCCATGCACTGTCCGTAGAAAGTGACCCTATTTCTGCCATGGATGTTATTCTCCATCTAATATGAGGAGAAATAACCTTCTCTGACGTTGACAGTTTGCGGACGATACACTTTTTATATATATATATACAGGGTGACTTCGAAGTTGAGTCATTTATTTTAACAGTGAGTAGATCTGATCAAAAGAAATGTTTTTTTCCTTTACCATTTTTCTGGTAAAATTAAAGTAACAAAGTTATAGCCCTTTGGAAGTTTGAGTACCGCCCTGTCTCAATATCATGTGCTCGTGTTTGGCAACAACGGATATAATCCGCCTTACCGGTTCATCGCATCGGAAACAAAAAAGCGAAAGAATTTGGAACGATGTTTGTACAATTTACATACAGTCAGTTTCAGTCGCGTGTGAATAGTGTCTGTTGCGTGGCTCAAATGAAATAAAAAATGGCACATGTTTATGCGGATCGGTTTCCCAATCGAGTGCAACCAACCCCTCGTGCCTTTGTTAATGTAGTACAACGGGCTCGTGAATCAGGTGACTTAAGACCTCACAGGGGACCTCACGATCAAATACAGGTCCGCACTGAAATACTTGTCGGGAGGATACTTTATAAAACAAGGTAAACATTTTTTTTTAATATTTTTTTATTTTTACACACATATTTTGGTTTATCTTCCTTCTACAATCATTATCTGAAAATTAATGACTCAACTTCAAAGTCACCCTGTATATATATATATATATATATATATATATATATGTATATACAGTAGACTCTCAACTATCCGGCCTAAGGTGGCGGACAGCTAGTCCGGATAACGAAAAAGCCGGATAAGCCGAATCAATGTCCAAACATACGCAATTTTATTAAACGTATGTATTTTAACGCAGAACTTTGTACATATTAAGGCATGAGAATCTGCATAATTATCTATAGTACAGTATACAATACATACATAATAATATGTATATTAAATACGTTTTAATAATCTACATATATATATATATATATATATATATATATATATATATATATATATATATATGTTACTTTTTAAAAAAGTTATTTAGTTCTCGTTTTCATATTCAAATTAAAAAATCATTTATTACCACATTTAGGAAACTTCACAAAATTAAATAGTCATTATCATAACTACGAAACTACAGACAGTATAGATTTTCATCTGCAAAATTGTAATAGTAGCATAACTAGTAAATCTATATTTCAAAAGGGAGTATTTGAATTTAACAAATTGAATAATGATATTAAACAGAGTTCGAATTTAAAAATGTTTAAGGTGAAATTAAAAAATCACTTTATGAATAATCAAAATACATAGTGACGTAATTTTAATTTTAATAGACAAGAATGTAAAATTACAGAAAATGGATTGAAGAAAAATATGTAACCGAATCATTATACAAAATTGACATTGTAGCATTAATGCTAAGTAAATCTTCAACAACAACAACAAAAAATTTGATTCCTTCAGCAGAAAATGGCGGAGAAAACAGATTATTTCAATGAACGAATGTTGGATAATTTTCTCAACGCAGGAACGAAAAAACTAGGACAAACCGCATCATTTTCTCAAGAATGCAATTATGTTTATGTGGAAAATACTTCATTATATCCTTATCAACGATATTTTCATTTGATGCAGGTACCCTCTCAGAAACGAACAACTGGATAGCAAAGAAACTAACCGAAGACCATAACTCGTACAATCAAGCCGAAGTAGATAGAATAATTAAGGAGCACCCGCAAAACGAAAGCAATTCTGTGATAAAGATGGATAGGCTGTTAGGTCAATTGGCTCCATTGCGATCGATGGGCGACTTTAGGTTTAAGTGGAGCAAAGAGATCATGAATGACGTGGTTGTGAAGCACTTTGGCGACCATGTCGTGCCACCTCATTACCACACACCTCCGTACCTTTCTGCTAAACCTGATGTGATATACCATAGGTATGTATTTGATTATTCTGCATCATCAAAAGCAACCCGACGGTTATCCACCTTATTTTCATCTTTTCATTTCATTTATTTATTCATGCTAATATAAAACATTGTTTACAATCGTCATAACACAAAAGAAAATAAAAATCATCCTCATATAGTATGGCCACTCATATGGTACATAAATAACCCTTAGAATTGTTTAACAATCACAACATATTAAAGTCAGTATTTAGAAAATCATCAATTTTGTATTGAGCATTTTGGATCAACAAAAGCCTAATACGAATCTCATAATCATTTAAGGGCAGTGGTCTTATATTTAGTGGCAATTTGTTGAAAAACTTACTAATTGCCTAGAATCCCGCACCATCTGACACCTTCTCAGTCGCCAAGATATAGGTATCAAATTTCTCTTATTTCTGGTATTATATTCGTGAACATTTTCGAAGGTTAGGATTTCGTTAGACTTAGCACAGTCGACAGCTTCCTTTCAATAAACACATGCTTGCAACCATCTCTATATTTCAGCCCTACCGTCAATCTAACGGCTCTTCTCTGGAGCCCAAACATTCTAGCTGCCTAAGCAGAGTGGTCCCATACAATTATTGCGTATGCTATACAAATAGGAAGTACAGGGTGGCCCATAAGTCCTTTGAGCTGGAAAAAAAGGAATAAAACCAAACTAGTTACATTATGAAGAATTATTATATTTTGTTATCATCTTTATTGAATGGGCATTATGTTTTAAAAATCACATCGTCTAAATGCAATCCATTACGATCACGGCACTCATATAAACGACGTCTAAAATTGTCGATGACTGCGCGGCAAGTCAACACTGTAATGCTTGCCATTTCTCTTCGGATATTTTCTTTCAGGACATCAACTAATCGCGGAGTGGTGTCGTACACTTTACTCTTGAGGTAGCCCCATAAAAAGAAGTCCATTGGGGTCAAATCTGGACTACGTGGTGGCCAGGAAATGTGTCCTCTTCGAGAAATTACTTTGCTGGGAAAAAGTTGACAGACGACGGGCATAGAAGTGTTGGAGGTGTGGGCAGTTGCTCCGTCCTGTTGAAACCAGGTCTGCGTATTATAGCCTGGAAAATTCTGCAACGCTGGTGTCAAAAACTCTTCTATCATTGCTACATACCGCTCCGAAGTAACAGTTAATGCGCGACCTCTGTCGTCCTCAAAAAAATAAGGGCCTACGATGCCATGCGCTGACATAGCAGCCCAAACTGTAACTTTAGGGCTGTGTAAGGGCTTCTGATGCTTACGCCTTGGTTTTTCGGGGCTCCAATAACGGCAATTTTGTTTACATGCCCGTTTAAATGGAAGTGAGCCTCGTCCGAGAACAACACATTATTGAGCGAAGAAAATCGATTCAACATTTCATTCGCAAAGTTTAGTCTCTGAATAGCGTCATTATCTTTTAATTCCTGCACTAACTGAATTTTGTAAGCGTGCAGACGTAAATCTTTCCTTAAAATCCGCTGTAAAGATGTTCTGGGTACGTTTAGTGCACTGGAACGCTTACGAGTAGACTGGGTAGGATTTTGACGAACAGACTGTGCCACAATGTTGATGTTTTCTTCAATACGTGTTATCCTTGGTCGACCCCACCGCTGTTTATCTAACGTCGAACCAGTCTCTTCGAACTTAGCAACCCAGTTCTTAATCGTTTGAGCTGTTGGACACTTTGTAAAATTGTGTAAATTGTGGTATTCTCGATATTTACGCCGCGCAATGGTTGCCGAATCATTATTTTGATAAAACGCGCGCACAGAAAAAGCACGATCCGCTCCAGTGAAACACTCCATGGCGACTGAATTCCCAGACACTGAAGATACTGCCCCCACCTCGCCCGCGCCGCTCACGCTCACCCGTTAAATTTTATTCAAATTCGAAATTTCAAAGGACTTATGGACCACCCTGTATATTTGGCTCTTCTCGCAATAAGCTGCGGAGGACATGAATATTCTGAGAAAGTTTTATGGCTCGAACATCAATGTGGCTTTTCCATTGGAGCTCAGAGTCAAGCGTCACACCTAAAAATTTAAGTTGATCTTCATTTTGGATGGTTATTTCTCTCGTTGAGAACACAACTTGGTTAGTATTTTCACAATTTAGCAACAACCTGGATTAACGCAGATTTTGGATTTTTCCAAATTCAGCGTGTTTGCTGTTGTACTTCCACCAAAGAGCGTAGATTTGGGCATTATCCCATTAAATGGGAGATCATTAATATATATGAGAAAGGGTATGGAGCCTAGGATAGAACCTTGTGGCACTCCTACCGATATCTTTCAGTTGCGTAGCTTTTGCACCCCCACTGAAGCAACTACCAGTCAACTGTAAGCCTCGTTTTGAGGTTGAGGATAAATACGAATCGAGGTCTTAGTCTCAAAAGACATTATCTGCAATGTTTGTGAAATCGTCACCTTAAGATTCACCATATACCGTTTCTTTTTATCTTAACCATAATCCTTGATTCAGGGAATACAATCAAGAGACAGTTCTTTGAAAGCATAAAAATAACGAAGTTCTTGAACACCAAATGGATCATAGTGACAGTAAGACCTCTTAATAAGAAGGTGGAATATAGATAGACTATTTTAGTTCTTGAAAATCCTAATTGAAAGCAATTAGCATAAGTAACGTATTTTACAAATGAAATCTAGTTAAACTAATCGATCAGTATGTGTAGTATTTGTATAATCATAATCACCAACTTCAGCATATTTTCAAAGTAGACATTTTCCTTTTGGAGCGGTCAAAATTTCCCAATTTCTACGACACTGGTTTGTTGTCTATATTATTAAAACTACAGGTACAAAATGTAAAGTCGATATCTTAACACACCTCAAAGATATATTTTTCATTCCAAAATTAAAACTTCAGCACCCGTATCTCTTTAAGGGGGCATTTTAGGGTTCGTGTTTACGAGAACTTTTGTGTTATTTTCAGCCTGTGTAAAATTACTGATTTTTTTAACTTTTTCAAAACGTTCCATGTGAAATTAACACTATTTAAAATTTCATTAAACAAAATGAGGTATCACACGACCAAATTTTAGCTAGCTAACTAGACCCGTTCAAAAAAAGAGGGGGCTTTTGAAAAGCATGTTTGAAGGTTTTTTGTTCAACAGACAACAGTCTGTAGAAGAGTGATTGATATGATAATATCTATTTTCAAGGGTTACAATGTTTGTTATCATTTCCAGATTAACGCCAAACGACAAATTCCTGATCCTAGCAACGGACGGTTTGTGGGACATAATGACCCCCTTGCAGGCTGTGAGACTAGTAGGCGAACACATGAAAGGCAAAGTCACGTTGAGCCCTCTCAAATTACCAAAGAAAAACATGAAACTTATCGAAATCAACGAAATGCTTCTGCAGAGGAAAGAAGGTCTGGAGATGAAACCAAGAGACTCAAATGCAGCAACTCACATCATCAGGCACGCGCTTGGTGGGACGGAATTCGGAATCGACCACATGAAGATCTCACAGTTACTGACGTTACCAGACGACGTTGTCAGAGTCTTCAGGGATGATATAACGATAACAATAGTGTATTTTGATTCTGAATATATAAGACATTGCCCTGCCTAGTGTGTAGTGAGTGATGATTGTGTTGTTCTTCCTTTGAGAGGAGTTGGTGGCTTTGGATTTGACTGAATGTCCTTAACGTAACGTCAGTACAAAATCGAAATATGGGTATGTCTGTAATTGCTGTGATTTTTCACCTTCAGCCGATTCTAGAATGTCAACGTTGGTGCTGTAGAGTAATTCTTTTGACTGCATTGATTGGCAGCTCATAAAAGATACAATCGAAGCAGAATAAAGTACTTGTGTGACAAATTCAAATACAAAATAGGAGATTACTTGTTGTAGTTTGATAATATTCCGTTTTGGGGACAAGAAGACTCAACAATTATTGCCAAGTTTCTCGATTTGAGTCGTTTATGAGATTAGAGAAATGATTTCACAGATAGAATTATTTGCTATAACGCATCGAATAAAAAAATTAGTGTATGGGGAATCAATGTTTCTCCCTAATTCTTAAAGATAATGTTTCTATTACTGAGTGCAGCTGTCATTTTAAATAAACGTATTTTCCTGCTGAAAAAAATTACCTTGATATTATTATGTTCTTAAACGGCATTCTGCAACTTATACATTATGCAAAACTGCAGATTACCCTGTTGGTGTAATCCAATGTTATTAATCCATATTTTTTTTAATGCAAGCTTACGATTTTTCTACTTTTTGAAACCAAATAAAATGTTAGAAATGTTTGAATTATCTGAAAGAGAACCTTCAACTGATCATTTTTGTAGCAGGAGATACACAGTAAATGGTTAAAAACGCTTTGTATAAGGTGGTCTTTAAATATTCTAATATTGCAGGTAGCCCTTTACTATATAGAGGATTTTGAAAAAGTCCGGATACGGCAAATAATGTTTACTTGGGTAGAATTTCTTTGACTATGGCTTTCGAGAACATTTTATCGACTAGATACAGTAGCGGACAAAAGTTTGGAAACAGTAGGGGGAGTCCGGGAGAGTATACCCACCTTCCACTAAAATGCTTTTAAGTCTTTACACGCTTACAAATCTTCATTTCCGATAAATTATATCTTAGAACGCATTATTTAGCTACATTTTTTCTCAAGAAAGCTTAATGTAGCATTAAGAGTTTACGAGTTATCAACGATTTCTGCCAAGGTGACATTCGGCTAATATCTCCCGCATGGGTGGGAGACTTGACCCCTCGAGTAGGGAGCCTTTACCCTCCACTTTAGGATTAGGCAAAATAATCATTACACATTGTAAATCTATAACTTTAATTAAAAAAATATGGCACATAGTATTACCTGAACCTACTCCATCTTTCACATAACTAGGTAACAAACCTTATAAGTAGTTAAAGCTTAAAAGTAGGTAATACAAATTATTTTTTGGTATGGAATCTTGTACGTTGTCGGCAAAATAAAAATTAGAGTTATTCTCAAAATTAAGAACAAAAATAAAATAATACATAACAAGATAACAAAATCTACTTATAAAATAGTCATACTCTCCATCAGAAACAGGAAGTCAACCTTATAAGTAGTTTAAACTTAAAAACCTTGTATGTTGTCAGTAAAACAAAAATTAAAATAACTCTCAAAATTAAGAGCAAAGATAATAACAACCTTCATCAGTCTTACTTTTTTTAATTGGAGCAATTGGGACAAATAAACTGCTCCTTATCGTCTTTGGATAGTCCAACACACATTTCATGGACATATTTGCCACAAACAGCACAAAGTCTCATGTCCATAACTTTGTCTTCCCCACAGATGAAACAAAACCAATTATCAGTAACATCTGGTACTTCATCCCAGGGACTATCAGAACTATCATCATACTTGGGTTCTTCTTCAAGGTCTGTCTCAGTCACTTGACTGTAAAACTTGTCTTTTTCTTTGCTTTGCCTGTTTGCCTTTTCGTAGTTATTTTAATTTTCTTATTTTTCGGTGCATACTTATCATCTTGGTCTAGTTTTTCTGGCGTTTTTGTTAAAATTTTAGTTTTTCCGGGCTGTCTACCACGACGAAGACTTTTTCTAGAAGTAGCTTTTGGAAATGGTCGAATTGTTTGTGGTAAAACTATTTTTGGTGTGTGTCCGGAATCAGAATCTACCGTTGTCATATCCAGAACATTAGATGTAGAAGCTATCTCTGCTGATCGTCTTGGTATTGTATTTGCTTGCTCGGATTCTTCCGCAGTCAAAATTGATGGTGAATTGATTCTAGGAGCTGCAGTTTCATTCGTGAATACTGATGCTGATGTTGAAGGCTCTGACTGACGTACAGTAGATGTTGAAGGTAATGCGACCGTGGTTGAATCTGATGGTACTTTTGCAGCGACCGAGGGTGAAGTAATCGAAGAAACATCTTGCTTTTGGAGTTCACTAGTCATTTCTCTATCTGTTACCGCAGAGCATAAAAAGTCGTCATCTGTAAAGATGTCCGGGTTATAGGGGTGTATCCCAGTTGATCGAAATCCACTCAAAATATTGGATAGACTAAAAGCCTGCGACATGATTGTGTTTACAAATCCAGGTATATTGTAGATCGTAACAGTTCGTCCTGGGTTACTGATCATCCAGTTATTCATGGCTGAATTATATCTAGTCTTGAAAGATGAATAGACGGAAACATCTAATGGCTGTAGCTTTCTGCTGCAGTGGGGGGGTATAGTCAGCAAAGTGACTCCATTTGATTTTGCATATTTAACGACTTCAACACTGATATGACTTTCGTGGTTGTCGAGGATAAGCAGGACTCGGTTATTAAGAGATGCGTTCGAATATTTCACAAAATGCTCCATGAATTTTACGAAACTCTTGGTTGTCATCCATCCACTAGGATAGGAGTCAGCATGTGAGCCTGGAGGCCCACCAGCTACAAAGCATTCGTTGTATCTAACCCTAGGGAAAATGAAAAATGGAGGAAGAACATTTCCCAGAGCGTTCACAGCGAAGCAAACGGTCACAAGGCTGCCGCGTTCAGCTGAAGTAACTTGTCCTACTTGACGCATATGCTTGCTCGCTATTACTTTGGGACACTCTTGTACAGTCGTACACCCTGTTTCATCACAGTTATAGATGTTATGTGCTTCAAATTGGTATTTTTCTCTAACTTCTTTGAGGTTCTCGAAGAAATCAGTAACGTTTTTTCTATTGAAGCTGGTTGATCTGGATAAACTGGTGGCTTCTGGGGTTCTCAAACTTAGTTCAGGGTTTCTTGTCATAAATCCCCGGAACCAATCTTTTCCTGTGCAGTTGTTGGAAGTCCAACAATCTGGAACCTTTTTGGAATTCATTGTTGCATATTCATATGCTAGCTGCATAGTCGCCTGTCTGGTTAATCCATAATTCATTTTGCTGCAAGCTATAAGATATTCAACAAGCGCCTTCTCTTCTTCGATTGTAAATATCATAAATGTTTTAAACTGGCTTCCTTGTTCACTTATTTTAGTCAATTTAGACCTGTCTCTTAAATAATTTCTTAAGGTATTTCTGTCAATTCCATATTCCAAAGCAACACCTCGGATAGACTTTCCTTGATCAATGTCACCTAAAGCATTTTTTATTACTGACAGATCTAAATTGCTTCTCTTTCTAGTTGTTTGTTTTTTTCTATAGTTGAAGGGCATTCTCTGAAATAAAATGAATAAAATTTATTGCGGGAGAAACGACCCTGACAGAGAGGGAGAGATTACCCTGGGTAAGTCTCCTCCCAACGCCAGGGTAATGTCTCCCACTCCACGCCATACTACCAGTTATTAAATTTAAAAAAAAGCTATGACACTTGAATAAAAGCTGGCTGTCGTAAATATGACTAGAATAATTACACTTACGGTGTATATAAGTGGCGTGCTGGAATCTATCCACAGTAAAGAACAGAGATCAAATGTCGAAAACTGAATAAACTCACCTTCCAGGTACGAAAACGTGTTGCCACTTCTTACTTCCAAACCAAACTGCCGATTGTAACGGCGCTACGTGAGCGGGGTGGGAGGTGCCTATGACGTCTGAGAAGTGTGGCAATGTCGTAACATCTCGTGCCACAAATATTCTATGAGCAGCGGCTATTGTCTCCCACCTGCTAGACTCTCCCGGACTCCCCCTACGCTATTTTTTATTCTTTATTATTAAGGTCTATTTTTTTCTCATATAGTTGCTTACTGTCTTGAGGATACAAATGACAATTTGTGTTTGCTGTGGTACTACAGACTAGCATTAAAATATCTTCATATTATTTTATGGCCAAAAATGAGGCGACAAACGTATGGAAACATATTTGGTATTGCAAAAGTGTTTCTTGTCAGTTGTCTTTTAACATGCTCACAGGGATGTTCTATAGGGTTTAGGTCCGGGGATTGCGAACGCCATGTACGAACACATTTTTTAGTCTTAACCAGTCTTTTACGAATTTTGAGGTATGCTTGGGGTCATTATCTTGCTGGAATGTCCATCTTCTTCAGCATGTGTTCACTGAGAATATCTTTGTTAAGTTTTTGATCAATTTTCCCAACAATTTTAACAATTGGACCCGTTCCAGAACTAGAAAAACAGACCCAAACCATGATATTGCCTCCACCGTGTTTAACTGTTTTCAACTGATACTTTTTGTCGAATCTTTTTCGTACTGGACGTCTCACATATGCCGCACCGTCAGATTCAAACAAGTTAAATTTGCTTTCATCACTCCATAAAAGTGTATTCCATAGTCGTTATGTCCAAGTTAGACGAGTTTTAGCAAATTCAAGCCGAGCAGTACGATTTTTTTTACACTGGACGCCTACCAAAAAGCCCAAAATCCACCAAGCGTCTCTACAATGTTCTGACAGAAAGATTCTCAGCACCCTCTGCTATGATTCTTTCGAAACTCTGCATGGCTGGCATTCGCGGACCTTATGGGACAAACTTTTAATGTAGCGGTCCAAAATTTCGGTCTTCCGCACCTGGGCCGCGTTGCTGTTGAACCGTATTCTTGAGATTTACTAATAATTTTCAGAATCGTCCCTTTGTTCATTTTTAATCTTTGAGAAATGTCAACATCCCCGACACCACTTCTAAATAATCCAATTACTTTGTCTCTTAAATCTTTTGAAAACTCTTTTAATTTTGCCATTCTCACTGACTCTAATATTTACTGCTCGCCATATCAGAGTATCGCAGAACGAATAAATACGACAAAACTGAAATGTTTCCATACTTTTGTCGTTACAAAAACTGGCATTTAAAAAAGCGCGTGTTTCTATTTCCAGGAAACTCGATACGTTTTTTTTCTTTCTAAAAATACTACCCCTCAATATCAGAACATACTTAAAAACCACCTTGTATATATAAAATAATTTTCAATATCATGGACTTCATATAAACGAACTATAAAAATATGGTAACTGTTCTCATCTCAGGTTTTACTATTACCTATTTATTATTTGATGTCCTAGATTATATCGAACTGTTATTTATAAAAAGTAATTTATTTCTGTTTTTGTTACAATAGAGTTGAATATACATTACATCAGTAACACGTGTGCCTTCTTTATTTAAATATATTTCATAGATCATAATACAAATATAAACTATCTTAACCCTAAATCAAAAGTAAGGCTGTATTTTGTATACTAAAGAATTACAATATCAAAATAAAAGACAAGGATAAGCAACAATTCACAGACTAACAATCTTTTTGAACCGATTTCTTCTAGTTGTATCAAAAATGTATTTTAACATAAACCTTTGAAGATTGCAATATTTCTTTGAAAGCTGCATATAGTACAAAATTTAGACAATGTGTTCTACAGTTTAATATTTTATCCTTCTTGTCCAAAATCTTCCATAAATTTTTTCAACTTCGTTAGATCTTCGTCGTTGACCGTGGGTTTGGAAGTTGCCAATGAACGTAACATGTCATTCTGCAAAAAAAAACAATTGTGTAAAGTAGTTTGACTCTGTACTTCTCACAATTCGTGCATTTTGGATAAGCAAATGCTTTTGCACTAAAATGACTGGTGAGTCACGATTTTTGCCCCTTTTTAATACATCCTAAGGTGATGAGAAAGATAAACAACATTGAAAATAATTTCTGGCTGCACCCATAAACCATAACGCCGATAAGAGAACGTAATTCAAGCATATGTGGTTTCATTTCGTTAAATGAACCATAATGTCGTATAACATCAAGTGAGTTTTTCGATGTTACATGTTACTCCGCCGGCAGTGGACCGATTTTCTATACCTACAAAGCCTTTTCGATTTTTGTCTAGTACAGTCTTTTTCATGAGTATCCAGTATCGAGTATGGGCCAAGGATTATCAAACCAACAAAAATGAGTATCATGTTTTTTCCTGAGTACATGTCATGTCCTGTAAAATCTAAAAAAATGTGTCGATTTCTAAATTTTTCGCTAATACAAAATTTTCTAGATAACGGAAAGTAACGACTGTTGTAAATAAAATCATAGACAAAATGTATTGGGTACAAATCACAAATGCATACTAAAATTACGTTTGGCACCTGTGAAGGCTGTCTCGAAAACTGCCATCCATGTCAGATACGCCGACGATTGGTCAAATACGCAATTTGAGGTTAGAGGTAGAGGTAAGTCATGTATATTCTGTTTCACGAGTATCTATCAGGCTTTGACGTCTACTGAGGTGAACAGCTGATCAGCAAGTGACATTTTTGTCTGCAACGTTGGCAATAATGAATCGGGTGTCAATCTAGTAAAACCTGTTAATAGCGTTTTGGTTTTTGTATACAAATGAACTTTTCTAAATAAAAGAGATGTCTCTCTAGGATATAAATTAATCTGCGAATCCTCCAGTGCAGACCTATACACGCATACCTTTGCAAAGAAATCACGGACTACCAGACTCACGCCCTTAAGTGAAATGGTTAAAAACCTTTCATAAAATATAGTTAGAAATATGTATACTAAAAACATTAAATAGATCAAGTCACTAGAATATTCCTATACGATTAGTTCATAGTCCCCAGTCATTTGACATTGTTGTGATCTAGAAGTTTCTCGCCTGCTCGACCAACCATCTGGCAACGTTGCTAAGCTCGCCAGCTCACTGATTCACAGTCAGTGAGTCATTCCACGATACAGGCATATCTTACCTACGTCCATTGTGTTGGAAATATTTATCTATCATTCATTTAAGATCAAACGTACGTGGGAATCTATGATGTGTGTAACATGTCTAACAGAAGGGTAAAATTGCCAGGGTTGGAAGCGTATAAATAACGAACGCCAAAAAACTCCTATATTCCTCCCCTCACCACTAAAACACTCCACTCCATTTTTTTTTGAAATTGGTTTGTAACCTCTAAAAGCGTCAAAATCGAAGTTTGAGCGATTTTTATTTTTTGCTTGTAGCGTCTCTGCCAATGGATCGACTTTCAAAAACTACAAAGCTGTTTCGTTCTTGGCATAGTAGTAACCTCGTATGAAAATTTCATCAAAATCTGATCAATCGTTTCCAGGTTGGAGCAGAGCTAATGATTAGCAGACTGACTGATTGACAGCAATGAGTGACCTGGTTTTTGTGATGTAACAGGTTTGTAAATTAAGTGAAAGACTGCTTTTAAATTCTTTTATTCGGATATAACTAACTTTCAGGTTGCTAAAACAGTTAAAAATAAAAATTTTCATGAATCCTTTAAAGTGTAGTATGAATCAAAGTACGAACTATAGGACTCCATTGTCTGTCTGAATCAAACCACATATACGAGGTCTGTAAATTAAGTGAAGTAAAGTGATTATTCGAATAAAATTACGATTTTATATTGTCACCCTCAAAATAGCTTCTTTCTGAAGCCAGACAGCGCTGGAGACGGTTCTTACACTCCTCATAGCAGTGCTAGAACTCCGACACTGGAAAAACCATCAGCTGATCGGTTACAGACGTTTGATTGTTTTCGACTATTCCAAAATGAGTTCCCTTGAGGTGATTTTTCAACTTCGGGAAGAGAAAAATGCACAAGGACTCAAGTCAGGCGAATGAGAAGGCTGTGGAGCCATAGAAATGTTTTTACCGGCCGAAAACTCGTATATTGACATTGCTGTGTGACAGGCATTATCGTGATGCGACACCCACTTGTTCTTGATCTGATGAATAGTAGTGCAGGTCAAATTTAACTCTTCTCCGATCATTCTGTCGATATTTTCATCTGTTCTTGAAGACTCTCTTCCTTCTGAAAATGTCTTAAAATGCCGAAAAATCTGGGCTCTCCATAGGCCAGCTGAAGTTTAGCAAGAGTTTCCGTTGCACTGTGCAGAAATCTGAAGCAAAGCCTGTAGCACACTGTTGCTCGAAATTGATATCATTCATTTTTAGATGCACAATAGGAAAAACTTTCACAAAAAAAATCGCTACGGACAACCAAATGATTCAAGCGAGTTCAAACTTGTAGTGAAGGCAGATCACACGTTCCCCTGTCTCCCCTCCAAGCCCGGCGCCACCAGTGTCGCCAACTGCCGTGAAAAGTTAGAGAAAAGAAAACTGGTACCCATACCATATCTCCGAAGATATTCAAGCCTCTAATAAGTATTCTTTTTTGCGTATCTACGCCACCGGGTGAGAAGTTTTGCACAGCCGCTGTGAGTTTGTCAGATACTATCCTCCCACCACAATTCTGCCGTCTTAGAGGTTATATTTTAAAAGCAAATGACACAAGGGTGACTTACCATTGTGACAGGTGGCTCTGCCAGCTTATCGCTCTCTATGTCCATCCAAGACATCTCCATAGCACCAGGATCACCCGGCGAACATGGTATAAGGAGGTCGTCTACTATCACGTTGGGGTCCTTGGGACTTGGCCCTCGTATTTTCTTAAAATGAGTGGCTGTTTGCACTTTTCTCACCGGTTGCATCAGCGCGTCACGGACGACGATACTGATATCTGCACCGGAATATCTGTAAAAAAATTAAGCAGTCAATATAAGTCAACACTCAAGTTTCTATTGTACATCATGTTCCTAACTAATTTTTTCTCAGAGGGTTCATCTTGTGCTGAACTTAATGATGACAGCATTGCGTAGGAAGTGCAGAGTCAACCTACTTGATGCCTTTTTTTAATTTTCAATGAATATGATGGTAATTATTAGAATTTAGGGAAAAATCTTTCCTAATTTTGCTTTACATGACCAAATAACATTTATGTGTTGTGTATTAAAAGGAAAAAGTAATATTATTGAAGCATTACTTCAGTTTCAGGTATAAGAGTTTTTAAAAAAAATATAACATACATTTGCAATATCAGTTTCGCAGAACAAAAATTAGTTAACACAATCGACCCAGTGATTTTTAACGAATCGTTAAAGTTTATTCATCCTCCTTAAAAAAAGATTTTTTTGTTTGCTCGTCATACATAACGCGGTACAGTAAAAAGGACAGGTAGATGAGTGATCTTTCCTTGGAAGGTTGATATCAAGTTTAAGAATAAATAATTTTCTTCGAAAGGAAATTGAAATCTATTTTTGTTATCACTGGTATCCTACTCAAGGTAGCTGTGGAGATGGAAATTGTACGTTAACGTCCAAATCCATTTAGGCAGCAGCGGTGGCCGCAGTAGTAGACTCTTCGGTCTCCTGATCAGTCGCCGTGCGCTGTGCGGGTTCGAGTCCCGTCCCAGGAGAAATTTTTCTCTTGGCTATGGATGTTGTGATTGTCCATAGGTGGTAGATGGTCTCTGACTGTCGAACGCGGAGGTACCACCCGGCAGTTCTCGTAGGCGGAGCCAGAATGTGTGCATGTTGCATGCCACACGTGTTCCCTCCGCCAGAGTCCGTGTGGCGTCCCCCCCCCCCTTTCCCATGTATCCCCCTATACCCCACGGTACCCAATGGGTGCTTAGGCCTTAGGCCTTCGTGGTAGTTGGAGTATACAAAAATGGGTTGTACGTCTCCTTTGAGAATATGTTTATCAATGGTGAATAAAATACATATTTTTTTATCAGACTATCAGTTCCTTACCCGTCAGTCCTTCTACCTAACTCCTTGATATCCTCATCAGTAAGCTCCGTATGTGTATTTCCTAAATGCAACTTGAACATAATTGCCCTAGCTGGCTCTTCCGGCAGAGGGATGTAAATACGCTTCTCGAATCGCCTTCTGATAGCAGCGTCTAACACCCAAGGGATATTCGTCGCACCCAACACCAGGATGCCTTCCGTATCATGCCCAACTCCCTGCATCTGTACCAGGAACTCTGTCTTTATCCTGCAGAGAAATATAGAAATTAGTACGGAATTGAAGAAATGGGAAACAGATACAAAGTTATAATTACGAAGTATGTCTTCAAACCAAGTTTTGCGAAGGAGGTGAAGTTTGCAACGTTTTATACAAACGTTGGACGGTTTTTAAAAACTCACAAAATCGGTAATATTTACTCAAAAACAAATTTATTGACGCATTCGGGTTCTCAATGAAATAGCGTTTGTCACAATTAATTGTGGGAAATCACATCGGTCATATGGTGTCCGTTTTTGACGATGCATTGCTGGAGGCGTTCTTGAAAGTTCGTTCTCTCAACTTGGGCGACTTCCACGCGAATTGCCTCCTTCAACTATCCAGAGTTCGGGGCTTGTGCCCGCATACACGAGCCATCGTTCTCATTTTGCTCGATTAGTGTTTCCATCCCACGTGCGAAGTTCATTCGTTGTGCGTAATCTCCGGGCTGTAACTGTTGCACAATGGCCAAAGTGGAGTTCCATATGCAAAATACGGCTTTCGTTCAGCAGCATGTCGAGCCGGACTGCGAAGGAGGGCTTGGCGAACCCATTTTCAGTGGTACGAAGCGTTCATGGAGCTCGTGGTGGTCTTTTGATGATCAGTACACCACGTATGCGAAGTGACAACTCAACGAAGGTACAGCTCGATTACGATGAATATTGAACTGGCGACGAAACTCACGCTCTACAGCTGTGATAGACTCATTATGTCGGACAAAACTGTCGCACGCGAAAACGCCACTGCTCCATAATGTCTCGCCCGAGTCGAACGGTACTGTCAACACCACTCTCGCCCGAATAGGCAAAGAGTACTAGCCATTTCAAAAACATCCGTCCTTTGTGCCGGACCCTGTACAAGAGGTAAGAGCCATTCTTGGTACATTTAGGCCCATATCGTCAGTCGTTCCTACAATTGCAGGACGCCTTTATGGTCTCCTTGATTGGCATACTCTTTTCTCTCCTTCAAAAATTTCTAGATTGCATCTGTTCTGTGTCAGCGCCCTCCTACTGTGAGGATGTGTTTTATTTTTAAATCTTAGGAAATATCAGGCTAATTTAAAATGATTTAAATCAAAAGCATGCACAATTTGATGCAAATAGATATTTGTGACATAACCTCAAAATAGAGTGCTGACACGGAAAAGTAGAAAACTATGATAATCAAGGAGGCCATAAAGGCGTCCTACAATTGTAGGAACGACTGACGATACGGGCCTTAGCTAGCGACGCTTATAGGAATATGACTACCAGAAAAATCGTAAAAAAAATGTGACGCAATTCTGAGGGATTAGAATTAAGAGGCAAAGGCGTTCTGTAGCCGTATTTTGTTATGCCGTCTATACTTTATAACAATGCTTTTATGTCAGTTATGAAGCATGAAAATACTAATTAGCAAAATGATATCAGTCGCGGTAGTCAAATATTTAGGATCTACCTTCGCGGCTGCTACAGTGTATTGAAAAAACTATACTCATAATTATACTGCCTGCCAATTACAGCGGCGATGAGACCTCCTGAGCCCCATTTCACCAAATGACAGGCATTGAAAACAGTATTTTCAATCTCTATCAGAATTAGACAGTATCGCATGCTACTTGTATTGTCAGCACATATAAATTATGGTAATAAAAATGGTTCATATACATTACCTACGAGCTGATTCAGATTCATTGTCGGATCTCGACGAGCACAGCGAATCAATTTCGTCAATGAAGATAATGCTGGGCTTGTGCTGGCGCGCAAGCTCGAACAGATTCCTAACCAGTTTTTCGGATTCACCCAACCATTTGGACACCAAATCGGATGAAGAGACGGAGAAGAAGGTCGAGTTGTTTGCTTCTGTTGCTACTGCTTTCGCCAAGTATGATTTACCAGTACCAGGTGGCTGTTAAATGTTGGCCATAAGTTTGTCATTTTTTAATAATAATTGAAATTACTGCATCAAAACAAGGACCAGTGCTGTTCAGTGAACAGGCAAATATAGGAGGACAAGAATGAGTTACTTTGTAGTGCAGGCAAAGCAGGGCAACTAGGCCAACTGTTTGTGAACATAGATGTCAACATCAGACAATATTTGTTTTTATTTTTATATTTGTCACAACTGACAGAGTTTAACCTCCATGGCAGCTAGGTTACATTTTAAGAGAAAAAAGTAATTGTGTCATGATAACTCAAGCTTTGGTGCAATTTTTATATTTGAACTATGGAAGGCACCTTTTACCACATCTTGTTAAAAGAGAACCTACTTAAAATACACTTTTTGTGGACAATATTGAAATTCTGTTCGAAACTGCCTCATGGGAGCAAACATGTTTATTTTGTTACTGAAAATGATCTGATCAAGTTGAGGATTCACCACACTGTGATTTTAAAGTATCTCTTTATGCAAAGAAATTTCAACAGCTCAAAAAATCAAACAATATCTTAGAGAATAGATTATCATTAATAAATGAATGATGCAGCCATTAGTATACTGTCCCACCATCTGTCAGTTCAAGCATCTAAATAAAAATTCTTACACCAAAAAGTAGTATTCCTTTCCAAGGAACCCTCTTTCCACTAAATAAATGTGGAAAACGAATAGGCAGGATTACAGCTTCTTTGAGAGCTTCCTTAGCTGCTTCTAGACCAGCAACATCACTCCATTTTACATGGGGTTTCTCTACAACAATAGCTCCTTCTAGTTTTGACTGCAACTTTTTTTTGTCTGGATCTTCATCTGAGTCATCGCTGTTCTCATCACTCTTTTTGTCATCTCTGAAATTTGCAATTGAAACAGTTTCTCAAAAATTAGACATGATTTTATAATATCAATATCCAAAAGTCATGACAGGTTCTGCTGCATTCACTAGCGGTCAGCAGCTGAAGCAAAAGACTGTCAACAGTTCTTTTATCCCAGCAACTGAATGTCAGATTGTCAACTAAGCAGAACAACTTCCATAACCATCTGCTTCAGCTGCTGAGTTTTAGTGAACATATACAATAAATCTAGCTTTTGGATAACCATTCCTGATCCTCCTTATAATATTGATTGCATTGAATGACAGATTTTGCACAGCCAAGGCAAATGTCACAAAATTAGTAGTTACTGTGGACAGTACTATCAGAGACCTGGGACTTCTAGATAGCCTTATACATCGATAATTACTGATGTCATGATTTATACTGATATATCACAGTGAGTACTTAATGTGTGATATTTGCATGAGACACTTCATAGTTTTCTGTTGTTATATGAGTGCTTTTTAAATATATCCACATGGAAATGTTCTATACAGTCCTTAAGTAATAAGGATGTTATAGCACAGATATTATTTATCATGAGATAAGGCTAATATGTATGTATCTGTATATGAGTACATATCTCAGTGTTCAAAATTTGATGATTGAATAACCAATTACAAATCATAGTAATAATTCTGTTATCAAATATATCAACAAAAAGCTAGTAATATAAAATGTATATTATGATTTACTTTTTCTGAAATACTCACTTTGAGGACCCTCCATCCAAAACAGGTTTTTTCTTCCCTTTTTTAATTGACTCCTTTATTTTTTCTGCTCTTTCCAGATACTGCACACATTTGGCTCTAATACTTTCTTTAGCTTTTTCTCCTTGAGCCTCATCTAAAATCAAAATCATCTAAGTAGAAAATATCCCCCACATGACTGAAATATCTGTATTGAGATCAATTCCTTTAACAAAATATCAAGAAGCTTTCCTACAAGAATGAGAAATGAATAATCACTACATATAAGTGTGATCTATAATCAAATCTTAGTAACAAGGTGATTAGAAGTACCACAGCCTGAAACTTAAGCACTTACACTTGATAGCATGTAAGAAGTATTCAACTCCATGTTCATACAACCTCAATGCCTCTTCATAGTTCTTATTTCGATCTTCTTCTGTAGCTTTAGTAACTAGTTCTATTGCTTTCTGGAGAGTAGTTCCTGTAGCCATTCTTATCAATTATTCAAATGCAAGTAATTATCACTGGGAGCAACTTCGAACTTCAGCAACATAAAAGTGATTTTTAACAATACAATTAGACTGGCAATTTGCCCACACTATAATGCAGCAGAGTATAATTTAAATCAATATCTAAAAACGTTTAGAGCTGCATATCAAAAGGCATATCGGGGCTTCTAAAGACTTGTCAGTTATTTATTTTTGTAGATTACTGAATAACTTCACACCTAAAAAATTGACAGCCCCTGCAAGCATGACGTCAACACAAATCAAATTGACACTTGTCATTTTAACTCCGACTTGTGTGCAGCCGGTGTTGCCAAATAGTAGCCGCCTGTGACGTGATGGGAGAATGAACTAAAAACTGATTATAAAAATACCCATTCTAATATCGGACAAATGTCCGACTATTTTAATGGCAAGGCGGCATCAATCTATATTTTTCTCTTTAAACATAGAAACTATCAAACTTCTTTTTTGTTGGAATTAAACAAACCGACGACTGAAGCCCCAGCCAGTGGACGAACATCGAAAGATAACAAATATGATATACCCTCTCCCACCCCCTACAGCCCCAACCTCCGATTATTAGCACTTACAAATATTTTTCTGAAAATGATCTGGATTATTCTCTGGATCAATTTTCAAAGACTACAGAGCTTGTACGTCGCTGCCATAGTAATAACCTTACATAAAAGTTCATCAAAGTTCGACCGGTACGGGAACTATGTAAAAGACCTATAAAACGTCAAAAACATATAACATATGATCTTGCAGACTATGTAGTTTTTAAGGTGCAAACAGTCATTCCACGTTTGCTCGCTAGGATCATTGTGAGTGCCCATCTAACGACGAATGGCTCAACTACACCACTACAAGCATTGTTGGTTGCATATGTTTTGTGAAGCCAAGTAGTCTATAGCTTTTAATTTTCATCTCTAAGAAGAAAGTTGGTTGAATAGCAAGATCGCATCTGGATGATTGCGTGTATTGGACTATGCTGCCTATGAAGTATATCTATTAGCTGTGCCCAGCGGGTTATTTATATGTTGTCCTTTCTGAAGACAGGTTATGTTCAAAGTTATAAATTACAATTTTTTACGTTTTTTTGTGTTTTCAAAAATTGAGGAGAATTACGGGAAATCACCAGCGCCCGCGTTGTGTGTAATTACTGTTAGTATGTATATGACTTGTAATTCGACAGTGTACAGTGAATATAATTATTTCTTATCTCTCTCATTTTTGAAATTCAAATTGTATATGTAATTTCCAGAATGGATAAGAAAAATTGTATGCGTAACTAATTTCTAGCTTTGAATCTCAAGTAAGTGTATTTGAGACAAGAATCCAATGGAATTATCATCAACACATATTATTAACATACAAATCCTCACTATATGCACCTATTTATTGCCGTTACCTCCAGTAATGCCCTCTCTGAAGCAGATTATACATCACATCAGAGCCAAACATTAATAATTGAAGCCTCATGACGTTTAGGCAACACGTGCAACTACAAAACGAGTTCACAACGTGTCTCTCAGCTAGTGCTAAGTTGACATCTTGTAGAAAAACCTACATAATGTCACAAAAAAACAATATAATATCAACAAAAATCGACATAATGTCAATTTTCAAGATACGCAATACCCGTGCCGGCCACTTCCATTTTCACGAGACTGAAATAAGATTTCATATAAAAAAATAATTTTGTACATATAGTACAGGAGACAGTTGAAGCTATGAGGAATGTTGAGAGATTGCTTGAAATATGTAAACAGTACGGTAGTTAAAAGTCGACAGTGCAGGACTGGATTAAAGGAAAAAAATTAGTTTCTTGTTCATTTTTACCTGTTTTTTATGTATTGTCAATAAAAATATCTATATTAAATGGACTCAGTATGAGTGTGCTTATTTTTTTCCTCAAAGTCCTAATGATTTGAAATTTATATTCTACTATCACACATTTTTTAATACGGTTCTGTCTGAAACTGTCCAATCAAATGTTTTCCGACTATTGGAAACTAGCCGGCCGACAATCGTAGCACCTTCTGTCCGAGTACTACCAAAATAGCACCTTTCTGATTATTAGTATTATTTATTTATTTGTTTTTTAGTTGTAAAAGTACAGGAATGTCTATAAACAATATATTTGTTGTCGGCGAAAAGTAAACAACATTTGATCACCGCCAAAAAAAACATTCGTTGTGTTTTCTTGAACACAAAATTAGTAATTACACGTTGTATTCCACTTTTGTCTAAACGGTCCTACCACTGGCACATTCACCCTACCTACTCCATAAGTCGATCGTCTATTTATCCAAGAAATAAGATGTTAGATCAAAACAATAACCAGCACGTTGATACATTTCAAGAAACGGAAAGCACAACTGTTATTGGTCAGAACCAATCCAGCCCATGTACAGAGCCAACGCCAAAGAAGGAAGGTGGAGTGGAAAGCGCCACGGCGGTGCATGCAGCCTAGCCAGCACTCTGACGTAGTCGGCGTTCTGGAGTTCCATCATGTGAAGTATGCGTAAATATGTTTGGGTTTAGTTTCTTTATTCGATAAACGGACTATAGAACATACATAAAATCCCTATCTCCAAAATGATAGACTAGAAGGATGTCAACGCTGAGTTTTTCTACATTGAATCGCTCATAAGTCATCAAGCATTGATGAAAACGCTATAAGTTATTATATCAATTTTCTCTTGAATAAATCTGTCCGGAAATGTAATAAAATATGGAGCATGGAATTGCCGTAATTGTGTTTTCCAGACATAACAATATCTACAGTATATTCAGATAAGAGATAGACCGGACATAAACAAGACCACGTGATCATCGAACGCTGTAACATTCGGCAGGGATGTATTAAGAGTCACGCAGTACATATTTTAGATAGTAGATGCTGCTTTGCGTAACTTTGTAGTAAATTAGCACAATTCGATGTGTATACGATTGGTGATGGATATAGGATCATGTGGGGGTGGGCTAAGAAATATATAATGATGTAAATATACATAAGGGTTTCAAAATTTTCGCTTCGATTTCCAGCTTCGGATGCCGCCTGATGTTTGGTGAAATACAATCGAATATAATCTCAAAATGGCGTTTAAATTAGCCTAAATTAAAAATAATCATATATCTCTTAAAATTGCTTTTAGAATATTGATTAGTATATTTTTTGATTTCTAGGTAAATATGTAACCAAATTAAAACGTGTGATCCTTGACAATTCCTAATAATTGTACTTTCAGCATTGCTTCTTCAAAGTTGATATTTTTCGAGCGGAGCCAATTTTGAACATCAACTTTCCTTGAAGCCGTTGTTGGGACCTTCTCCATTCTTCGAGAATGATAAGGCGCATTATCCAACACAATTACTGCGTTTTCCTCTAAGTTCGGTAAAATTTTTGAAAACCACTGTTCAAACGATTCGCCATTCATTTCCTCGTGGTAATCTCCAGTTTTCTTAGACTCAAAGCACCACAGACCGTCAACAACAAATCCATCCTCACTGCCATTATGGCAGATAATGAGCCTTTTCCCTTTACCTGGAAATCGAAGTACTAACTGGTGTAGATTTATTTCAATAAGCGAACCTTTTTCAAATGTTTTCATCACATTCAGCGAAAAAACATTGAGACATGAGTATCAGATTGCTATAATTGGGATTATTTAGTCATATTGAAAGAAAGAATATTGAACGTCGTATGATTACTCAGCGCTTCACAATTTAATTTAAAGTTATAAACCTTTAAAAAATGAATGATCAGGAACCTGAAATACGCGCAAATATTAATATTAACAAATTATAACTTTATAAAGCTTAAAGTATGAATTAAAATGATTAGAAATATTAGGAACGGTAGGTACACAATATAAAACTTACTAACTTTTTTTAAGTTTATAATATTCTACATATTTTAAGATTATATTAAAAAATTATTGAAATATCGAAAACACATAAAAACATGGCTTAAAAAAGTTCTAACAAATGAAAATGACAATAAAACATCCACGCATTTTATCGAAAGTTATAAAAGTTTTGTTACTTGTAATATGTTTTATCTGCCCCCTGGAATTAATGTTTAGAACCTTGTTCCCAAGGTTTGAAAAACATCCGATTGTTGTCTATTACTCGTATTTACCTGCTGGATTTTTTAATCCGGTAGACAGTCCATCTAGAAAGGCCCTCCTGGATGAAGTTACAGAATCATCAACCCATACTTTACTTGTAGTGTGTCCTGCGTTTACCCACGTTTCATCAAGGTAATAAATCTTCCTGTTTTGATTTCTATATTTCCCAATTTTTGTTAAATAATCCCTCCTCCATAGCACAATTTCTTCTCTATCCAGTAGTAAACTATTACGACCCCGTTTTTTCCATTTGAAATTTAAATGCTTCAGTAACGCATGGAAAGTTGATCGTTTGAAATTTGGCAACGTTGTATCTCCATTTACCTCTTGCAGTACTTTATCTATAGTAGGTATTTCATTCCTAAAGAAGAATTCATGCACTTTCCTCCTAATCGCATGCTTATCAGCATCATCCAATGATTTAACAATACTTTTGCGATGTTTACTGGTCATTGGCTCAGAAAAGGTGTGATTTTTTTTGTATTGTCTTAACACATTAAACACTGATGCGCGACACACCCCAACTTTGTGAGAAACGTTCACAACAATTTCTTTGATGGTTGATGCCTCGTTCTCCTCGCGCTCGATCTTATATATATTCAAAATGACCTCTTTCATTTCTGCACTCAGGTGTCTTTTTTAGAGCGTTTCCTAGGTTGACTACAGGAGTTTACAACTTCATCGGCAGTATCTGTACTACTGGGCATTTTGCGCAAGCAGTTGATAACAATAACAATCAATAACAAGGTATAACAATAACGACAAACTCAACAACTTAATGAGATAACAAACGAAAACGTCCAAAGAAATATCAAATTGCAATGATGCACACGACATACGTAACACGTCTGAACCTGAATGTGACTCTGCCTTCTGCCTTGATACGACTGCTCTGCCGCTCGGCATAGGCATTTAATTGCGAATTGACCAATGAGGGCTCCTGTTTTACGTCGAGACGGCGGCGTTAGCGTGAAAATCACCCGAACCTTTTGTTTACATCCGGTCTATCTCTTATCTGAATATACTGTATCTACAATGGTTTATATCTACAAAATACGTAAGGTAAGCTAACTAATCACACTTATTTTCAATCAAGTGCTCAGTAATGTTTCGAGCAGTGCACAAAACCTTTTTTTGACTGACTGAATTTGCCACTATATCGTAAATCCTTATTTTTGATTAGCCGAATTTGCGTCTTGGTCGCAAATATTGGGTCTGTGCTCAAATGAAAAAATAGCGTTTTGTAGCTAAGCCAGGTGATATATGAAATGTTTCTTGATTTAATATGGGAATTAGGGACCCATCAAATCGTATATTTGTTCTCCAATTTAAGTGATATTTTACAAGAAATCGACAGCATTCATTAGATCCATTAGTTCAGAATGTATGCCATAGGCGCCCTGTTAGTGAATTTGTGTCTAAGTTTCGCTAAGAAAAATGGGGGGAAATGGTACAAATAACGATTACATACTTGGAAAAAGAGTCGTCCGAGACATTTTTGCTCTTTTCTTTCTTCAAAATTTCTTTGAGTCTTTCTGCCCTTTTCAGGCAACTTCGACATTCAGCTCGGACATTTTCTTTATTAGCTTCATCCTCGATCTCAGCTGAAAATATATTTTCCAGGCCGCTATCAAAAATATGTATGGTGGATGTAAGTCTTGCAATGCGGTAACTCGAACAAGCTTAAACCTATGTTGTTAGATTTAGATTGCAGATGCCGTTATAGGTACTTGGCCTAAAAGACAAGGAATGCCGCGGTACCTCACATAGCCAATCAAGGATTTTCGTCTCTCGGCATCCGAGACCACCGAGCGAACTTGGTGGCGCCAAAATGACGTAATTATTCGGTCTGAAACGTCATTGACTGTAAAATTGACGTCATTTTCATGACGACAACATAACGTCCTTCAAAAGACTGTCATCAGTACTGAAAAATCAACACTTACCTACAAAGAAAATATAGACTTTTTATAGACAGTAAGGTAAACTAGATATCCAATTCCTAATAACTACTTTATAGTAACTTAAGATGATACACCGCGCGATTGTTTGCTAGCATATCGATCTTTCATAGACGTCATATCTACGTCATATAGACGTCATATGCCGATATTTTGACATCACTACGTTCACTGGGCATGCTGTGAGATCCCTATAGAGAGTGGCATCTTCCAGATCTCATGCTATAAGAGGCCTTTGACAGGGGTGGCAAACTGGATTACGCTGTTCGGATCCCCTATCTACGAGTCCCTGTAAAAAACCTACAAAACGTCAAAAAAAAGTGTAAGATGTCAATTTGCAGACTAGGTAGTTTTTTAGGGCGCAAGCAGACATTCCACGTTTGCTGACTAGGATCGTTGTGAACGTCCATCTATGGAGGAATCAATCAACTAAGCTACACGCATTATTGGTTGCATAGTTTTGTGAGGCGAAATGTCTGTAGTTTTTATCTCTGAGAAGAAAGTTGGTTGAATAGCAAGATCGCATCTGGATGATTATGTGTATTGGTCTGCATGTGTATAAAATCAGTGATATCTGCTGTGTGAGGAAATCATTACTGTATATGCTGCCAATGAAGTATATCTATTGGCTGTGCCCGACGGGTTATTTTTATGTTGTTCTTTCTGGAGAGAGGGGTTATGTTCAAAGTTATAAATTACGAATAACTTCGGGAAATGATCACCGCGCCCGCGTTCTGTGTAATTACTGTTAGCATGTATATGGCTTGCAATTCAACAGTGTACAGTGGATATAATTATTTCTTAGGAATCTCTCTCATTTTTTAAATTCAGCAAATTTGAATATGTAATTTCCAGAATGGATAAGAAAAAGTGGATGCGCAACTAATTTCTAGCTTTGAATCTCAATTAAGCGTATTTGAGACAAGAACCCAATGTAATTATCATCACCACATCCAATTCACAGCTTAGACCTCCAGTAATGCCATCTCAGAAGCAGATTTTACATCACGTCAGAGCCAAAGATTGATAACAAGCCTCATGACGTTTAGGCAACACGTACAACTAAATTCTAAGTTAATATATTGTAGAAAAACCTACCTAATGTAAAATGTAAAAAAACAGCATAATGTCAAAAAAAAATCGGCATAAGGTCACTTTTCAAGATACGTGATACCCGTGCGGCTATAGGCGGTAAGCAGGTGACGCAGCCGCTCCAGGTTGCGGTGTCATAGGGGATAGGGGCACATAATTCTCAATTAATGTGAGGGATTTTATTCTTGCCACAGGCGCACAAAACTAAGAAGTCAGCACTGCCTGGGGAAAAAAGAAATACAGACAACAAATGTAGTGATGTGCTGGTGGTGGTTGGTATCCTGCCTATTGATTTCCTGGCTGAGGAGATATGCGCGAACTGGCCATGATGCATGGACTAGAGGATGATCCCAGATATTAAAACTTTTGATTGACAAAGGAGCGGTGCGGATAGATTACTGCACAGTTCCTCACGGGACATGGTGTTTTGATAGCTGCCTGAAGAAATATGAAAGAGAAAGTACCCGAACTGTGTATATTGCAATGACGAGAAGAGGATACTTCTGATCATCTGCTCGAGTGTCGTATATGGATTGCCTACCATGAGAGGCAGTGGAAATTGGCGCTGAACGAGAGGCTCACTACTGACAATTTTACCAGGCGTGGAAGCGAGGGCAAATGGGTTGACATGCAGCCAAAAGTGAGACGAATGATGCTAAGCAAGGTACATGATGATAAAAACAGACCTAGTAAAAATAGGTGGGTTGATATGAAGACTTGGCGCAACGCATCATGAAGAAATGGTGCAAGCATTACGGTGGTAGTATGTGTGACGAATGACTCAGGGGCTTTAGTGGGTATGCAATTTCTGTAGAATCTTACATGTAGGATAAGAAAGGCCGACAGGGCAATGCTGTCGAGCCTGTTTGCCTGAGAGTGGCCTTAAAATCTTTACCCTATCCAAAAGAGGCTATTCTAAGCTATGAAGGCACATAGAAAGCTCGGAGCCTGTGCCTGAAGGGGCCCCAGAAGAGAGCGAAATCTGGGTCCCTACTTTGCGTTGGCGAATTTTTTTTAACTTCGTTTGATGTTTTTGAACATTTAGGAGCCCCCATGAGCCCGGGGTCCTGGGCACGGGTGAAGATAGAATACGGGCTATAGATACTGTTGTAAGCTAGCAGATAGGCCAAGAGATAGGGATAATTTGTATAAGAAAATACTACAGATCCCAATGAAGTTTAAATTGGCAACATGATAGGGCTGGAGTATTTGCCGCCATTTTGATCGGAAATATTGAAAATCTCATATGTAAAAAAAATAATAGAAACAGTTTTATATGAAATTACATGCAGTTACATTTTGATTCTAAAAAATGTGTGTTATAGGTAACAGATTAGAAGAAAGTAAAGGTGAAGGTACATATGATGATAGAGTATTATAGTATAAGACACCACTATTTTATTTTCTAGAGAACTAAAATTTTATACCAAAATGGTCTATCGCGTTTTTTTCGATACCTTAATAATTCTTGAAGAATGAGGAGGAAAAGCTGAAAATTGAATCAAAACAATCACTTGGAAATAACTTCATACTCATTATCTATGACCAATATTATCATTTTAAGGTCGATCCATATTTTACTACCACGTGCAAGTATTGAAAATGTAATATTTTTTCATAATTTGTGATGTTTTCATTAAAAAGTCTCTGATGTGCGCTATATCTAAACCAACTTAAACATTTATTTTTATCTCATTTAGTGTTACTAATTAAACGAAGTTGAACTCACAGTTTATAGCACGCAAAAAATTATCAATTTCTTCTTTATAAAGTCGAAACGCTTCATAGTATTTCTTTTTCCTCTCTTCATCTGCAGCTTTTCTAACTAGATCTATTGCTTTTTTCAAACAGGGTTTTGGGATACCTGTAGCCATTCTTGATTAGTTATTAAAAACGAAAGAATCCTCTGTTTCAAAGCTAGCGGGGTCAGTTATTAATTTTTATAGTTTTGAGTATATTAATTTGTAAACTGACAGTTTGTGAAGTGAAAGCTGTTAAAAGTCACACTGTCATCAATCAAAGAGAAAGAAACAATAAATTACACAGAGGGGACAATCAGATATTTTTCAAGATTGCGACGGAATATCAATATTCTCATTAGTTCAAGTTCAAATTTCATTTTTTGGACCAATGATATGAAGAGTCGCGTGACGTACTCGTAATTTTTCCACGCCTTATAATTCGAATGTGACCCTACTTCTGCAATGGATGTTTAAGTTTCAGTCAGATGTGAATAAAATAGGTTTGGTATTCTGACGATGACAGTTTAACTTGTAAAGTATTGTCACGTTTTCATTCAATGTTTTTTTATACTGCAGTAACCGCGGAGGCAGAAGCCTAAATACCAGGACATCGCGGCTGCTGTGAGGAGCTTGAATAAACTTTGTCAAACTGATTTTTGAACTGCCTAAGATTAGTAGAATTAGGATAAGTCTCCTCAGCTAGATTCTCCATTAGTCTCGATACAGTAAGGACAAAAGATCGGTCGTACGGGCCAGTTCTGGAACGAGAAGGAAAGCACTGAGGAGCACTGACATCGCGGTAGAAGAGAGCTATGTTGGCGACGGCCCGTTGGTGCAAAAGGGTCCCGAGACTGTCCGTTAGAGTTATCAATCAGGCAAACCCTCCTTTGAACCGCATCGAGCATGGACAGCTGAACACAGCAGGACTTTTTACGTTTTCGGGACGATGGACGAGGTTGAGGTAGCTGCTAGATAAAAAAACGACAGATCTCATGGTCGCTTGTAGCTATGTGAGGCTGGACGCCATCCTTTAGGAAGCGGCAGGGGTATTACTGTACTAAGTAGTCGCTAGCCGATTCAGCGCCTACTCGCTGTGAGCGCCACCTATGTAGGAATGCCAGCAACGACCACGTTCCCTGAGATACTGCACCTTACATTTCGCCAGCATGCTTTGTTTTGAAGCTACCGAGATAGTCTACGAGGGATGTCTTTTAAGTTTTGCATATAGAAACATAGTCACTACAGTGAATGTTTAAGTGTCACCAAGTCATTAGAAAAATGGAACTCAACCGAGAACATTTTCGCGCCATAATTTATTACAACTTTGAGAGACAATTATCGCAACAAGAATGCCTTGCTGGGTTACTGTCTATTTTCGGCAACGAAGCGCCACATCAGTCGACAATTTCCCGTTGGTATGGAGAATTTAAACGTGGGTCTTAGCGACGATTCTAGGGTGGGTGCACCAAAAACGGCAGTCACCCAGGAAAATGTGAATGCTGTGCTCAAACTCATCATTGAAGATAGACATGTGACATATCGCGAGATTGAGGCGTTCTTGAAGATCAGAAAGACCTCAATTTAAAAAATTCTACATGAAGAATTAGGAGTAAGAAAATTAGTTTCTCATTGGAAACCCCACCTGTTGACTGAAGAGCAGAAAGCAGCCAGGGTTAATTGGTGTCAAAAAACGCTTGACCGTTTCAATTCCGGAAACTCAAAAAATGTCCTACAGCATTATTAGTGGTGATGAATCGCGGATTTACTGTTATGAACCAGAAAATAAACGACAATCGGCTGTTTGGGTGTTCCAAGGTGAAGAAAAGCCAACAAAAGTCATCCGTTCTTGAAGTGATTCGAAAAAGATGGTCGCAACATTTGTGTCAAAAGCGGGTCATATTGCAACAATTCCTCTTAATGATCAAAGAACTGTTACTGCGGATTGGTATACCACCATTTGTTTGCCAAAAGTCATCACCGAGCTTCGAAAAATCAACCCCGAAAGAAGAATCATCCTCCACCAAGACAATGCAAGCTCGCAAACAGCCCAAAAAACAAGGCAGTATTTAACGGAAGCAAACGTGGAATTATTGGACCATCCTCAATATAGTCCCGATCTAAGTCCTAACGATTTCTTTACTTTCTCGAAAATTAAAAACAGACTGCGTGGTCAAAGGTTTCAGTCACCAGAAGAAGCAGTTGACGCATTAAAAAATGCCGTTTTGGATCTGCCAGCAAACGAGTGGAATAAGTGCTTCGAAAATTGGTTCGAGCGCATGCTGATGTTTATTAATCTTCGTGGAGAATACTTCAAAAAGCAATAAATTCATTTGAAACTACCTACCGTGTTGTTTTATTTCCATATGCTAAACTTAAAAGACATCCCTCATATAGAGTAAATGAGATGTAACAAAGAAAATATGGTCGAGTATTAAGGTCGCATCTGGATGCTTGCGTGTATTGGTTTGCATGTCTACACGGAAAATAAAATTTGTCTGACGGCTTGAGTTCACTGTGTACGAGAGAGAAGCGCGAGAAGTGTGTATCAACACATGTTAGAAAGAGATAGAAGCCGGCAGAAAAGCGAATGTCATCACCACATTAGCTAGCGACGGTGACGCAGAAGCCGTACAATCTGCCATGTAATGCCAATATGTTACACCAGAAAATGTTCGCACCAGCTTCTACAATATGTTAGGTTACTGTCAAACCTAAAGGAGGTCTGTAGGTATTTTAGAATAATCTTTTATTTCCTCCGATGGTGATAAAATCAATACATCCTAAGTTATTGTTGCATTTTGCGACAGCGAGCGGTCCGAAAATGTAACAAATACTATTACGCAATGAACAGTTATCATTGACTGCGTGTACGCAGGTAAAAAGCATTTCAAAGCAGGACGACACTCCCCAATGAGCGCTGGATGGGTACTAACCAAAATCGCTTATCGATGATCATGGAGGTGGAAACCTTACCTTGGAATGTACGGGATGTGGTGGTGACCTTTCATTTCGATCTAAAATGGAGGGTCGTTAGGACCGATCCGGAATCGATCCTAAACAGATTCGACACAATTCACAAATGTCAGTGATATTGATTATGAAGGTGGTGGCTTTTTTCAGGTTTTGACAGTCAGCCAATGGAATGCTACTTCAATTTTGATTTAGGTTAATCTATTAAAATTACTCCACCCTTACTCTATTACAAATATGATAATTCCGTTTGTCCTAAAATTAATAAAAAATAGTAAAACAGCAATTGAATCGAATATGTTTATTAAACTTCATTACTAAATGAGATACATAAAGTCGTATAATAATAACTGAATACAAGGTGGAAGTAAAAATTCGCTTATAAAGTAATCGCATCATAGCAGTGAACTATAGAGTAAATAATAACAACTGCCTTTATTTAACACTGGCGGGAGTCAGCTAAAAGCTGATTTATCATACCAACCAGGTCGAGCATTCCTCTATCTGCTCTCAGGAAACAGCATAATAAATCTGATAATTTGAAAATTTTGTTCGATCTTGATATGTAACACCATTTATACGATTTCATGTTATATATTCGGCAGTAGTTCAATCCAGAGGATGTATCAACTTTATTATATCCCCAGGTTTTCCTCTCTTGACAACGTGCGGAATGGTTTTTGGTACCATGCTGAAAAAATATATTAGAATAAATAGATTAATATTCACAAATGTGGCTAGTATATCACGAATACGCTAATTTTGATCTTAATAATGCCTGTTAATAGGGAAAGTTCAAGATCTCGAACACACGTTAATTCTTGGCTAATTCAGAATGCGGGATATAGCTCAAAGGGATTTGTGAAGAACTCTCCGACCGTTACATTCTTGCTGGATTCAAGATACTTTAGTCGTAACTATGCGCACATAGCAGGTAGAACGTCGAGATAAACTTCCACGTCTTCGGGCTCGAAATGTGGTATGTTTTCCATTTTTGTAATTTTTATTAATAAATCGGTATGAATAGTATTTGAAAAAATATCTTACGTGATACAGTCGATGATCGGGCAAACTGAGAGACATAAAGTGCAACCTGTGCAGTCATCAGTTACTTTCGGAATATGGGTTTCCTTATCAAACCGTATAGCCTGATATCCCGAGTCATTACAAGTCATGTAACATTTGCCACAGTTTATACACATGTCCTGAAAAAAAAACAATGTTGAGCATATGCAGAAACTATCAACAATAATAAATCTTCGGCATGTCTCCGATAAAGAAAAATATAGGAGCAGAGGGATAGATTGCCAGAGTAACATACTGTACTTGTGTATTCAGCATATCTATGGTTTTAGGTATGATTATTTTTATTCATTTGGGTTGTCTGGATAGTTTACTCTCCATAAATTAAGATATTCCATTCCATGGAGAATACGTTAAAAAGTACGAGGGTGGTCCCAGAAGTACCCAACACAAAATTTTTGTAAAGAAATGCATTTATTTTTCAACATAATGTCCTTCGAGCTCTATACACTTTTCCCAGCGATGTTCAATAAGTTCGATACCCTTTTTATAACAAGAACTGTCTTGGTCCTCAAAATAGCCATTAACTGCCGACATAACTTCTTCATCGTTGGAAAATCTTTGACCACTGAGTAACTTTTTCAAGTATGGAAACAGAAAATAATCCGAGGGGGCTAAATCTGGTGAATAGGGTGCATGAGGTAGCACTTCAAACTTTAATTCGTTAATGTTGGCAATTGCAATAACGGATTTGTGAGCTGGTGCATTGTCTTGATGAAACAACACTTTCTTCTCAACCAAATGCGGCCGTTATTGCTTGATTTCATCGCTAAAACGTTGCAATAAGTTCGCATAATACTCGCCGTTGGTAGTTTTACCTTTTTCAAGATAGTCAATGAAAATTATCCCACGCGCATCCCAAAAAACCGACGCCATAACCTTGCCTGCAGATGAAACGGTCTTCGCCTTCTTTGGAGCCGGTTGTCCCTTTTGAGTACATTGTTTTGATTGTTCCTTTGTCTCGGGTGTGAAGTGATGGACCCATGTTTCATCCATGGTTATGAAACGATGCAAAAATTCTGCTTTGTTGCTGTGAAACTTCGCTCAATTGAAACATCTTCACGACACTGTTTTTGCTCGATTGTGATCAATCGCGGCACCCATCTTGCACACAGCTTTCTCATGTCCAAATTTTCAGATAATATGCGATGAACCGCACTTTTTGAAATGCCTACTATGTCTGCTAGCTCGCGCACTTTCAGTCGACGACCATTCAGTACCGCTTTATGAATTTTCTTCACCATTTCTGGAGTCGTCACCTCATTTGGTCGACCACTGCGATGCTCATCTTGGCAGCTCATACGGTCTCGTTTAAACTCTGCTACCCAATATTTTACTGTTGTAATCGAAGGAGAAGACTCACCCAGAGTAGAATCGAGTTCAGCTTTTATATTGGTTGGGCTGAGGCCTTTGAAATAAAAGTATTGTACCACATAACCATCACTAATTTTCTCCATTTTCACAAATTCACTGAAAACGTTCAGTATTGATGGCTGCTAAACAAATACTAAACAACGTGGCGTCTTCAAAATTGACACATATGCTTTATAGGTTGCATACTTTCTAATACTATGATATTTTTCAAACAACTATCGCCATCTCTAGGTTAGGCCGGGTACTTCTGGGAGCACCCTCGTAAATAAAAACTGTTTTTGAGCATCAGTTATCCAATATAGCGCCTCTATCGAAGCAACAAAGTGAGAATACGAAAAGAGCCGGATCTCTTCGAAACTTTCCAGGTAAATTGTATTGTATAGATTACGAACGCCACTGTTCTGTTCACTCTTACTTTCCTAGGGTAGCCACCATTACAGCTGGATCGTTCCTGAACTCATCATTCTGAATCAATGATACCGCATTAGGAATCGAAGGAATTGGTACCGATGGTTTCGATTCCGATTCCAGTGGTTTCGATTCTGATTCCAAGCAAGCCGATTTTGATTCCGGTGGTTCCGATCCCGACGATTTGGCATTGCATACTAATTCGTGAACGAAACGACGAAATTTATTCCGAGGCCGAAATGGAAACTGTGGGATCGAATCAGCTGAACGGTCGATCACAAGCTCACCATAAAGGTCATCGAGGGTTTTGAAAACAAATCCATCTTTTCAAAAAAAATAGGTGTGAAAAGTTTTGCCTTACATCATCAATGATAGCAACCACTTGTTGCTTATTATTCAACTGTTTGTAGGGTCCAATCCTTGGTAGTGCTCGTCCTATGATATCCTTGACCTTTGGTACATGGCGCTTCGTCACTTCAGAACCTCTGCAAATACCATTAACATCATTGAAGCCATTGGATAGTTCTCCAGAGTACCCGTTTTGTTTTCCGTTGTGATGGAGTAAAATGTTATCATCGATCTTGCATTCCCTGTATAGTTTTGCTAGTTGCTCTTCACGGTCTCTTTGGTATTTGCCGAAATGGGGAAGCTTCTGAAATATTAAAATGGAGTTAGTGTCTGAATAGCCTTTCTAAATCACAAAACAATACTACGAATCACAATCACAGATCCACAAAATAAAAAAGTGGTGTGTGCTGGGATCCCACCATATTTTGCATATGTACGGTTTCTCACTGAACACGAATCTGAAGTTCGAATTGAGGGTTGGTGGACTGAAAGTGAAAACGCATAAAAACGATAAAAATCATATCACAGCCCTCCAAAAAAATAAAAAGTGGTGTGTATTGAAGGTCTCAGTATATTTTTCCCATATATTTGTCCTATGTTTTTTTCTAAACATTATTTGATTAACTACTCTCACATGATAGGTATCCATAAAGCTAGCTATTTCTCAGAAAACCACTTTTGTTTTATCTGATCGATTATAATACTGATTCCGATATACCGTAATTTTCAGAATATAGTTACTTTGAGGACAGATTCTTATTTGGCAACATTGAAAATCTCCAGTTATTTTCACTTATCTTGATCAGATTTTTGTCTAACTTCTCAAAGATTATCTGCAGTGTAAAATGATAGTAGCAGTATTTAAGTTAGGGTGTTTTTCCAGAAAATCATTCTATAACTACAGGCCTACAGTAACTGTGCTTTTTGTTATAAACAAGGTGATAAAGAGGTGCATAAATCGGGAGCTAGTACCTCGAGTTTCGTTTGATTATACCACGCCATTGTTCAAACATAAGTAAGAAAGTAGAATGGTCATGGAATAGTCCAAAAAATTACCGTATATTAATATTTAACAAAATGACAATCTAAAACCATACAGGCACACACCTTTCCAGTTTCGTCGTACAAGGGAATGACAGGTTTACCCTTTTGATGCTTGAACGTAGGAGGACTCTGTCCTTCCCAGCCAGGGAACTTCCCGTCAAGGTACAAAAGAGCTTTCAAGCCAGTGCAATAGTCATCTATCAAAGAGAAATCTTGATTTTGTACCGCACTGCAGACTTGAACTGCTGACGCGCCACACTGCAAATACTGGAAGGCTGTTTCTGCAGACTCGATTCCTCCAATTCCTACAAATAAATAGATGAAAAACTACTATTTCCAATTGTATGATGTTTCTCAGAATTCTTCTGCTATTGAAACGAACCAAATCTGGTCTAAAATGTTCATCAAATGAAGATTTTGGACTTCCATGTAAATGAACCAGTTGAGTATAACTACTCAGGGACAAAAATAATAGTACATCCAGTAAAGATGATATTACTTTAATGACATTTCGAATATAGTTAGAAAGAATGAATTAGTGATTCAATTTTGAAGTGAATACATGGAACAGTCTGCTGGACCAGCTAAATGCCTCATAAATTCGTCCATTCATCGGAGCATGCTTCTGATGATGATTTATATATTCTTGAGGTATCCCATCCCAAGCTCGCTGTTTGTTTCCGAAAAGCTGTTAGCATTTGTGGAGGATGAGGTAAAGACGTCAGGTGTCTTCCCATCATATCTCACATATGTTTAATGGGAGAAAAGTTTAACGATCTAGAAGGTCAAGGAAGAAGGTTGACTTAACCGTTATTGTGGTAGTCTGTCCTAGTTATAGCAATATAATAATAATAATAATAATAGTAATATTTATTCACTCAATGTACAAAGATAACAAACAATATGAGTAAATAAATATAAAATCAAAACAGGCCCAATAGAAGGCATCGCCTGTACATGGACCAATAATTTAAGTTGAAACTGTGGAATGCAAATAACAAAAAAGGACAAAAATTAGCTACAGTAGATTATGTATTTAGTTGATGTTCGTATTTATGAGTTTATGAATTTCAGTCCTAGATATAGAATGTAGCCACCTTTTTAAATTTCTTTTGAAACAATTTCCGAAACGTAAATCTTTTAAGTTTAGGTATAATTTCATAAAATTTAGGCGCTAAATAGAGATATGATCGCTGCATTATAGATTTATGCGGTTGAGGAACTACTGTGCCACGAATTTTGTACCTGGTATAATGATTATGTTTAATTTTTTGGTCGGTGTTTACAAATTTATGGTAGTGTAGTGTAGTGTAAGAAATAAAGCTGTCTTATATCATACATTCGAACATCTGCGTATAATTTTTCAGTGGGATAAAGTTTCGGTTTTTTAAATATCATTTTTAGAATACTTTTTTGAAAAACATCTAAATTATAGATATGTGAGGAACATGCAGCTCCCCATGCTAATATACCATATGTGAGATGAGGCTCAATCAGTGCATGGTATAATGTTCGAAGATATTTATCTGTCAATATATTCTCAAGGTATTTAATTTTGTAGGATACAAATCTAACTTTCTTTAAAATATAATTGACATGGATGTTCCATCGTAAGTGAGGATCTAAGACCACTCCAAGGTATTTTATGTTGGGCACTCTATTAATTTGCATTTTTTGATCATTAATATTGAAGGAGAAATTTGTGTAATTTGGCAGATGTCTAGCATAAGATCCAAATGGTAAAAAATGTGTTTTAGAGTAGTTAATGCTTAATTTTCTACTGTTAAACCACCGAATAATTTTGATAAAATCATTTTCAATTACATTTTTCAGATCAGACCAGTCAGTGCCTTCATATAATATGGCAGTATCATCTGCAAAAGTTTTATTTTGCCAACACAATTAATTTGGAAAATATCATTTAAATATATATTGAATAACAGCGGACCTAAGACAGTTCCTTGTGGGACACCACACTTAATATACATTTTTTTAATAAATGATCCTGATATCTGCACAGATTGTGGGCGATTTGACAAATAACTTTCGATCAGTGAGTACGCCTTTCCTCTGAAACCAATTCTCTCCAATGCTTCTAATAATAATTTGTGATTAACTGTGTCGAAAGCTTTCTTTAAATCAACAAAAATGCAGATTGAAGGGATTCTGTTATCAATATTTTGATGTATTTGATTTACAATTTTAGTTATTGCGCCCGATGTAGCCTTCCCTTCTGTAAATCCATATTGATTTTCACTTAAAATTTTGAATTTTGTGAGGTATCGAATCATTCTAGTAGATAAAACTTTTTCAAAAACCTTTGCTACACTGGATATTATTGATATTGGTCTATAGTTGTTAACATCTGTTTTTGTTCCTGATTTATGTATCGGTATTATATTACCTTTTTTTAAAATTGAGGGATATATGCCAGATTCAAAGCATTTGTTGATTAGGTAAGTGAGTGGTTCTGTTTTGTCCTCGGCTATAATTTTCAAATGCTCGCTTTTAATACCATCGAACCCAGGACTTTTCCGATTTTTTAAGGACATAACAGTGGTGTATACTTCACATTGCTCGACTTTATCCATAATAAATGAGTTCAAAGTTCTTTTTGGAGGCTGAATATTTTGTACATTTGCTTGTATATTACTTGCTAAATTTTCGCCTATGTCAGTAAAGAATTGTACAAATTCATCGCATATCTGTTGAGTATTTTTTAATACTGTTCCCGATGTTGTACTATATTTAACTCAGTGACACACTCTTTAAATTTTGTTTTCCCAGTAATCTCATCAATAGTTGTCCAAAGCCGCTTAGGATCATTTAAGTTATTAGTCAATTTATTTAGGTAATGTTTTCGTTTGGTTTGCCTTACAAGCTCTATAAATTTATTTTTATATTGGTTGTAGTAGTCGGTATTCTCTGTAGTTGGCGTTAGTTTCATTACATTATATAGTCTTTCTTTTTCTATTGCCGATGTTATTAATCCTTTGGTAATCCAGGCATTTCTGCTTTTCTCTTTGTGACTAATTATTACTTTATTGGTTCTAATATACATATATTAGTTTTTTTATTTTCTCTATGAACAGTCCCGTTGCTTTGTCTATATTATTTATAGAGTATAATTGTTCCCAGGATTCTTGTTTGATATTTGATATTAGTTATGAATTGTCGACAAACAATTTGTAATTTTCCTGGTTGTTATTAACGGTAGGGATGTTAGAATGTTTTTCATTTGAAGATATCAGTAAAATAGTGGAGAAGTGGTCAGTAATATCGCTTTCTAGGATTATTGGTATACAAGTAATTTTGTTGGATAGGTCTTTCACAAAGCAGTGGTCTATACATGTGCCACTGATGGACCTTGTAGGTAGGTTTATATAGGACAGAAATCCGTTACTTGATAGGATATTCAAGTATTCATTTGTGATGGGATCATCGTCCAAAATATTTATATTGACATCTCCCAAGAAAATATGTTGCTTTAAATGAACTTTATTTTGATTTTGAAAAAAAAATTCGATATTCATTAAAAACTCGTGGGGTTCTGAACATGCCGGACGATAAATTGCAGATATCTCAATTTTGTTATGGTTAATTTGGATCATTATGTTTAAAATTTTGATTCCATCGGTGAAAGTGAATGTATCATGATTATATTGCAGTTTATTTCTTACAAAAACTATCACCCTATCGTTTTGATTATAAGTGCCAAAGTTATACAGCGTGTCATATCCCTGCTGATTGAAGCAAGAAATATCAACCACTTGCCACGTTTCAGTTAAAACTATTAGATCAAAATTGTACCATATTTGGTGGAGTAGTATTTTTAAGTAATCAATGTTGTGTTTTATACTCCTTATGTTCATATTAAAAATTTACATTGTCTTGTTAGAAATTCGGCTTTCTAAGTGTTTGGAAGAATAGACCTCGACACATTCTATTTCGTACCCGTCTATCATGCACTCTAATATAAGGTCTATATCATCACTAAAAGTAAGTTATACGAGGGTCATTTTTAAGTAAGAACCGTTTTGTAATGGAGTTAGAGAAACTTTATTTATGAAGGTAAATTGTACCAAAAAGTGAAATTTTGTTTATTTTTCAATATAGTCACCATAAATATTCACCAGTCGTGGCACCAGCTTTTGAATCTTGTCGGCAAAGAACATAGTCGTCTGACCGTAACACCAGTTAGCAACGGTTTCTTTCAACATATCATTTTCCAAGCGCCTTCCAACAAGAAGTCCCTCAAGTCTAGGGTAAACATGAAAGTCTGGGCTATATAGAGTATGATGTATTACTCACCAATCACACTTGTCCAGTGGGGTCTGCGTTCTTGCCGCAACAAGTTACTGGTGAATTTCTGCAGGAGGAGCTTTCGAGAACTTTATTATGTTTAAAAACCGCAATTCATAATCGGCATCTTTACCGAATGATATCGTGACAGATACAGTACAACCACACAACCAATGCCGGCAGAGACATGAAACAAGCACTGAGGTTGTGCAGACGCCACGTGACAGGATACGCAGGCACGATTCGTAATGGGGTCTCACTTCAAAAATGGTACTCGTACCAAGAATCATCCCAATTTTCCCACGCTCTAAGTGCTGGTTTGAGGTGACACCATATGCGATGCTAAGTCACCTCTAGTTTCCCTTAGAGGAGGTTTGATGGCGCAGCGTTGTATCCAGGAACTATTAGAACCTTCCTTCCTTGGCGTCCCAAATCGCCAATCGAACATGCGTGAGATGTGATGGGAAGAAAAACAGCTAGCAGTGCCGGATCCAGGGGCTGTCCTGGGCATCAAGACCCCCAAATATACTAGTTAAAAAAATTTAGAACGTGTTTTTCAATTGAAGACTTTGGTGCCAAAAGGTGTTAACTCAATTTTTTCGAATTTTAAGATTTGTAGTGCAAAAAGGTGTTAAAATGCTTTTTTGATACTATCTATCCGGCCAAAGTTCTTAGATACAGAGATTCATAAAAGTGTTAAATATATTCAAAAATTCCATCTGTAAACTTTAAAAGTTATTAACTCTTGCATTATAGGTAAAAAGGTGTTAACTCAAGAGTTAATTTAGTTTTCGATTGAAATATAAAAATGTTTGCGATGTAGGATCGAATGAGGAACATGTTGCAAAGTATAAAAAAGCTTTTGAGTACAGATATCTCATCCAAGAATAGCAATAACAAACGAAAAAATCACCTAGAGTGTTCAAAAAAATTGACCATAAGTTCCCTGTCTACCTTCACGGACTCCTTTTAATATTACAAGAATGGCGGACAAATTTGTTGATATTAAAGAACTTCCAAGAAAACTTGGACTGGTCGATATAAAAAAACTACAACTAATTAGAAATTTTCATCCAGATATGTAAGATGGATCCAGATTGAAGAATTTGGTGTAACTAGGTACAGATACTCTTTTGATGAAACGGAAAATTGGACTATTGTTGATATAAGAAAACAGCGAAATCTCTATAGAAGACTAGAAAATGAACCATTATTGAATGTCGATAGAAGCCGACCTATTGGGGTAAAAAAGATTGATAATATTCAGGAACAAATTCCTTCAACACCAGCAAATTTTAGAGGCTTTTATCAAAATTTAAGAAGGGGAGACGATTAGTTACAGTGTGTGGATTATTTGTGAGTTTGTAATAAGAAAAAAGAACACTGCTACTGTCATTTTCCAGACCAAGCAAACAACAGTTTTCTTAAAAAGGTGTGAAGTCATAATTTTCAACAATCTTTTTCAAATTTCTGATAATAACAACATTTTTTTTGAACAAACCTGTCTGTTCGAGATACTTTCATGTGTCTAAAATAACATTCAATAATAAAAGCAGCCCTAACACTACTCAATAAAAAACTTCAGGATTTAAACTTTGAGGCAAATTATCTCCAAACTATAAAATCTTAGAGTTAACACCTTTTTGTACCAAAGGTTTCAACTCACAGACGCTCTTCAATTTTCAATCGCCGATGTACCCCCTGCTTTTCAGTGTTGAATTGCCGATACCCTCTGTCTCGCTCTTCAATAGTCACAAGGGCATGCGTTCTAAAAAGCAGTGATACAGCAGATGTTGCCACCTCCCTTCCTCCTTCGACCTTCAATTTCCAATCGCTGATACTCCCCTCCCTGAGGCGGACATCTTCCCGAAGTTTTTTGAGCGGGTAATTTCAAATTCACCATATGGACTCCTCCAAATATACTTTCTAGAACTGCCCCTGACAGGTAGCTTGGATAAAATACTTTTGGAAGACGTAAATCGCCTCATCAGAAGCATGCCTCTACAACTGAATGAATATAATATATAGTACACCATCAAGGTAGCCTAACACTTTATTAGCGAAATCTAGCGATATCTTAAATGTTTTCAGTTCAAAATTTAATCACGACTCTTGCTTATATCTGACTGCATACAAAGCTTAATTCAAATAAAATAATGTTTACTGGGTGTTCTATATACTTTATTTCTGAGTATATTTACGTTCTTTATTTACGATAAATTCAGTTATAGTAAAAATATAAGTTCGTAACCCGTAAAATTAGGCGGCATAGTCCTTTCTTGTCTTACGCATTCCCTTCTGGGCTTACGCATTTCCTTCTGGGCTTACGCATGATATTCTGCTTTGTAGCAGCTTGTCTGTAATATAACTAGTTACACACCTAGAATTGCGAAGTTTGGTAATTTATTAGCAATCGATGAAACAGCTTTAAGTCCCATTGGTCTGGTGGCATTTCCACTGACTCCTCCGTATGTGGTCCTCTTGTCTATACCAACTGCTGGCCAAGCAGCTGCATCTGGCTTCACGTACATCAAACCTGATACTGTATTTATAGCCGCACCACCCCATGCACCCCCTAATGGAAGTTGAAAAAAATAATATCAAAATATGTTTATTAGCAGTCTTCTAAGCCTACCTTCGTAAGCTGCCTGTGCGATATCTCTGATATCAGTTATGTTAGGTGTAAGTTTTATGAAAAATGGTATCTTGATAGTCTGTTTCACCCACTTGGAAATTTCTCTGACCAGCTCAGGTTTCTAAAATCGCAAAAAATTAATAAAACCGGCGACTTCTAAATCAAAATGCCCACCTGTCCACAGGCCAGACCCATTCCAGATTCTCCCATTCCATGTGGACAACTCAAGTTCAACTCTAACATATCAGCGCCACTGTCTTCGGCTTTCTTAGTTAACAATTTCCAGTCTTCTTCAATAAACGCACACATCACACTCGCTATTATTATCTAGAAAGGATTGTTAAGAGATTTTGTCAAAGAAAATATGCTGAAAGGACTGTTTTAAAAATATGGTGGATGGTCCCACTAGCGAGGATGATGATCCCGAACTATAGGAAAGAAAATTTCTAAACAGACAAAACGTTTGAAAATGAATTTTTATCAGTGTTTGATGATGGAAATGTGGGTTCAAAACAATAAAAGTGGAATTACCTTTGAAGGAAAATCCTTCTTCAGTTCTCTTATACCAGTCAACCAGTAGTCCATGCATTTTTCCGAAATCAGTTCTATATTCAAGAAAGAGCCTTGCTGTGGCCCATAAGTATAGCCTGAGGTAGTTCCTCGAATTATTCTTGGAGAAACATTCGTAACCTTGTCCTAGAAAAAAACTATGGCCGTGTAGGTTTACCCAACTTTAAGTTTAAAAAAATGTTTTTCATCGTACAAGCTTGATTAAAAAACAGTGGTAATATGAGGTCAGTGAGTTAAGTGATGAGACTGATTTTTTTTATTCAAATATAATTACAATTTTATATTATCACCCTCAAAAAACTCCCTTATGAAGCGACACAACGCTGTAGACAGTTCTTCCTCATAGCAGTTTTCGACTGTCCCAAAATGAGTTCCCATGAGGTGATTTTTCAACTTCGGCAAAAGAAAAAAGTCACAGGAACTGAAGTCAAGGAGGGTGAGGAGGCACAGAAATGTTTTTACTGACCAAAACTCGTTTACTGATATTGCCGTGTGACAAGGAGCATTATCGTAATGCAACACCCAGTTTTTGATGTGATGGACGGATTCTGTCGATATTTCCATCGATTCTTGAAGATGAAGGTCTTCCGCTTCGTGTTTCATCTTCAATCGACTCTCTCCGTTCTGAAAATGCCTCAAATCACCGAAAAACCTAGGCTCTTGACAAAACACTACCTCCGTAGGGCTGCCAATTACGAGTATTTTTGCAGCACACTAGGAAAAACTGTTTGAAAAAAAATCGCTACGGGCAACCAGATGACTCGAGCGAGTTCAAACTTGTACTGAAGACGGATCACCTGTTTCCCTGTCTCCCCTACAAACCCGGCGCCTCCAGTGTTGCCAGATCGAAGGCTACGTTGCCAGTCTCATCACTTAATTAATACCTCGTATCTCTAAAGCAAAACGTACGTTGAAAATAAGAAAAACTTTTATAAACCCATGTCGTAAAATATGTCATTGACATTATGAACTTCTGCACAATTGAACTAATGAACATATCTAGCAAAAGACTATCAAAAGAGATGCCTGATACGAAGGTTCCTTTACTATACTGTTTTCTGTTTTTGAAGTACAGGTACAGCTACTAGTTTTCGTCAAAGAAATCGCTTAATTGGTATCACCGAAATCAAATTTATCTGTTTAACTATTCCGATGTCAAAAAATAAAACGATTCGAATCGTGAGTTTATTTTAAAATTTGATTTTAGTACAATGTATAATTTTCAAAATGTTTTCAAGGAATCATGTGTTTCATAACTAGCTATGTGAATGTATAGCTGTGTTTTTGTGTATGTTTCAAATAATGCTATTTCATTGTAAATGATTTCAATGTCAAAGACAAAGTTTTTTGTGATATTTTGTTACAACTTCGTAAGTAAACCTTCAACACGCTGTATCTCGAATATCTCGTTCACGGTCATAGGAACTTTTTGTATTATTTGTTAATGCACTAGATTGGCCGGAGAAGGAAAATTGTAATTTTTTAAAACTCTGCTTACCTTGTCCAAGCAAAACGTTTTAGTAACAACAAATGCCCAGCCTTGCTCAAAAGCCCTACGAATCATGGCAGTGGTAGTTACAGGTGGTGCAGATGCAAGTCCGAACGGATTTTCAAATTTCACCCCACACACATCTACGGATATATCTACTTCATCGATGTCCGTATGGAACAGTGGTAGCTTGGGTTTTGTAATACTCGGCAAACCCTGAAAATATTCAATAATGCAATAGCAACTATATTTAAGACCCATTTTTTGGTTTTATGTTGGGTTTGCACTCACGTACCTCTGAACCATAACTTTTGTATGAATATAAACAATGCAATACTGCTTTTATATCAGTTTTGAATAGAAGTAACGTAAACTAAAATGGTTTTAGAGAAGAAGAAATGTATGGACAATAGGAAACATACAGTAACAGTATTTTTGAACTTCAAAGGGGCGTTTGAGACTATTGACAGGGTAAATTGCTACGGATTTAAAGGATCCGTATCCAAATTCTGCAAAACTATTTAATTGACAGAAGTCAAAAAAACAAAATTGGATCTACATTATCAAGCCCAAAAAATTTTCTGTTGGTTTACCACAAGGTAGTAAACTAGGTGCAGTACTATTTATTTTATACATTAATGACATTTGTAATATTTTAGATTATTGTAAAATTCAGATATTTGCAGATGATACATTAATATACATATCAGATGAAAATATAGACACTGCTTTAAAAAATCTAAATTCTGACTTGGCAAAAATGATAAATTGGTTAAATGTAAATAAACTAAAATCGAATTCGTCTAAAACAAAATGTATGCTAATAGGAAAATACCTAAATGAAAGTACTACCACAGTTAGGATAAATTGTAAATAATTGAAAATGTTGAATAGATTAAATATTTAGGTACATACACATATTGATACTTAACTAAAGTTTGAGGATCACTCTGAAAACATTATTTCAAAAATTGCAAAAAAAACAAATTACTTTTATGGGGCTTCTCATAGTCTTGGTACATATTCCAAGAAAATGGTTCATAATACGATTATTCTAGAGCATTGTTCAACTATGTTGTTCACTGTCAATGAAGCTGTATTTTCAAAATTACAAGTCCTGTAAAATAAAGCTATGAGAATAATATTGAATTAAAATAAGCACACCTCAATAAAATCTATCTTACAAGAATTGCAGTGGTTGAATATAAAAAATTTCATATCATATCTGGCTCTTATTTTTATATTTAAAATAAAACATCATATTTTGCCACAACATTTAGAGCACTGCATAGAATTGAATAATCATTACCACAATTATTATACAAGAGGAAATATAGATTTTCATTTACAAAATCGCAATAGTAATATAACTAGCAAATCAATATTTCAGAAAGGATTACTTGAATTTAATAAACTAAATAATGATACAAAGTCTACTTGTAATTTAAAGATGTTTTAAAGAAAAATTAAGGAATATTTCATGAGCAGTTAAAATTCTTAGAGATGCAAATTTTGTTTTTTCTCAATATCTGTATGTTATGTAATTGTTTAGTCTTTTAGAAGAATGTTATTGTAGCAATCATGCTAAATAAATCTTAAACAAACAAACAAACATGTATTTATTACCTACTAAAGGTTTGTTAACATACGTAGCCCTTCTTTTCTTTTTCATCGTCAATAAAATGAGTGTTGTGTGATGATGTTGAAGAGAAAGGGAAAAAGCACAAAAATTGTCGAATCGAGTTGGAATTTGCTTTCTTCAAAGGGTGCGACAGATTATTACCTCTAGTGCACAATGAATATACCAGGCTGCTATTTTTCCATCATTGACTGATTCTACTGTAGTTTCAGCTACCCCGGCGACATCGCCACCACACCACACTTTCGGGTGAGATGATTGCATTGTGGTTACGTCCACTTCAGGTAGATTGTTGCTTTTCAATTTTAAAGGTTTCAACGCATCGATCACTGAAATTAAAATATTCGTTAGGATTGTTCAAACTTTTATATCCACCTAACGTATATGTATAGTGCTATTCAAAAAGAGTTGAACCAGGCAAGCTGAAATTGATAGTGATAGTTGAAAATTTCAAGTTGGAGGCTGGGCGCCGTATTGGATCATTTATAATGGCATATGGGGATCATCTGATACCTAATTTAAAAACAGCTTCAGAAGTACTTCATAGGCCTAGAATATAAAACCTAGTGGACTGGCAAGCTGTCAAAGTAGGCGATCGCTTATAACTCGACAACTAATCATTGAAGCGTTAGAGTATGTTATATGAATCTTCCCTTGACGTTATCTATTCGAATATGTAATGTGATACGGATAATTCCACATGAAAAAGTTGTGAAAAAATTATCAATTGTCAAGATTATTTGAAGACTTGTCTATGACGGCGCTCCAGGCCGCTATTTTGATAGTAAATTTACATGTACTGTAGTGCTACAAATTACTAATTAGAAACTTCAAAATAAAGTATTATGTGACCCACACTTTTTAAAAAATATATTCCATATTCTATTTTTCAGCTGTTTTGTGCTATTTGGCAACTCTTAAGCATGGTGTAGGCTTGCTCTCGGTGGACAATGAACGAAAGCTGAGCAGCTCCACTTTACTCAGAGTAGAAGGTCTATCGATTCTGGTAATAGATGTCACCTTATGCTCTTATATTTCGGTAGACCTTATACTCTTAATAGCTCAGGGCCACAGTGATGACCCGGCTGACAGTGCGGACTGACATACAGTTCCAACCGACAGCTTGATGTGTTCAATTTTGACTGGTCGATTCTGGTAATAGATGGCACTTTAAGCTCTGTTACTTCGATTTAGAGTCATGTTCACCTAGTCTTGTATATAAAAGTCCTTGCCTAGCTATTTATATCTTTCCTCAAATACTTACTGTCTTGATCTTCCAAACCAGATCCAAATGCAGAAATGAGGTAGTTGCATTTAAGCGTATTTAGTTGCTCTTCATCTTGCACCCATTTACCATCTTCAGTTTGTTCCGTCCTGCTGAACATCACAGAGACAATTTTCCCATTTTTCACATTCACAGAATGTGGTGATAGGAAACCGATCAGCTCGCATTTTTCGTCCACTGCCGCTGACACCTACACAATTAACTAGTCGATTAAAAAATAAACTAGTTGAAACTAAAACCAAGGGTTTTGGGAAAGAAACCTTGCTATCATGCTCACAAAGAACCAGCAGTCAATTTGAAAATGGAGACTTCGCACACATCCCAATTTGTGACATATTGTTGGATAATCTTGATATTGATATGTATATTGATCAATTAAGGTGAAAAGTGCGTTTTGAGATAAAAGCTGCAGAAGGTACTGATTTTTATAAGTCTTTGGTTTGATATCTGGCGTGTATTAGAGCGGATGTTTGATGTAATTGAGTATAATAATAATTCTGAACTTTTTCAGTTTCAGTGTCTCTTTCAGTTCAATTGTGTTTTAACCTCTAGTATTTCTTACGTGTGTAATGTTTTTGGATCCACAGACATTATTCTAGGGGCTGTATGTTTGGATTAAGCTAAATCTTCATATGAGGATATGTCGTAAAACGTCTCGATCCTAAAATACAGTGCATACTAAATATTCCCAGACGTTGTTATCCATCAGATATATCCATATTCCATAAAAACATTCAACTGATGAAAGATTTTAGCCAGTCCTTCGTTTCTTACTGTTTACATGCATATGGGCTTTTTTCGAAAAATAGGCTCCATAAGCAAACAGTCAAAGAGACATAACAAATTTATTTCATGTGTTGAATAATGAAACGATTATATTCAATTTATAAAATACCAGTATTTCCACCCAAGAAACCAGGGTTACAGTAAGTTTGATCTTCACTTGCGCGCCCTGGATGACCACTAGGGTGGAGCGAAAAATTTGTTTTCGTTATATGGCAATCTAATAGCAAAAATATGGTGCGTTTTAGGATCAAATTGAACCATATAAAATATTTTTTGATTTCGTTTACGGTAACTGCCTCCGCAATGTCATTGAAATTCAATTCAAGTCGAAGGAGAATCAGAGATTTGGCAATACTGTGCCACGACCTCAGTGCGCCTGCGCTTTTGTTTTCGCTCGCAACGATCACGTGCCGGCCATATTTAATTATTGTTAGTCTTTTAAAACATGCCGAGAACTCGGAGTGTGTTTAAATGTCCTGTTTTGGGTGTTATTTGTGAGTTAAAATACAATGTTCTACCTACTTACGACGATGTTATCAAGTTATATGAATGGACAAGACATCAACGAAAATTGAGGTTAGAAACTGCCAAAGAGCCAGTTTTTGCGGAAATAGCAGATATAGTGACATCCACGATTGAAAATATATGGCAAACTGCATCTATTCCTACAGTAACACGAACAAGAATCATACAAATGTTGAAAGCCTATCATTTAAAATACAAAAATCTACTTAAATCTGTGCAAAGGGTATCTGAAGATAAATTAGAGAGATTTCGGCATAGTGGTAGGTTACTTTTTGATATTTCGGCATGCAAATGCAAAGAATTTATTAAGTGCACCTGCCCAAAGGATAAAAAGGTTCCTAAACAAGAACAAGCCTTCCTAATTGATCAAAGAACCTGTCGACATATGATAATCGGTGGAATCGATCCAATCATCACTAAGAAGTTGCAAAGCACTTTAAAACGGAAACATGAACGAGAGAACCGCCAAAATGTATCTTCGAATACGAGTACATCATCGTTGGCTGTTTTAAATGTTAGTACTTCTTCGGAAACGTCATCAATGTCAGATAGAAGCGAATTCGAAGAAGTTACTCAAAAGAAAAGGAAAAAATCCTCACGCATCGATTTTCCGACGCTCTCGAAGACATGTGACAGGTACGGAGTGTCAGATAGGGCTGCAGCCGCGATTGCATCATCTGTCTTGTTCGACATTGATTCTGATATTGGCGTCATTGACAGGCATAAATTACGTAGACAGAGAACCAAAACAAGAAATAAGTTATTGAATGAGGTGAAAATTTCGGAACTTAATGCTTTATACTTTGACGGGAGGAAAGACAAAACGTTAAAGATCGTTAAAAAGAATGGCAAATGCTACAGGACTTTGACTGTCGAGGAACATATCTCACTAATTCAAGAGCCTGGATCAATTTATCTTGGATACGTGGTGCCTAATGTTGGGACAGCAAAAGGAATAGAAATCTCCATAGCAGAGTTTCTAACACGTGAACAAATACTTCTTCATGAACTTATTGCAATCGGTTGCGATGGCACAAATGTTAATACTGGAAAGAATGGAGGTATAATAAGACTGTTCGAGAGAAAACTACAAAAACCACTCCAGTGGATAGTGTGTTTGCTGCACATGAATGAACTGCCTTTGAGACACTTGTTTCTTCATCTTGATGGGTGTACTTCGGGACCTAAGTCTTTCTCTGGACCTTTAGGAAAAGCACTAGAGACCTGTGAACAACTACCTATTAGAAAATTTCAACCTATTGAAGGAGAAATGCTTCCAGAAATGGCCAAAGATTTGAGTACAGATCAACAGTACTTACATAATATTGTCACAGCGGTTCTTACAGGTATTTTTCCAGAGGATCTGTCAAATAAATCTCCCGGCAAACTTTCACATGCCCGTTGGCTCACACGTGCCAATAGAATATTGCGTTTGTATGTAGCAACCGAAACACCATCAGAGAAACTGCTAACTCTGGCAAAATTTGTTGTTAAAGTTTACGCACCATCTTGGTTCCTTATTAAAAACAAACCCTTCTGCAAGGATGGAACGCGACATCTTTTCTTTATAATTTCTGCCTCCAGATACCTGTCAGAAGATCTTAAAAAGATAATCGATCCTGTCATTCAACGGAATAGCTACTTTGCACATCCGGAGAACACGCTTCTTGCAATGTTAACTGATGCCAAGAAACATATTCGAGAACTGGCAGCCAGGCGTGTATTGAAAGCACGTAGCACGCAGCAAACATCAACAATTAGATTATTTGAGTTGCCTTGCATTAATTTTAATGCTTCTACATACGTTGATTTAATAAATTGGCAGGAAAAAATAACGGAACCCCCTATTTTAAAAATCTTTTCTGACCAAGAAATTTGGCGCGTCGTCGAAACTGGGGATGAGAATCAATTGACCTTTTTGAAGCTTCCGTGTCACACACAAGCTGTAGAACGAGCTGTAAAAGTGACGACAGAGGCAGCCACGTCCCAATGTACGGAAAAGGCACGATTGGGTGCAATAAAAGCCAAACTGAAATCTCGGAATATAATGCCTAAATTTGAGACAAAAAGAAATTTTAAAGGAAAGTAATATATAAATATGTATATATTTTCTTACTATTGTTCTTAAAATGTTACCGTATTTTTAATTGTAGTTCTTCAATAAATATCTTAGATTAATTTTGCAAGTGATTCATCACCCATATATCATTAAACTAAGCTCAATAGTTGGTAAAATGTGTACTAATATTTTTTAGTTAAAATTTAGATTTTGTGGGGTCAGTGCGGAGGCAGAAGATGTTGGAAAAATTAATTGAGAAATTACATATATTTTTACTATAATATACTGCACCAATTGCTCCCTATTACAATTCAATATTTGGAAAAAAAAATTAATCCATACATAAACGCTCCACCCTAATGACCACCCGACAATGAAAATTCGAACAAATTCTAAAAATAACGTCACTTTGATCTGGTAACAAATCGAAATAGCAATATTATTAAATCATGTTGAAATAAATATCATTTCTAAATAAACCCTTTGATGACATCGGCATAGATATCCTAAAAATTACTAGTCCTCGCATTTTCAACTCGCCAAACAGACAACAGATCGAAAAAATTTTAGGTATTTTAGGTCTATCTCAAAATGCGTTTAATGAATTATTTATTGATGTCGGTTCGGATACAATATTTTTGCCCATTTCTTCTCAATACAGGTTATATTTATTCACATATTTTCAATATCAAACCATGCCTCAATACTCATCATACCTTTCCTCCCTCATATGTTGATTCTTAAAATATCCACTAAGCTAACTTCCCTCAATTATATGATTTTATTTTAATTTATATAACTGATATAATATATAAAACATGGATTGGGCTCATCTAGACAGCTTTTATTACGCGAATGAGGCTTGTGAGTCTTTTTATAAAAAGTTGTATAATAAGTCAGCACAATACGCCATCTATTACCAGAATCGACCACTGCGAGAGTGTATAGCAGCTATCGGTTAGGTCTGTAAGGATTTCAGCGAGAAGCTTGCGATTCTGGTGGTGGCGATATTCTTACAGGTAGAGTGTATTTATAAGTATCTATAACAGTAACTGTATTTACTTTTACAATTAAGAATAGTTGCAGCGGTTGAAGGAAGAACATTGTTGCTTACAATATTTTCCAGTTTTCAACTTTTTTCCTCCAAAGTGAAATATGATATTAATTAGTAAGTAACCTTTACAATGGCATATATAATGGGTGATTTTTTTGCTAGTATCTTTTTGGCAACACTGTTTTTAACAGATGACGCGTGAATTGTGTCTTGTGTCATTGTCAAACTTGTTCAGTTTGGTCTATAATTTAACCATGAATCGACTTACGAACGAACAACGCTTGCAAATTATTGAATTTTACTATCAAAATTCATGCTCGGTTAAGAGAGTGCATCGAGCACTGCTTCCAATTTATGGGCAATTTGGTCGGCCTACTGAGGGAGCTATTCGAAAGCTTGTGACTAAATTTCGAACCCAGTTTACATTATTGGACATTAAACCACCAACACGCAGACTTAGAGTGAGGACTGAAGAAAATATTGCGCCTGTATCCGCCAGAGTTAGTGATGACCGTGAAATGTCGATTCGCCGCTGTTCGCAGCAATTGGGCCTCTGTTACTCCACTACGTGGAAAATTTTGCGACAGGATTTGGGTGTAAAACCTTATAAGATACAGCTGGTGCAAGAATTGAAGCCATACGACCTCACACAACGTTTCCAATTTGGTGAATGGGCTCTGGCAAAGTTGGAGGAAGATCCACATTTTTATCGAAAAATTGTGTTCAGCGACGAAGCTCATTTCTGGTTGAATGGGTACGTTAACAAGCAAAATTGCCGCATCTGGAGTGAAGACCAGCCAGAAGCATTGCAAGAGCTACCAATGCATCCCGAAAAAATCACTGTTTGGTGTGGATTATGGGCCGGTGGCATCATCGGGCCGTACTTCTTCAAAGACGACAATGGCCGGAACGTAACTGTGAATGGCGAGCGCTACCGTGCGATGATAACAAACTTTGTTTTGCCCAAAATGGAAGAGCTGGACTTGGCTGACATGTGGTTTCAACAAGACGGTGCCACATGCCACACCGCACACCTAACAATGGCAATATTGAGAGGCGAGTTCGGTGAACAGTTTATCTCACGTTTGGGGCCCGTCAATTGGCCGCCTAGATCGTGTGATTTAACGCCGTTGGACTATTTCTTGTAGGGCCATGTTAAGGCTAATGTCTACAGGGTAAACCAGCAACGATTGACGCACTGGAAGCCAATATTGAAGCATTTATTCGTGAGATACCGGCCGATATGTTGGAGGGAGTGTGCCAAAATTGGACCTTGCGCATGGTCCATCTAAAGCGGACTGGTGGCCAACATTTACATGAAATAATCTTTAAACATTAAATTATATCGACCGTTCTATCGACTCAAATAAAGATTTAATCGTTTTTTCAAATTTTTTGTGTTTTTTTTGAAAATCAAATCCTATACCTCTTAAAAAATCACCCGTTATGAGCCCCTTCCCACTTCAGTTGGCCCAACTGTTGAAATCTTAGTTTTTTTCTTATCAAACACAAATAATAAAGATGTAGCAGGGTTTTGTAGGTTTAAAATATTAACAATGATTTCGATAATATATAGTAGAAAACACCAACCTTATCACTCCGTAAGCAAATTTGCAGCATAAAAACAACACATGTTGCAATTACAGCATATCAACCTATTTTCATTTCAATGCAAAATAAGTCTCTAACGCATAGGTGGCTGTGAAAAATAAAAGCCATGACAATTGTTTTTACTAATCACAGCTGTGAGAATACGTTTAAAATAGTTTTGGGTAGTTAAGGTTTTCAAAATGGGTAGAGGAAAGGTTATTAGTGAGAAAATTCGGTTACTGATAATTAAATTTCTTAATTCTGGGAAATCAAACTCAGAAATTGCAACTTTGTTAGACTTATCGCGGTATACTGTGAGAAATATTGTTAGAAAACATGACGTAACTGGTTCAGTTAATATTAAGCCACGATATGTGAAAAAAAGTAATATCACAAATGCCGACCGAGGAGCATTAAGAAGAATAATCGTGAAAAACAGGCGTGTCAATTATTTACAATTAAGTGCTCTGTAGAGTGACGCTGTTGGAAGGAGAATTTCGAGGTCCACAACTCATAGAGAGGCCCATAAACTGGGATCTAGCACTTGCAAGGTAAGTTTTCTTATAAAAAAAAGTTAAAAGCCTAAAGTTGCACAACTTGTTTATAGGCCAAAGAAAAGCCACTATTAACTCCACTGCAAAAGAAAAATCGGCTTAGATAGGCTAAAGAACATAGACAATGGACACCTCAACAATGGTGTGCAATACAATGGAGTTATTCGCAAAAAAATGAAGCATTCCATGTTGACTGTCTGAAGAGAAAAGTGAAATTTCCAGCGTCCATTATGGTCTGGTGCAGTATGTCATCAAAAGGAGTAGGAAAACTTCATTTTATTGATGGAAATGTGGATACAAACAAATATTTGGCAATTTTAGAAGAATCGCGTTTACCAGTGATGGAAGAATGTTTGACATCCGTCCAAGATTTTGTGTTTCAGCAAGATGGTGCAGCGTGTCATACCTCAAAAAAGGCTATAAAATGGATGGAAGAAAATAATGTACCACTTTTGAAATGGGTTTCTAGCAGTCCAGATCTGTCACCTATTGAAACTTTGTGGCACGAGATGAAAAAGGTTCTACGACAACATCCTGCTCTTACAGTGACCGAACTGAGACAAAAGCTTCAAGAAATATGGGATTGTATTACACCAAATTTTTGCCAAAACTTGGTTAACACTAGAATTTTAGCCGTAATAAAAAATAATGGTGATGTAATGGTAATCTTTCAATTGTTGCTTTGTTAACTTCGAGCATTTATTCGCACATTGTTTATTTGTTCAGATGTTCTATTAGTTATGGGTCTAAGTGATTTCAAACATGTATTTTTTAAGACTAGGGTGTATCTAAAATGTTTTTGAGAAAATAAATTGTTTTAGAAGTAAATAGTTTCGTCATGTTTAGTTTATAAATGCATATTTTGGTACAAATCTTGAAGTGGGCCAACTGAAGTGGGAAGGTGCTCGTACTGTACTCCACATTACTTTATTGAACGTTAAAAGGTTTGGCTGAAATTACTAAAAAATTGAAATGAGTCTCCTGAAAAGTTTGTCGTTTACAATGTTACTAGATGCATGTATCGAGTAGAATATAGCTTTCATTCATCCGACCATAGACGGCCTGTTTCCTTCTATTTGGCAACTCTTCGGTATGATGTAGTTTTAGTCGGATAACAAAGAGAGAAAGCTGAGCAACTTTATTCTGTTACTAGTTTGTTCAGTGACTGGTAGACCGTATCTACTATAGTGACGGCGGCATCTGGCGGTCACAGTTGTGACCCAGCTGATAATGCGAACCGGCATACAGTTATAACGGTCAGCTTGCTATTTTCACTTTCGCCGTGGTCGATTCTGGTGACGGATTTCACCTTGGGCTGTTTTGTTTTGAAAGAACCGTTATTTTGTCTCAGATAGGCTAAATTGGAGAAGAAGCGACGACAAATCTAGCTAGCATCTAAACATACCTCTTCAGGCACAGCTCTAATATTACTGAACCCTCTCCTGAAAACCACAAACACCTTCCTAGCCCCGCACCTCAAAGCGGAGGTCGCGCAGTCGAACGCCGTGTCACCAGCCCCCAACACGATGACATTTCCATGCAGCTTTGGCAGTTGGTCTGCCTTGGCCTTGCATGGGCATCTGCCATTGTCCATGTCTTTGCTAGCCCCTGCGACCTTGGGTAGGAAGCTTTTGGATGTGTAGAAGCCCATCTGCTCGGTCAGACCTTGGAAGACGGGAGCGACTTTCGGTTGAGGTAGTCCTGTAGGGATAGCTTAATGATCAGGAAGTTTCAACAACGTCAAGCGAAAGTTGCGGCCTCCTATTTTATTTTGAAACTAATTGTATCCCGGCCCTCCGTGAATAATCTAATTTGTTTTATTTGTATTTTTACGAAAACAGTGCTCTCTAAGAAAAAACACAAGAGTAATTATTTGTAGCAAATTGAAGGTTAAGTCCGAAACATTGCGCGTTTCGAAAAAAAACAGTAGCGTACTATTTTTATTTGGAAAAATAATGCCACTAATGCCCTGTATCTCCGCCACTGGTGCGCGTTAATTCCAAATAAACACGTTTGAATGTGGACTATACTTAGATAAATCCAGATACCAAATTCCAGTTCACGGTTTAAGAAAAATTGTTTTTTATTTTTAAACTTCAACATCTTTTTAATGACGCCCTCGAGGAAAAAATGTTACCCCTTAAGATGCGGTCCTGTGTATGATGTTTTATTTCTGATCACGACTTGTGAACCACCCTTATAAGGTCTGTTCAAAGAATAACCAAACTTTATATACAGGGTTTGTCCGGAAAGTAATAGGACTGAGTCGATTTAAAAAAATTTATTGAGCCAATCGTTACAATTCTTTAAAAACTTTCAAAATAGGCTCCTTTTTCGTCGATGCAGCGCTGCCAGCGCGATTTCCAAGCATTGAAGCCGTCAGGGAAGGCATTCTGCGGAATAGCCTTGAGAGCCGCGGTGCATGCTGCTTGGATCCCCTCTGTCGTCTCAAAATGCTTGCCTTTTCAGGCGAGGAAACAAAAAGTCCGGGGGCCACATCTAGGCTGTAGGGCGGCTGCGGAAGCGTTGGGATGCCTGCTATGGTCAGATAGCTGTTCACAAGAAAGGCGGTCGGACCCGACTGATCCTTTGTCTGAGTCTCCTGAGCACTTCCACGTAAAACTTGGCATTAACGGTTTGTCCAGGAGGAACAAATTCATGGTGGACGATGCCTTTGATGTCAAAAAAGACAATGAGCATCGTTTTCACATTGGATTTGCTCATTCTTCCCTTTTTTGGGCGAGGAGAGACGCCGTCGTGTGCCACTCGGAAGATTGCCTCTTTGTCTCGGGATCATACTCAAAGATCCAAGACTCGTCACCTGTGATTACGTGATTCAAAAATTGGGGGTCACTTTCACACATGTTCAAATCTTCTTGGCACACTTCCACTCGCCGCAATTTCTGGTCGTCAGTGAGCACTTTTGGGACCATCTTCGCGCACACCTTGCGCATGTTCAAATGCTGTGTCACAATGTCATGAACCACAGATTTTGGTAAATTTAACATCTGGGTAATTAAACGAATACTTAGTCGACGATCTAAGTTCAAAACTTTGCGTACACGAGTCACATTATCGGTGTTTGTCGAAGTGAAAGGTCTTCCAGCATGGTCTTCATCAGCGACCTCTTCCGGGCCCTCCAAAAAGCCTGGTGCCACCGAAACACACCACTTCTTGCTAAAGCAACACCTGGGTAAGCCTGCTTGATTATATCAAACGTCTCTCTCGCAGATTTACCGAGTTTCACACAGAATTTAATAGCGTACCTCTGCTCTAACGAACGCTGCATTTTCCGCTTGCACAACTCACAGAAACACGTCGCGCGAAAATGCCTGTCCTGACTCTCCAAATGCTTGACAAACCGCTCATTCGTTAGCTAGGAACGCCCTCTACCGGATCCAGTCGGTGCGCGCACTTACAGTCATGGCGGAGAAAATGAATCCTATTACTTTCCAGACAAACCCTTTAGGTTAGTTTCAATTCCTTAATGTACATCTGACAAATTTGTTTTAATATCATCCTTGGTGTCAAAACGGCTGACTTCAGTGTAGGAAATAAGAACAAAATTGCAAGACGCTAGATTTGATGAGTAGGACGGTTGAGGGAGGATAGTTATTCGATTTTTGGCACAAAACTTACGAATTAACAAGGCTGCGTGAGCTGGCGTGTTGTGATGAAGCATCCACGAGTTGTATCGCCACAACTTCGGTCTCTTAATGTGATTCTTTCAAGCAATCGTTTCAAACCACCTCCCTAGTTGACTTTTCGAGCTCGAGGCGAAAAATCAAAATGCACTCCAATTAAATTGGAGAATAACAGTAAACATTACCATGACGTTGGATCGAGACAGTCGTGCTTTTTCCTTTTCCAGCCCACTGTGATGATTCAACTTTTGTCTTGGTGTCGTATCGGTAAACTAAGCTATCGTCCAGTCGCTTCATAAACGTGTCAAGATTGTCAGCTTGTTGACGGAGTTTCCGACAAACTTCCACTCGAATTCCTTTTTTACAGGCTGTCATCAAATGAGGACCAAATTTTGCTGGAACTAGACGTACGTTCAATTTTTCGGTCAGAATGTTACGTTACCACTTCTGCAAGTTTTTTGGCAGGCCGTCAATGATTTGCACGAATCAGTTCATAGATTTTATGTTTTCTGAACACGAGGTTCATCAGTTGAGATGGAAAATCTTTTTGGTCAAGGATCATCTGCATCTGACGGGCGACTACTTTTAACACTGTGTACGACTTAGAGCATCACCTCTGTAATGCTCTTTAAGTATTTCAAATGTTTTGATAAAGTGTTTCTTTTCGGTTTTACGCATATTTCACGGATATTTTGAAAATCGCCACGTACGTTGAAACACCTTGCACTCAAAAAACAATGTCGCGGGAAGGAAGGGAGATATCAATACAGTGGACCTCCGGTAATCCGACGAACATTATGCAGGGCAGTGTCGGACTATCGAATTTGTCGGATTATAGAGCACTGCCTAAGACCCCCTATAGTCCGGAATGTTTTACAAAGGAGCTCCTTGTAATCCGACAAATTACATATCCAATGGAAAGATTATATATGTTATCTAAATGTATGTACTTTGAAGTACAAATCATATATAGTTTATGTATGTCGAATTTAGTAAATTAAATAACAATAGAGAGCTTACGTTTTATCATAAAATTAAGCATAAATGCACATGCATATGTACTAAAATAATCAAAAATTATTAATCAAAATCATTAATGAATTTATCAAATTATGGAGCTTGGAAATATTCATCAATTTTTGTTTTGTTTAAGGTTGTCTGCTCAAAAGTAAAAGTTTGTTGTAGGATGTACCATTCTCTTCAGCCCATTGTAAACCTGGCTCAAAGGCGTTAATTGCGTCTTGTGACTTGTGGAGCAGTTGCAAACACGTCGTCGTTATTTTCCTGATTGTTTGTTGTATAATTAGAAACCTCTTTTATAATCTCTTCGTCAGACATTTCATGAAAAACATTTTCCTCTTTATCCATTCCACGGCACCAGATTTCCAAATCTTCCGGACTTATCTGTGTTTCAATAGCGACTTATTCTATAACTTCCGAAGTAACACTGATTTGTGGAACGTTGCTAGGAGTGGTGACTATATCGGGCCATAACTTTTTCCAAGACGATTTAATAGTTGATGACGGTAACGCATTCCACGACTGACAAAGAGCAAAAACCAAGTCTTTCATATTAAATTCTTTTAAAGTTTTTTCTATTGGTTGGTCTTTTGATACGGCTCTCAGAAGTAGGTTTTTCTTATAGTCTTGCTTGACAAACTGAATGATATTCTGGCCCATTGGTTGAATCAGTGCAGTGCAATTTGGCGGAAGAAACATCGCAGTGATGCATTTATCCTCAGTTGTTAGTTCTTCTTCAGACGGATGACCGGGAGCGTTATCAAGAAGCTACAATGCTTTTTGAGAAAAATTATGATCTTTTAACCATTTTCTTCAGGTACGAAGCATTCATCAAACCACTTTTTGAAAAGGTCTTTTGTCATCCAAGCACTTTTTTGTCCGTAATAGTATACAGGTAAATCAATGTTTTTGAATGCCTGTGGTTTATTAGATTTCCCAATGACCATCATCTTAAGCGCGTGTGTGCCCGCAGCGTTAGCACATGGTAGTATGGCTACACGCTCTTTACTTACTTTTCGGCCATGTACGGATTTTTCGTTACAAGAAACGAAAGTTTTGTTAGGCATCACACGCCAAACAAACCCTGATTCGTCTGCATTGTACACCTGTGACGGGTCAAGATTTAAATCGTTCACCTTTTGCAGAAATCTTAATTTTAAAGGGCTCTATGCAGGTGGCATCGTTAGAAAGTTTCTCTCCTGTAATAGTCATTAAACGTATGCCATGACGAATTTTAAAATGTTCTAGCCATCCTTTGCTGGCCACAAAATCATCTTTTTTTGTTATTTCTTTATAAAAAAATTTAGCTTTCATGGCCAACATGGTCCTGAAATTGGTGCATGCCTATTTCTTTCCTGAAGAAACCACATGTACAAAGCTTCTTCCACTTCTGGATGTTCAGCTTTCTTGAGTGTCTGTCTCTTGCCTGGCCCGCAGTCAGTAGTTGACACGAACTTCTTGATCTTCTCGTGGTTTCTTTTAATGTCATAAATTGTAGATCGGCCTACGCCGTATTCACTTGCTAAACTACTGAGAGTTTCATTGCGATTTAAGCGGTCTAAAATATCACATTTTTCTTTAATTGTCAATGTCTTGTGCTTTCGCTTCTGAGTTTGTGATGACATTACTAGGTACTATACTTAATACAGAATGAATAAATAGTAAACAATGAACGTACGCTAGGCAGTACCGCTATCACCAGTAGTCAAATTCAAACTAAGTAAAACAATGTTACGCGTCGAGCACGATAGCGGTGGCGCGTACAAGTTGTAACCTGTTCAAACCTGCGTGATCTACATAAGCGAAGATTGTCAAATACGTATGTATGTAATACATATTCAAAGACATGTCGGATTGCCGGATTTGACAGCGGCCGGATTATCGGGGGTCCACTGTAGTTGATAAAAAAATGTTCACTAGGGAAATTATGACGAACACAACTACACACCGCTACGAAACCCATTACCGCGTAATTTGAAGAACTCCGACACTGTTCCTCTTACATATCAACGACCTTCTTGCATCCAATCGACAGCGTTGCTGATGACAACACTCTACATGCAGGAATTCAGAGCGACAAGCCGGTGAGCTGGAAAAAAGGAAACCAGCAGCGACTTCCTGATGAGAGACCAGGAGATTATCACTGCTTGGGGACGTAACAATCTTGTACAGCTTAATCGTTCCAAAACACAGTAACGTACAGTACTGACCCTGATGAACAAAAAGCGTCCTAGCGACCATCGTGTTGCGATGGATGGCCTAGTTCTGCCAAAGAGCCTTTCATGTCGACTCGTCGAAGTTCAGATCACCGAGAACTTGATCTGGCACGAACACATCTCGTCAATAGCGGTACCTGCTGTGAAAATGCTAGCCTATTTGTTTAGGGCTAAGAAGAACCTCGTACATCCAGAACTGGCCGATACGACTGCCTTTTTGTCGCGTGGGTGTCGAGATTGTGGAACAAACTACAAGATGAAGCTTTTCCCAGTTCTACTAACCTTAGGCAGTCAAAAAATCAGATTGACAAAGTTTCATTGCGATCCTCAAAGCAGCCGCGGTGTGCTGGCATTTCGGCTTCTGCCTGCGCGGCTGCTTCGATATACAAAAATCTCAAACATTTCTTGGGTAAGTCTGATGCGTATTTGACGAAGCTAATGTCAGTTTTCCACCGAGATCAACGGGATGCTTTTTTTAATTCACCTAAACAGGATTTTGGAAATTTTAGAATCTCTTTTTTTTTCTTTTTTTTTATATCGAAACAGCCGCGCAGGCAGAAGCCTAAATGCCGGAACACCGCGGCTGCTATGATGATCCCAAAGAAATTTTGTTAATACGATTTTTGAACTGCCTAAGGTTAGTAGAACTGGGAAAAGCTTCCTCCCGTAGATTGTTCCACAATCTAGACACCCTCGGGACAAAGGAGCGGTCGTATCGGCCAGTTCTGGATGTACGAAGTTTGACACGGTTAGGATGGGATGCCGAAGTCAGGCGGGTCTGTCTGGCAGGCGCATCGCGCGGCGGCATCATGGAAGAGAGCTCTGAGGAGCAAAGCCCGTTGGTGTAGCGATAGAAAAGAGCTAGATCGCCGACGGCCTGTCGGTGCGAAAGAGTCCCGAGACTGTCTGTTAGAGAAGAGTCATCGATCAGTCGGACCGCCCTCCTCTGGACAGCATCGAGCATGGACAATGTAGTCGGGGCGGCAGCACCCCAAATGTGTGAGCAATACTCGAGGCTAGGCCTTATCTGGGCCTTATATAGAGTGAGAAGGTCATGCGGAGAAAAGTACTTCTTAGCCCTAAACAAATAGCCTAGCTTTTTCCCAGCAGCTGCAGCTATTGAAGAGATGTGTTCGTGCCAGATCAGGTCCTCGGTGATCTGGACTCCGACCAGCCGAAATGAATGGCTCTTTGGTAGAACTCGACCGTCCATCGAAACTGTATGAGCGCTAGGACGCTTTTTGTTCGTCAAGGTACAGTACTGTGTTTTGGAAGCATTGAACTGTACAAGATTGTTGCGTCCCCAAGCAGTGATAGCCTCCAGGTCTCTTGTCAGAGAAGAAGTCGTCGCTAGTCTTCTTTTTTCCAGCTCAGCGGCAGAGATCGGCTTGTCACTCTGAATTCCTGCATGTAGAGTGCTGTCATCAGCGAAGCTGTGGATTGGGTTGATCGTGCAGGAAAGGAGGTCGTTGATATGTAAGAGAAACAGTGTTGGAGCCAAGACCGATCCCTGGGGAACACCCGCGTTGACGTTGTGGGATGAAGAGGAGAATCCGTCAATTACGACGGATATCTTGCGGCCAGAGATAAAGTCAGCCACCCATCTGCAAAGCTTTTCTGGAAGGCCGTAGGATGGAAGTTTGCTTAAGAGGGCAGCGTGCCACAGCTGATCGAACGCTTTCGTGATGTCAAGAGCAACGACATGAGCCTCACCATGAGACTGGATGAGTTTACTCCACAGTTGCGTGACGTAAGCTAGGAGGTCCCCTGTGGATCGTACTGCCTGTCGCTAATCAAGCTGTGACGTTCGAGGTACTCCAGAAGCTCGCGATTTATGCACCTCTCCATCACTTTACTTATAACAGAAAGCAGAGCTATAGGCCTGTAGTTGTAAGGGTCGGTTTTAGATCCTTTTTTTGGGATGGGCTGTACATGAGCAAATTTCCAATTTTCTGGGAAGGTGCCGGATTCATAAGATATCTGGAAGAGACGCGAAAGAACTGGAGCAAGCTCCGCTGCACATCTCTTCAGTACAATGGCAGGAATCAAGTCCGGACCAGAAGCTTTGTTGATGTCGAGCGACAAGAGCACTCGTCTTACGGTCTTATGCCTGAATGTTACTTCCCGCATAGTGTGGGGAACCCTTTGAATCGACGGCACTTGGGCGTTGGTGGGGACGTCCATGGTGGAGTTGGCAGCAAAGATCTTGGCTAGCACTTCCGCCTTGGCCTTTGAGTCGAATACAATAGTTCCATCCTGACACGTAAGTGGTGGAAGGCTTGATGGTCATATTTGAAATCAGGCGACACGGGGAGCGAAAATAAAAATTTGACCTATTGAAACTTTAAAATTTAAAGCATATTGAGGTAATTTTTCGAAAATTTTCAGCTCAAACCTGTTTCTATGATAAATTATCATAAATCTAAGTTTTTTGCTGAAATCGACGTCCTATCTTTTTGAATCAAGTAAGATTTCACTGCACTTCGAAGCCACCATATTTGATTCGAAATCCCAAATTACCCCAGTGTACCGAGCTTCGTTCACCTATAGGTAGGTACTGGAGACTTAATTATAAATTTTACGTTTTGCAAGGTGGAGCGAAAATATATCTACATTACCAATTAGCATTCGTTATGTCGTTCATAAAAAGCACACCAGCTTTGGACTCATCTGCAGTATCAAATCACAAGTTTTGTATTTCTAGGTAAATTTATCACGCAATTTAACAGAGTTTTACAAACCTATTCCGAGAAAAACAGCATTTGACTGATTCAGTAGTGCTTCGATGGTGAGGTCCTTTGTTGAAAGTTTTCTACCGGTTTCTATTTTAACTCCTAGGTCCTTGACTAGTTGTATCTCGAAGTTTATCACAGTCATTGGAAGACGATATTGTGGGATTTCTGTAGTGCTGCCAAAAAATTACAAATTTAGCGTACTGTATTTTTTATAAATTATTAAGTATTGCATCGACGAGAAAAACGTTCATATAATTAATTTATAAGCTTCTTAAGACAAGCTTTTATTTAACTATTCATAAAAAGAACTAAAAACCTAAACATATTTCATTCCGATTGGAAGTTTTGATTTTTTTAACTTTTAAACGTACCTATATTTCAGCAAACCATCCAGTTCTGAAAAATTAAAATTTAATATGGTAACAATAGATGATTATTTACTTTACATAACAGTCGACTAACTTAATCATCAGACCCTTGGAACTTAGTACTTGTCATGAAGAATCAAACGAGTCTCAGCTCGATGGATTTGAATCGTTTTATCTTCCATGGCGGAGTTTAATTTATCCTGTATAGTCATAACAACCAAAGGTATACAAAATTTCAGCTCAACTGATTTAAAATTTAGTTTCAAGATTTCGCTCCCTCTAATCTAAAAACTAACAGGCCGAGTTAAATAAAAGCTTGTAGAAAACCCTTAATCAGTTATAAAGTCCAGACAAATAATATCTGGTTATACAAATAATAGAACAAACGGTTATCCTGTTGACAATGGTGTTCATGTCTTGACACCAAATCTGCAAAATGACTATGAGTAGTTCTCAGCCACCAAAAATTCTCACTGCATTTCAAACTACTCATCTTACCTTAAACCGCCTATAACGTCTTCTTTTTCGTATATCGTTATATTGTCGTATCCTAGTCGCCCTAAAAATGTAGCACAAGAAAGGGATGCTGGACCTGCCCCTAGTAAAACTATTTTCGCATTAGGATTACTTGGTTTTGGCGTGTTTGGATCTCTTGTCTGTTTGACCCCCATCCTACTGAAGACCTAAAAATACGATCACATCATAAATTTGAGAAATTCCTCCATGGATATTTTTATGAGAAGCATCAGCTGTCAATCATCTACTTTATAAACCTACTTTATAAAAGATTCCGAGATACTGATATATGTATGAAACAATTTCATAGCTGTCCCAAAATATTGGTAGCATTTCGTATCATTTTTTGTTCGAATTAGATTTACCTCTGTAGCAAATTGTTGCAGTCCCCCAATGTTGATCGGTCCTTCTTCTGAAGCTTGTAAGTTACAGCCACCCACGCACAAATCGCTAGTAGGGCAGACCATTCCGCAAGTTATGCCCAAAGGATTATCGGAAAATATAGCTTTTGCTGCTCCATAGTAATTCTAGAAACAAATGAGAAAATATGATGCGATTTATGTATTGCTAATGTAACTCATCCCAAGCTAGCTGTATTTCGTTCCGAAAAGCTTTTAGCGGCAGTGGCGTAGCGAGAAGGGCGGCGAGGGCGGTCCGCACCGGGTGCCACCTTTTTTGGGGTGACACCCATCCGGTGACTCAACTTTTTCAGAGTTGAACTCCAGACAAGATCTTCAAGACCTAGCTTCATTGTTTGAGATCGTACAAGCAAGTACTTCGCTTTTGGCGAATACTGAAGAATTAAAAGTAAGCTACATCCAAATTTACTGATTTCTATGATGAGGTCTCAGAAACAGAATTACTTTTGGAGATACCAAGACTGCGAAGACGCTTAAAAGCTGCTAATGTTACAGTTTCTGATTGGGTATCTCTAGATTTTTTTAAGTATATTATAGAGTGGGATTTTACATAATCTCTTCCAAATATTATGATTGCACTAAAATTGTTCATGACATTTTGCGTGTCCGTAGCTTCATGTGAAAGAAGTTTCAGCAAACTAAAATTAATAAAAAACTATTTGCGAGCAACAATGATTCAATCGCGGCTTAGCAATCTGGGTATATTACCATCAAGTGCAAGGCAAATACAAAATATAAATTTTGATGAAGTGGTTTCTGAGTTTGCAGCTAGAAAGAAGAGATTTTAATTGTAAGGTAAGAATATTGTTCTGTCTTAGTTTTTATTGTTTAGTTATTTGTTCAATATTTTAAATATAAATATTAAATGATCCATGACGTTTATAAATCATATAAAATGTATTGCTTTTGGCTTTCGATGGGGTGACACCACCAACTTCCGCACTGGGCGCCACCCAAGGTAGCTACGCCACTGCGTAAAGGTATCACTTTTTTCTACCTTGTGTCACTAGGGATGCATCAAGTCAAGTAGTTTGATATTTTTAGAACCTACTTGAATTGAAAATAAAATTACTTGTAACGTTAATGCTTTCCTTGATTGGTTTATTGTTCTTCTACTTGAATTGAGGTCAAGCATTTTCAAATTACTTATACTTGATAGCAAATTATATGTTTGTTCAACTGAGGCCTCAAAAAAAATTAAATGCAACACCGCAAATATTTTTCACTATCGGATCCTCATTTTCATGATCTTTTTCTGATAAAAGGTTGTTACCAGTGTATTCAAAACAAGTAAAGGTTGAAAATATTTCTATAAAATCAGGCATTTATCAATGAACCAAGTAGCTCAATGTTTTTGTGTTGTAATTCATTATTTTAGGTTGTTATACAGGGTGCGGCAGCGAGGATGGACGGTTTTAAAAAAATTATTAAATAGTTAATTTTTACTAGAAAACAAATTTATTGATGGAATCAGGTTCACAAGGAAATAGCATTTGATACAGTCAAGTGTGGAAAATCACATCAGGCATGTGGTGGCCGAAATCGTTGATGCAATGCTGGAGGCGTTCTTGGAAGTTCGCGAAGACTCTCTCCAACATCTCTCTCTCAACTTGGGCGACTTCCACGCGAATTTCTCCCTTCAATTCATCCAGAGTTCGGGGCTTGTTCGCGTATACTCTAGCCTTGAGGTAGCCCCATAAGAAAAAATCGCATATGGATAAATCTGGGAACCGAGGAGGCCAATGAACATCGCCAAACCTGGAAATAAGGCGACCAGGGAAGAGAGGGCGAATAACGTCCATGGATGCTCGGGCTGTGTGGGCGGTCGCCCCATCCTGCTGGAACCACACACGTCGGATTGGAACACGTCGCCGTCGTAATTCAAGGAGAAAGAAGTTGGTGATCATGTCGACGTAGCGCTCTGAGTTCAGGGTAACATCACGTCTTCGAAGCAGTAAGGGCCAATGATGCAAGTCTGCGATACAGCGCACCAAACCGTTACTTTTGGGCTATGCAGCGGTCATTCGTGTAACTGTTGCGGATTTTCATTAGCCCAATAACGATAATTCTGCTGGTTAGCCATGCTGTTTAGGTGATAGTGGGCTTCGTCACTCGTAAACAAAATGAGGTTCTCATTTTGATCGATCAGTGCTTCCATCTCACGTGCGAAGTTCATTCGTTGTGCATAATCTCCGGGCTGTAACTGTTGCACAATGGCCAATTTGTAGGGGTGAAAGCGGACATGCATATGCAAAATTTGCCTTACCGAGCGATCACTAAGGCGAAGTGCAGCAGCATGTTTCCGGGCAGATCAAGTCGGACTGCGAAGAAAGACCTGTCGAACGCGTTCAACATTTTCAGGAGTTCGAACTGTTCGCGGCGCTCCCCTTGGTCTTCTGTTGAAACGAAACGCGGTGCTCCACCGTCCAAGGCTCCATAACGACAACTGGTAAAATAATGCTAGGATCTCACGTGTCAAACAAACGGCACCCTCCCCACCTCTCGGTAGACGGAGGCGGAGAGTACTACCCATCCCAAAAACGTCCGTCCCCTCTGCCGCACCCTGTATTATAATAAAAAGATAATTCTTGAGATGTCTGAATATTACGCCTATAAGTGAACATAACTGAAATTTGAACAACATGTACTACTATAGAAATTTTTATTTTATTTTTATTATATAAAATACCCATTACCTCAACAACTAATAACCAAAATATATACGTATGTTATACCAATATTGTTCTTTTGAAAGGGCCTATCCAAATGTCTAATAAAAATTAGGGCATTCCATTTCAGGAAAATCAGCCTTGATATGAGAGCCAACATTGGAACATCCTGTAAAAGTGTCAATATTTTAGAACATGCCTCCAGATGCCATAAATAATAATCCATAAATTGTTTTCTTTGAAAACTTTTTGTTTTGGAGCAGTACACTGAAACCCGCTTTCATATTTCTGCACTGAAAATCAAACCATAACGTTCAAGTCTTCGAGTCTATTTATCAGAGCTTTCGAGTATTCTAAGTCTGCAAAGTTTGATAGTAAAAGCAGAGACTCCTATTAACAAGCATTCAACTCATGATAGTATGTTTTTCTCTTGGCTATACATATTCAATATATTGATTGATAAATTAATAAATATCGTTGTTTAATAAAATTTGAATGTCAAGGTCATTGTAGATTGTGTGCAAACTGATATATTATCACAACAGCTGATGTAAAGAAGTCTCGTTTAAGTTGCAAGCGCTTAGTGCATATTTTAGCACGCAAGTCATGATCAACGTCGCATGTTCAATTTTATAATACTTGATTATACTAATACATCAGATTAGATATAAAAGTGTGCATTGAAAGGTGGATCTAAAAACAAACATGAATGGTGCATAATAGTGATGTAACAAATATTCGTATTCGGATTCGTAGATATTTGCATATATCTTGCGAATATAAGTATCAGAAGAAAATACAATTATTAGATAATAGTAGGTTAATAAAAATAAAATCCACTCATTTCTTATGTTTTTCAATACAAGAAAAAGTAACTTCACCTCGTAAGTCTTCACTTAATCATTTGGTATTATTTATTTATTTACTTTAATTTGGACAATGAAGCCTAACAAATAAATGTTCATAGATCAGACAAACAAATATAATGATATGTAAACAAATAAAAACATATTCTTCTGTTAAAGTTTTATCAGTTGTCACTTAAGTTACATAATCAGCTTCTTATTGAACAAAATATCTTCTACAATAAACTATAAATATAATCATTTTTTTATAAGAGTCATAAGTAAACACTTTAAACATACAAAAATAAAATCATTTATTTTACTTTAATAAAGCTTAAAAATTAAATTCTCATTAGAACTTGTACCACAAAAATTAAATGCAATTGAAACAAACAAAAACCAATTCTTCTATGAGACCTTCACCAGTCTTTCACTTACTGCTTAGATAATCATCATCTTGAATAAAACTAAAAATATAATGCATAATCAAACCAAAACCATATTCTTATACAATAAAGTTTAAATATAGACTAAACAAACAAAACAAAAAAAATTATAGACTCTCAAACAAAAATACTTATCTTTTAAAAAATAACAATCAAGTTAATAATTAAACTCCAGTAAAGGAATAATAAACTTAAAAAATAAAAGCTTGGACGCCTTGTCTCCATCAAGTCAATACCGTATCTTTCCTTGTTCACTTTCCAAGAAATTTTCACTGTCGCTCGCATCTATTAGTCAATTCATTGATTCTTTCAGATATACTCGTTTATCTTTTGGGTGTCTTCAGCTTCAGTTTCAAATATAAACGGAACGCATTTGGTCGAACGAGACTGCCGTAGGCAATTGGCGCCAGAACACAAACTGAATATTCGCATTCGCATTCGCGAATGTTCAAAAAATGACATTCTTTACATCACTAGTGCATAATATAGACATTAGTATGGATTAACATTTACAAACGATATAGTTCTATAAGCTCGTGGCAGATACTGTGTTGCAGAGATGATTTATAACCGTAGGTGACTCAACCCAATTAAACCATATAAATATTATGTTATCTATTCTGACCATTCCTATATTCAGTTCCCATCGAAAGAGAAGTGACCTTAACATTTGATCTTTGCAGATGTTTTGTACACATATCATCATACTTAATTGAATGTATTTGTTATCACACCATAAGCTATTATAGTTGAATACAAATCAAATAATTTTAAAAACAATTGTAATTATGTGTATCTGGAAGTTCGTGGTTGTAGCTTTATTCAAACATTTTTCAAAGCATTCGATATGGCTGGTCCATATTACCGAGGACTTGACCTGCCACGAACACATCTCTTCAATAGCGCTGCTGGGAAAAAGGGTATCTTTAGGCTGTTGGCGAGGCTGAAGCTAACGATTTGCCGAAAATGAACTGTAACACGAACTTGGATGTTAACGAATTTAATATAAAGATAAATACATTAACTGTAAACGGTGCAAATATGTAGTGTACGCTGTCTATGTTGAACTTGCACCGATCTGCTGCGTGATATAGACAACACACATCACAACACGTATAACTCGGAATTGACTTAAGAGGCAATGATTCGAATCCGCGAGTCTCGGGTCAAACGACTACTCTGCTCAGTCACTGAGCATAGTTTTGAACAATTCAAAAGATCGGAATCAGACAGTGATTATGACTTACCTTATTTGCAATGCTTGTAATGAAGCTTTTGACATCCAGCTGGGTGGGACACGACTTTTGGCAAGGGGCATCAGCACATTTTAAACATCGTGTTGCCTCCTTCAAAGCTCCCCTTTCGCTGAGCGTTGTCGGCTTTATGTCATCAAAATTGTTTTCTAGTGGAGAACATGACTAAAGAAAGAAAATTTTAGCAATTTTAATCTTGTAAACAGTTGTTGTATATTTTTTAAAGCTGACAATACTTTTCTCTCCTTTTCTCAAAGCAAATGGGTGTCAGCTCTTTTATTCATTTCATAAGGCGGTTCAAGATGAAAGTTATTATAAAAAAAAGATCTACCATTACCTGAGTACCAAAAAATGCTTAGTGATAAAATAAGGAATTATTGTATTTTTTAAAAGACTACGAGTATATCCTCTTCGCTCCCTTAGTCCAGCCCACTGGACATATTCTAAAGTATTTTAGCACAACATCAACGCAATATTTTACCCTGTCCGACCCGAAGTCCTCCGCGCTGGACATAGTTTTATGCATAGTATCTCACTTACAGGATGATCGTGAGTTTTGGACTCCATTAGATTATTTCTCACACTACTTTTCTGACGAGTTTTGGGAAAATTTATCTAAGCAAAGCAATATCAAAGCGATGCAGGCTAATGAAAAAAAGTTATTGAATTCTACAGAGGAAGAATATCGTAAACTGGCGGGAATTCATATTCTCATGGGTATATTTGGACTGCCAAGACTAAGGCTGGATTTCATAAAAGGAATCGAAATCCCCATAATAACCCAACTACCTAGAGATTGAATTTTCAAATTACGAAACTACCTACATGTTGTTGATAACCTCAGCATTTCAGATCAAGAAAAACAATCAAATAAGTTATGGAAAGTGCAACCGATTCTTGATTCAGTTCGAGCCAAGTGTATCAGCTTGCCAAGGACAAAAGACTTATCTATTGATGAACAAATGATACCATTTACAGGCACTTCAAGCTTAGTCCAATACGTTAAAAATAAACCAAATCCAGTTGGGTTGAAAAATTTTGTTCTGGCGACACCCTCAGGGTTGGTATTAAATTTCTTCATTTACCAGGGAGCTGAAACCTGGCCAGATGGTTCACCAGAGAAGGATTTGGGTATAGGAGGGAGTGTGGTGAAAAAGCTTTCTGAAGATTTGTCACCTGGACACGTCCTTTATTTTGATCGTTATTTCACTTCCCTCAACCTACTCGACTATTTATTAACTAAAGGGATCTTAGGAGTAGGAACTATTATGAATAATAGGGTGCCTCGAGTTGTAAGAGATAAAATTGAAAAAGATAAAGATCTGCTATCAAATGGTCGGGGTTCGTACGATGAATGGGTGAGAACTGATAAAAAAATGTCATTAGTGAAGTGGATGGACAGCAGATCCGTCACAATGGCATCTACATCGTCAGGTTCTGCGCCGATATGCGATGTTCACAGGTGGGACAAAAAAACTCAAAATATATTTTAGTTCCATGTCCCAATTCCATCGTTAGTTACAACCACTCGATGGGCGGTGTAGATCTTTACGATCGATTCATTTCATATTATCGCATTTGCATGCGAACAAAGAAATGGCCAGTGCGTGTATTTTGGCACTTCATTGACTTGGCCATCACTAATGCGTGGATAGAGTACAAGCAGGATTGCTTAGCGCGTGGAGATCGCAAGAATACCGTCATGGATTGGCTAGAGTTCAAACTCGATATTGGTAGATCTTTAGCTCTCGGGGGCCAAAGACAGAAGACTTTACACGATCGGGGGAACAATGATAGTGCCGAAGAGAATATACCGGCAAAATGCAAGAAGTCAACAGCATTGCCACCCAAGGACGTCAGAAAAACCGGCAACGATCATTTGCCGATATGTAGTGTAAATGACAAAAACTCCTACATGCGGTGCAGGAATGAAGGTTGCACAAAGAAAACTCGGTTCAACTGTCTCAAATGCCAGGTTTATCTTTGTATTTCTCCAGAAAGACAATGTTTTTTTGAATTTCACTCTTAAACTTTGAGATAAAGTAAGTCCTCATGTCCAAAATGTGAAACATGTTGTATTTTTTTCTTTTTAATAAAATTTCACTTGACTGGATCTATAGCTTTATTTAGTCCATAATACTCGTATTTCTCAGAAAATTCTACAAAAATTACGAAGAAGCAAGCCTTGGGACTGAGGAGGATATGGTTCTCGTATATAATTTATTACTGGAAAATAACGCTGTTTTTATTTTTTTGCTTTGAAGATGTTTTGTATGTATTTGTTCATAATTCGAGCAAAACAACTTATTTCGCAAACTATAACATCACTATGGTGAATTTGCTTATAAATATATTGGCGTTTAAAAAATAGCAAGGCAAGCCTTGTGTTGATGATTATATTTGGCTAGTAAGCAAAAAATAAGATTGATGTATAAACAGTTAATGTTATTCTTTAATTGCGGAATATTTGAGAGGAAAATTTTCAGTGCTGTTGATACAAGAAAAAAAGTTTGCATGAGACGAAGTAGCCAGTTATAGTTTCACTATTATATTCACCATTATCATATATCTATCATTTTTTACATTTGATAAAGCTTCGTCTCAACTTCCAAATGCGAAATTAAAATGGTAAGTGCAATTTTGGTTAGAAGTGGAACACAACTGTGATGGCATGCTGAGCATAGAGGGGATATCTGCAGATAACATGAAACCGAGGAAAAGGCGTTCAAAGTTTGAAGTGTCGAATCACTTGTAGAGATACATCAAACAAAACGAAGGATTTCAATAAAACTGTTGTATATTACAGCCAAAGAAGTTTTTCAGTCAGTAGAGAATATGACAATGATTTACTAGGTATCAATAGCAATATTTTCAAGAAATTCTGATACCCTCATTGTGCTTAGACTGTGTGCTTAACCTGGTTTATCATGTTTGGTTACAGCAAGTGATATGATTTTATCTGATGAAATGAGTAACGCAAATACTGATATGTTCAATAATACTTGCGAATATTTAAATTGTTTCATATTGTGCACTTGCAGTTTGATATCTGATAAGACAACCATCATATTCGCAAAACTTACCGAGCATTTCTTATCAAGGTTTCTTTTCCAGTGTTCTTTATTTTTCTTGGTTAGAGCTGACGGCACAAAGTTTGAATTTTGTCGTACTCTTGGGTTCAAGGATAACAAATTCTGTGAAAAATACAAACATATGAACAACAATCAATTCGTTAATTTCGTAAGCTCGAAAGAAATATCTCGAATCTCAAAACACAGTTGTCTGTTACTTTGATGCTGGTGACTTTTGAAGAGAGGGTAAGAGAAGCAGAACGTAAAACTCGTAAGACACAGTCATTTATACCAAAGTAGCCGCAAAGACAGAAGCCTAAATACCGGGACACCGCGGTTAGTATGAACTGGAAAAACCCTCCTTAGGCAGAATGTTATATAATATCGACGCCCTAGGGACAAAGTAGCGGTCGTTCCAGTCAGTTCTTGATGTTCAAAGTCCGACACGGTTAGGATGGGGGGCCGAAGTCAAGCGAATCTGTCTGGTAGGCTCATCGCGCGGCGGTATCATGGAGGAGAGCTCTGCGGAGCAAAGTCCATTGATATAGCAGTAGAAGAGAGCCAGATCCCCGACGGCCCATCGGTGCCAAAGGGTTCCGAGACTGTCCGTTAGAGAACAGTTGGGCAGTTTTCCTCTGAACAACATCGAGCATCTTTCTGTCCTAGTAACCTTACAAATTTGTAGCTTACTCCTGAGACCTCCATATCAAAGTTTGTTGGGAAACCAAATCCAAAATCGAGAGTAAGATTTGAGGTAAATATTATTCCCAAAAAAGAACGCATATTGAATAACATGAATAAAATGTTATATGTATTGAATAAGTATTGATTTTTAAAACTGACGATAACGCTCCAAGATGGGCAAATAACAAATACTGATGTACTCTTTTTTTGTCCTTTACTTCCCCACGCATAAAGTAAGGATAAGTATGTTGGCATTATTTTACTCTGGTAATCTTGGTACCGGCTGACACTTGAGTAATGCTACTGCTGCTCATTTTTGGAAATCGTTTAAGTGGCAGAGGAATTGGAGCAAAAAACGAAACGGCTTCAGATCGCACCCAACGTTTGTTTTTGTATGCTTTACAACCTGTAAACTTTGAAATATTTAAAAAAATTGCTTTTGCCATTTCTAATTACTTCAGGTTGTCACGGAGTGAAAAACATTATTATGGAGCTGGAACATTTTTCCTAGTGGCTTATTCTTAGCTTTCATCTAAACATAATGATACCTAACCATCATTTGTGAGTCAATATACGCACGGAAAATTTGAGAATAGGCAAATGCGGGTAAAATACGTTAATCAATTGCATATGTAAATGCCTGAGAACATCCTAGACAATCGACTTGACACTATTTTTAACAAAATATATAAAGGAAAACTTTTTAAATCATCCATAGAAGGCCCAAAAGAATTGTATCACTTTTAATTTCGATTTTTTTTCTGGTATTACAATTATGTGTAAACAAAGCTCCAGCTCCTTGGTTGGATGATAATATTAAACTTGTATTCAAGCAGAGAGCTGAAGCTTTGTCAAAGTTCAAACGTGATCGTACAGCCGCCTCTTGGCAACAGTATACATAATATTTCAGAAATCGTGCATTAACGCTCGTGCGAAGAGGAAAAAGAGATTATTTACAAGCTGTTCAAAATCAGGATAACAGGATATAAAAAAGTTTTATAAGACCCTAAAGGCATTCATTTCAATTTTCTAGAATAGTGATTTGGCTTGCATATTACCGAGCTAATAAAATAACTCAAAATTCAAATTTCAATTTAATAAAGTGACTATTGACACCGTTGTTAAAATTATACTTAAAAAAAAATCAAAGTCTAGTGGTACAGATGGAATAACTTTGCATATGATACTACTATGTATACCTGAAATTGATGTGTACTTAACGCATATTATAAACTGCTGTTTAGAGAGGGGATATTTCCCCAATCAGCGGAAAGGCGCTATAGTTATTCCGCTGCCTAAGTGTTCTGATCCTACTAACTATGATCAACTGAGACCGATCAGTCTACTGCCAATTTTTTCTAAAGTATTGGAACGCGTTGTTTACGAGCAGCTCTGCGCCTACTTATATTCTAACAAAATTATTCCATCTAAACAATCTGGATTTCGACAAGGTCATAATACAGCTTCGGCACTCTGTGATTTAACAGACAATATAACAATGGCACTTGATAACCAAAAAGCAGTAGCTCTCATACTTCTTGACTTTACTAAAGCATTTGACACCATTAATCACTCACTTCTTGTATCTAAATGCAGTTATTATGGATTTTCTGAAAAACCTCTTTCGTTTATTAAAACCTACCTTGAAAATCGGTATCAAAAAGTTCGTCTAAATCAACAGTACTCTACGGAACAAAAAATTTGTTCTGGGGTACCACAGGGATCAGTCTTAGGACCGCTATTATTTTCATTATATATCTCAGATTTAGAAACAGAGGTAAAATCATGCAGCATACAATTTTTTGCAGATGATACTCAAATTTTCTATTCATTTAGGAGTAATGACTTGGAAACGGCAAATAATAAAATTAATCAAGATCTTGTCCAAATTGAAAAGTTCAGTAGTAGCCATAATCTTCGTTTGAACCCTTTGAAGACAAATATGTTGGTATACGCAAATAGAACAAAAAATAATACCTTAAAAAGGACATAGACATACATTTAAAAGGTAATAAATTAATTCCTGTGGATCGTTCGAAAAACCTAGGTATCATAATGGATGATGACTTAAAATTTGTTGCACACGTGAACTATCAAATTACTCAGTGCTACGATATTCTCAGAGTTTTATTTTTTTCAAAGATATCGTATTGCTTAGTGGTTTACTATCCCTATTTAGATATTATAACAAGTATTATGAATAAATGTTGCAGACTTGTAAATGATCTCAGAAAATATGATCATATATCGAATGCCATTAATGAACTCAAATGGATGAAAATTGATAAAATGTATAAGTACCAGCTCCTAAATCTGACTCGTAAGGTTCTTTATTCAAAAACACCGTCGTATTTAGTAAACAAATTCATAGGTAGAGGGAATATGAATCGTATTAATATTAGATATAGAGAGACTTTTTCACTTCCACGCCACAGCACGTCTCTATTTCAGAATACATACATTTACAATGCGATCAAATCATATAATTCTTTAGACCGCAGTTTAAAAGAAACCAATCCATTATCCAAATTCAAGAAAAAAAGTGAAAGAAGTTCTTCTTGATCAGCAGCGAAATCGGGTGTAACCCATAAGTGTCCTCATATTTTCCTTATGCATTTACTTGGATTATACTTTATTCGGTCGTTATTGTATACAGGTGCCTATTAATTTTCAACAAATTCTTTTTTTTTACATCTCGTTTTGTTAAGGGGGTTAGATGGTAGAATAGATATATAATCAAAATCTCGCCTCCTGTAAGAATATTACAAATAAAAGACGTTAATTATTATTATTATTATTATATTAAGGAAAATAGGAAGACTGCTATTATCACTTAGCCATACAATCGACTTATCTACTTAGCTTTTGAGAATTTCTGGTTTGACATTCGGCCTAAAGACTTGCATGAGATTGTAGAGAACACTTTACGCATTTGTCTTCCACTCGTCGGGGCCCCTGCAGGCTGGGGGCCCTGTATCAAAAAGACACGGCTGATACGGCGGCTGCTACGCCCCTCGGTTTTTCTAGAACCCCGGGACTACCGACCTGGCGATTCTGAATCTTCACATACAATTTGCCCAGAAAATGGGATTTTGTCCGGTTCACAGATAATAAGGGTTTCTCGTATGGAACCTCAAAATATTACAGGACTTCGTGGCGCAAAATATACTAAGTGACATATAAATCCGAACACCCAGTTTAAATGGTTTTATTTTAATAAAAGGTGGTGAATGTATTTATCTTACTGTAAATAACAAGTGAAAAAATTGTCAGCCTTATCAGTTGGACATTACGGTTTTTATGCTGCTTTTTTTTAATTCACTAACGCTCTAAAAATGAATATTTCAGCCGCAGTAAAGAATCAACGTTGGCGGATTTTGGTTCTTGACATCCTTTACGATCGGTTACGATGCCTAGAGTACGGAGACCTGTACGATTTCGTCAACTTAGTGAGTTTGATAGGGGCCGTATAGTGGGACTTCGGGAAGCTGGACTTTCTTTTCGGGCAATTGCAGTTAGAGTGCAAAGAAGTGTAGACACTGTGGTTAGGTGTTGTCAGGCATGGCTTCGAGAAGGCCGTACGCAAAAAGCAAGGGGCACTGGACGCCGCCGTAGAACAACAGACTGTGAAGATCGCCGCCTAAGATTATTGGCCTTAAGAGACCGTTTCTCCACTACCAGGTCCATTGCAAATGAATGGTTTGCAGAACACGGAAGACCTATTGGCATGCGAAGTGTTTACCGACGAATGAGAAGTTTTGGCTTGTTTTCATACCGGCCACACTGGGTCCTCCCTTTAACTCGAGAACACCGACGTAATCGCCTTGAGTGGTGCAGACAACGGTCACTCTGGGATCAGGAATGGAACAGTATTGTCTTTAGTGACGAGTCTCGATTTTGTTTAGGCATGCACGATGGTCGTGCCAGGGTTAGAAGGCGACGTGGTGAAAGGAGGAATCCACAGTTTTTTGTGGAAAGACATGTTCATCACACTGTTGGAGTTATGGTTTGGGGTCCTATAGCTTATGGTTCCAGGTCACCTTTAATCTTCATCAGAGGTAACATGAACGCGCAGCGTTATATCCACGAAGTTCTAGAACCCGATCTTTTACCCTATCTTGACACCCTGGCAGATCCAACTTTCCAACAAGATAATGCCCGACCACATGTTGCAAGAGTCACAATAGACTTCTTTCAACATAATGAGACTCAGACTCAGACTCTAGAAGCACTTCGAGAGGAGTTGGTGGTTGTCTGGAATGAGATACCTCAGGAGGACATTGACCACCTGATCAGAAGCATGCCTAGGCGCGTTGGAGAATGCGTAGCACATCAGGGTGCATCCACACATTATTAAAGGTCAAAGGGCTTTAAAGCAGTGCAATCATTTTGAAATTGTTATCATTTACTTATTATGCTTCATTAAGTACTTATACAAA